CGCGGGTCGATGTAGTCGTATTCCACCCCGTACCCCGGTTGCAGCATGGTCACGTTCTCCAGCCCATGGATCTTGCGGAGCATGGCATACTGCGCGTCGGCGGGGATAGTCATCGAGATGCCGTTAGGATAGATGACATCGTTGGGCGCAAATCCCTCAGGCTCAAGCCAGATCATGTGCCGGTCCTTGTGTCCGAAGCGAATGATCTTAGACTCCAACGAGGGACAGTATCGTGGACCCTTGACCGTCTCGCGGATGTGAACCGTCTTGTCGAGGTTGGCCCGCACGATATCATGCACGGCTTCATTGGTGTAGGTCATCCAGCAGTTGAGCTGGCCCTCATCGCCCACCTGCACAGCATCATTCAGATACGAGAAAGGCTGGGGCGGGTGATCACCCTCCTGGACCTCCAACGGCGCAAAGTCGATCGTCTTCCGATCCAACCGCGGCGGCGTCCCCGTCTTCAACCGACCGAGCTGAAACCCCGCCTCACGGAGGGACTTGCTCAGCCCAAACGTCGCCGCCTCGCCCATCCGCCCCGAGGGATACGCCTCAAGCCCGATATGAATCTCCCCGCCCAGGAACGTCCCCGTCGTAATCACCACGCGACTCGTCGCAATGACCTCGCCGGACTCCAACCGCACCCCGACAATCTTCCCCTGCGCCATCCCGGGCACATCCTCCACGCCCTCCTTCGACACCACGATATCGCCCACCTTGCCTTCCACAATACTCAGCCCCTCGGTGGAACTCAGCTCCTCCAGCATATACTTCTTGTAGAGATCGCGATCGATCTGCGCGCGGGGGCCCCAAACAGCGGGACCTTTGGAGCGGTTCAGCGTCCGGAACATCACTCCGGCCTTGTCGATCGTGCGTCCGGCCACGCCGTCCATCGCGTCCACCTCGCGGATCATCGTCCCCTTGCCAATCCCGCCGAAACTCGGATTGCACGAGCAAACCCCAATATTCGAGCGCGAGGGGGTAATCAACGCCGTTCGTGCGCCGGAGCGTGCCGCCGCCGCACACGCTTCCGCGCCTGCGTGTCCGCCGCCGATGACGATGACGTCGTATCCCCTACATCCGGATACAAAATTAGTATGCGAATGGAAGTGCGGGTGAACAAAAATGATCGAAAATCATCCATACCGCGCGGCATCCGTCACAGTGGCCAATCCACGAACACTCCCCACCCACCGAGATCGGGACCCCAGGCCCCATCTCCGGAGGATTCCAGAGTTTGCCCGAAAAGCCATGATGATGGCGTGTGTCGAAATTGGGACAGCTTGAGAAGAAATGGTGATGTGGTGCTGCGCCGGGCTGGCAAGTTTGTTGCCCCGGAAGAGAAAAAAGCGCCGCCCCCCGGTGATTATTTTGGATCACGTGTATGGGGCTTATTGCCGCTTATCGCCGGGGGCGGTGAGGCGGTCCGTTTCGGACTCATACAGCCAGGGGTCGCCAGTTGGCTATCGACCATCATGAACAACAGTAACTTAACAGGTTTACCTGAGCTGGGAGATGATGGCTTTGATGCGAATGGCAAGATGTTGATACTACTTTGCATTCTGAGACTATACAGCTGACACGCTCACAGGCTGCATATCTTCGAAGCTTTCTAGGGAGAGTCGCTTCCAAGGGGTCACGGAGAAGAGTGGCCGTCGTGCCGTAGCGAGAACAGGCGTTCTTCTGGTTCTGGCAGGGAGTGGAGTGGATGGGTGACTCCGACTCCGCTGGCTCAGATGAACCGCTCCATCTCATACGTAACAGCCAAGGGTACTCGCGAAAAGGAGAACATTCGTAGAAAACCCTCAGTCCAAGGCACCTGGTCACCCTTCGAACGGCCATTTGCTGGAGATACACGCGAATAGATTAGATCTCCTGATCCAGTATCAGATCCCAAGCGCATGGCCATGAGGGATGTATCCTCTCGATAACAGTGTTTCCCCGGCGTGGCGTGCATAGTAATGGGTGCTCGCCATTGGTGAATCTGAGATCCGATCAGACCACACCAGATACGGGTCTCGGTTAGCTGTAGAGTGGTGATTGTTCTACGACACGACATCCCCTACAGCCCCTACAACTACGCAAGATCCCCCCCTGCAACGACATCCCATCGACGCCCCGTTGCCTGACCTCGCTCAGGATCAAGGTTTATGACAGTGCCACAGTGGTTGCAAGTGGTTGCAAGTGATCGCAGGCGAGGGCAGGGAGCATCTGAGAGCGGACATTGCCGGTGGTCCGGTGAGCCACGTGACCCGGTTTGAGTGGTTTGCAGGCCGCATACCCGAAAGGAGACGAGACTGAGTTGGCCGCGCCTCAAGCGAATTGCGACCACACCCTCGTCAGCTTTTTCCCTCAAGATCTTCATATACTCCTCATTTTGCAATCCCAGTCCTTGTCAGTCCTCTCATCAGTTACCCCGAGTATCACCAGCAACCATGGCTTCCACCTCAGGTGAGTGCAAACCCCTTGTAGCACAGAGATGCCAAGAACGAAGTTCATCCTCAACGTGCCCTGCGAAATCGGCGACCGCCCGCCAATTTTGCCTTTTTCACCTCCAACCTCCTTCTCCCCTCCCCTGCTGAACTCTGCACTCGCTGCTTCATTTTGTGTCCACCCTGCAGTCTTCTTCCTGAAAGTCGGTGAACCATCCTGTTTTCAAGGGTTGAACATCGACGAAATCATTTTTTCCTTGTTCTCTGTTGGTCGTTCCTGGTTACCGTCGGGGCATCGAGTGTGACTCAGGCCTCGTTCCCCACCCATCCCAACAATGTCTTTCTCAATGCACTCTCTCTCTTCCACCTTGACAAACATCACCCGGCTAGCTCCTCGATCGCTACCATCGCATTCCACTTCGAAAATGCCACAGCGTCTGGGAGCCAGCATGTTTCGTTCCTCTTTCCTTCGTGTTGCACACCCCCGCCCGGCGGCGCCGACCCGACCGGCCCGCTGCTTCTCAACCACACGGCGACAAGCCTGTGCTAACATGCCATCCTCCCCCTCAGATCGCTTCATGTCGGCTCTGCACCAGAACAAGGACTGGGCAGCCAAGATCGCCAAGGAGGACCCTCAACTCTTCCCCACGCTCGCCGTAGGCCAGCAGCCCGAGATCCTGTGGATCGGGTGCTCCGACTCGCGGTGCCCTGAAACCACCCTGCTGGGCCTCAAGCCTGGCGACGTTTTCGTCCACCGTAACATTGCCAACGTGCTGCACGCCAGTGACCTCAGCTCGTCGGCCGTGATCGAGTACGCCGTGAAGCACCTGCGCGTCAAGCATGTGGTCGTGTGCGGCCACACCAGCTGTGGTGGTGTCGCTGCCGCCCTGGGCAACAAGCAGCTCGGCATTTTGGACCCGTGGCTCATGCCCCTGCGCCAGCTCCGCGAGCAGCACTTGAGCCTGCTCAACTCGCTTCCCACCGACGAGGCCAACCTGAAGCTCGTCGAGCTGAACGTCCACGAGGGTGTCAAGACGCTCAAGCAGAAGAGTGTCGTGCTGGATGCCATCCAGGAGCGGGGCCTGCGCGTCCACGGCCTGATCTATGATGTCGGAAGCGGTGTGCTCCGGGAGTTGGATACCGACGAGCCCGAGGAGGCCATCAAGGCGCGTCTCACTTCGTTCAAGACCGACGTCTAGACTCGATTGCGAGTTCACATTTGGGAGGTTCGGTGTTGGTTCTTGCGCTCTGGGTTCAGAGATGGTGTCGTGGGTCGTGTCGTGTTCATTTCAGCGATAAGTGGGGTCTTGTATATCTGTTGTTTTTAAGTGCTCGGTTGCTTGCTGCTCGAGAGGGCGAGCGAGATGGAATCTGTATATCTTGGGTTAATAATTCATCCAGCGTTTCAACACCTGGTACTGGTGACTCACTCATCGTAGAACCATCGTAGAACCATCGTAGCACTTGCATCATCAGCGAGAAATCACTCCCTGTCGAAGGTCTGTGGCGAAAGTCTGCAGAGGGCAGCCAGCCATGACTCGTAAGACCTCACCTGGGAGATATGAGAATGAAAGACAGAACCGGGATACCGCCAGGGTGGGAGGGGAGAAGTTGAGGAGAAGAGGAGAAATGAAAATCCTGTTGCCATTGAATAGGTAATCAGGATCGGGCACCAGTGACTGGGAATTTGCAGTGACCACACACTACTGTTCCACGACGGTCGGAAGATGGTCTCCGCACCCTTAATCATCGTTGCCCACCTCCCAATCAGGCAGGCCCAGGCTACGGTGTGGAACTCGGTGGTGGTCTGAACGGGTTTAGCCCCGGCCGAAGCGGCTGTTCTTCGGTAAGAGGACGATTCATACTGAGGTCAGGCTGTACGTAGTAGTAACTCATAGGCAACTTATGCTAGGTGATGATGACGAAGCAATGAGTACTTCTATTCTAGTTTGATTTCAATTAAGTATAAACAACCTATTGTATAAGGAGTAGTTTTGATGGACTCTGAGAGTATACTCCGTATAGTTGATCTAAACTTATAGAAATCAATACTAATATGTAGAACAAAAAGCCTAGGTCCGCTCTGATCACACATAACTCAGCACAATCTTTTAACGGAGAACTGATACAGTCTTGTGCCAAGACTACCGTGTAGGAGACAGTGCAAGTATTTAACAAGGAATTGGAAAAAGAAAGGGATATTTCCTTTTCGCAGAACTGTAGGATCATGTCCAGGCACGCTCCCAGTCTGAAAATAGGCATCCTGAAAACTGCCAGTGGTGATCCTGGTACCAGGCTGGGCCTCCCCTACTAACTCTTCAGTCTGTCCCTATTCTATGCTTGAATGTGATTGTTCGGTTTGAGATGTTGGCAGTAGACTCTTCAGCAACAGGGAATATTGTCTTGTGTCTTCTCTTAAGAGAACAATTGACTACTTTTTAATTGTCTGCAATGGCGAGCTTTCCAACCGTCGGGCCGCGAGAAATGCTCTGAGGCTCGCAACATGTACGGTAAACGTCTACAAAAGGTGGAACAACTTGTCCTTAATACTCCAACAATGAGCCTAACTCAGGGAGCCGTCTCCGGCTCTCCCGATGGAGAAGTAGACGGTTGATCCTGGACCCCAACACCAGCCTCCACAGCACCAGCAGCAGCAGCACTAGCAGCAGCAGCACCCCCAGAAGAAACAGCAGGACCAGCATCGACCTTCGCACCACGTCCCTTCCCACGACCACCATTCTTCCCCAAAACCCCCCGATAAACCTCCCCTTCCTCCTCCTTCAATCCCAACCCGGTGGGATCCCGATCCAACAAGAACCGCTGCACCTTCTCATCTAGCCCCTTCCCCCGCTCCGCGACGACGGACTTCTCCCGGCGCCCATTCAGGAACCGCTCCGACTGCTCCGTGACCTCCCACAACCGCTCCTCATAGCCGCTACTCAGCTGACTGATCCACGACGCCTGCAGCGCCCCGCCCAGCAGCGTGAGCAGCACCACAAACGAGATGAACGTCCGGTTGTCCACCATGTGCTGCTGCCGCCCTTGGTGGCGGTTGTGCCACCGCTCCCAGTCCTCCCAGGTGGCGTTGGCGAAGATGGGCCCGTAGTCCTTGGAGCCCGGGCGGGCCCACGGCGGGACCTCGTTTTCGGGGTGCTCGTCAGCGGCAGCGTGATGGCGGTCCGGGCGGTGGACGTTCCATCCCGTGCCGAATTGGTCGTACGCTGCTCGTCGGGCGGGGTCGGAGAGGAGTTCGTGCGCGGCGACGAGGAGGTGGTATCGTTGGATGCGGACCTCCGGGGTGAGGTTTTGGAGGAGGGGGTGTTGCTGGTGGTTGCTGGTGCTGGTGCCGGTGCCGGTGCCGGTGCTGCCGCTGCTCGAGGAGCGGTCCGGGTGGTAAATCTTCACGAGTTCATAGTATCGTGTTTTGCTGTAGGGAGCTTTTCGGTCCAAGTGAAAGAGGTCGTATGGGGTGAAGGTTGGGCTGGTTGGCCATGTTAGGTCGTGAGATTTGGGGTTGGGGTTGGTGCTGCTGGTGGTGGCGTAGCGCTGGGAGCGGTGCCGCTGGGCGGGGAAGTGCGAGCAATAGCTTGCGTTCAGGAATTGTAGGCCGCTCTGGTTGAGGAGATTGGGTTTCCTGGGCATGGCCGCATGGTTTCGTAGGAGAGAAAGGACGGGATGTTCTTCTCTCCTGCAGTGGTGGGTGTAATGTATATGAGTGTAATGTATGCAGTGGTGGTGGAGTGATACAAGCACAATGGAAGCCGCCGCCGTCCGTCCCGCGGCAAGTTCGGGGCTACTGGAGGCCCAGAGTGACGAGCACAGTCCGGTGCGGAGACCCACAGTTAGCCGTCACGTGCAGCGGCATTCAACAAGCTCCGCTCCTCTTCAATCTGTAAACACCTCCATCTCCTTCATTAGACACAGCAATCATGCCAGATTCACCAGACCCTCACCCGCAGAGACGCCACCGCTCGCCATCCGGCTCGCCCGCCCCACCTCGCGACCGCCGCGACCGAGAGCGAGAGCGAGAGCAATTCCGCGACTCCTCGCGCGACAACAGATCCCACCGCCACGACAGCCACCGCAGCTCACGCAGAGACAGCTCCCGCCGCCGCGTACACCGTCGCTCGTCGCGCAGTCCCAACGACCGCGAGCGAAGTCGCCGGGATGACGACGGCCACCGTCGCAGGGAGCGAAGGGAGCGCGCAACAAGCCCCCGGGACGAGCGAGATCGAGATCGAGACCGACACCGCCACCGCCGTCGACACCGGGACCACGACGACGACGACGACGACTCCCACCGATCTTCGCACCGCCGCCGTCGCGATCGCGACACCAGCAAAGACAGAACAAAACCCCCCTCTTCCTCCCGCCGACACCGCGACAGTCCCTCGCGCTCTCGCTCCCGCAGTCCACACACCACCACCGCCGCCCCCTCAGCCCCAATCCGCTCCTCCAAACCCCTCCCCTCCCAACAAGCCGCCTACACCACCGACCTCACCCCCTCAGACTCCCAACCCCCAGCCGCCGAAGTCGAAAAAGAAAAACCGAACTTCGGCACGACCGGCCGCCTCGCCGCCGAAAGCAACACCGTAACCGTCCACGGCGGCGGCGGCGGTAACGGCCCCACAACCGTCGTGCTCAAATACCACGAACCGCCGGAGGCCCGCAAACCGCCGGCGAAGGACAGCTGGCGGCTGTATGTGTTCAAGGGGCAGGACCTGCTGGAGATGGTGGAGCTGAACGTCCGGAGCTGCTGGCTGGTGGGGCGGGAGCACCTCGTCGTAGATTTCCCGCTGGAGCATCCGAGCTGCTCAAAGCAGCACGCGGCGATCCAGTTCCGGTTCGTCGAGAAAAAGAACGAGTACGGGGATCGGATCGGACGCGTCAAGCCCTACGTGATCGATCTGGAGAGCGCGAATGGGACGACGGTGAACGGGGACAGGATCCCTGCGGGCCGGTTTGTGGAGGTAATGGATAAGGATGTCTTGCGGTTTGGGTTGAGCTCTAGGGAGTATGTGCTTATGTTGACGAAGCCGGAGTAACTTTGGTATGAGTTTTTGGGGGGTGGGGGGGGGGGGGGGGAAGGATGGATATAGATGAACGGTTTTGATAGATTCAGCTTTTTGGATGTTGGGTGCAAGGCCTGGCGATATGATATATATGGTATGGGGTTGGCGATGTTATCCCGGGTTATGCCTTTGGAGAGCCAACATACCTAGGTTTCCTGCACACACCTAGTTGTCGCATTGGTCAGAGCAGCAACGACTTACTACTCATAGTGGACTACCCAATCACTACCTAGTCAATCGTCGCCTACCAATGCCACTACATCAATCCTGGCACCTATTTGCGAGATTGCTACATAGGTAAGAAAAAAAAAGATAATGCCACGCATGATAGACAAAAACTATGCAATGAGCCGTGGATATTCAGTAAACCTCCATGCCATGATCGCCATGCACTAGAAAAGAATAAAAGAATGATCATAGGTATATGAAAGTGGGTGGGGCCCCAAAACCCGGGGGTACTCAGAAAAAGACCACAATCTCTCCCCGCTCGTTCATCTTGAGGCGCAGAGTGCGCCACAGTTCCTTCTCGTCATCGACTCTCCGCTCGCGGTCCGCGCGACTGCGACCCTGGTCGCGGCCCCGGTCGGTGTCGAATTCATCGGTGAAGTCCTTGTGGAACCGCTTCAGCACCTTGTTCACGGAGAACCCGCGCGAGCTCTCGGGGCCCTTGGTCACCAGCGACAGGAAGTGGCTCGCCATCTGCCGTTGCAAGCCATCCGGCACCGTGCTCTTGGGGTACAGCGCCACCTGCCGGCCATCCTCATCGTGGTGCGATTCGGGGTACTCGATCTGCTTCTGACGGCGCGAGGGCCGGTCCCCTTCGGTCTGGGCGCTGCTCTTGCGCTTGGACTTGCGGGCATCCGCCGACTCGGCGGCCTTGGCATCGCCGTTCTCGCGGATCTTGTGGGTCTTCTTCGCGCGACGAGTCTCCAGCTGGCCGTTGGCGCTGCTACCGGAGACGGAGGAGCCCCCGAACATCGACGAGACAAACCGCTCGGCGCGGTTCTTCATGGAGATACCCAGGCCCGCGTCGGCTTGGTTCTCTTTCTCGTCGCGACGGGTCCGCTTGATCGGGGATGAGGTTTCCTGGTAGCGTCGCCGGGAAGAGTTCTCGTGCCCTTCGTCGTCGTCCAGCGACGGGGAGCGGAGCATACGGTTCAATCCTCCCGTCAGTCCGGAGTGGTTCAACATCGGGGTGCCGGGGTGGTTGACGACGCTCGAGGGGGCATCCAGCATGGGCGTGTCGGTCTCGGTGTCGTGGTCCTCGGTGCGGCGCTTGCGCTTCTTCTCGCTCGTGGCACCATCGGCCTTGGAGGCGCGGTCCTTCTTCTTCTTGGGCGCAGGGGTCATGAACTCCATGGACACATTGGGGGCCTTGCGGTCGTAGGGGGACTGGTTGATCGGGCCCGAGCCGTACGAGAATCCATTCTCTTCATACGCGACGTCGTAGGTCTTGTTGTCGTCATCGCCATCCGTGTCAACGCGAGCCAGCGACTTGCTTGACTCGAAGACCGAAGGCGCGTTGGCGACCATCTTCATCTGTTCCTTAGCCTCGTTCATAGAAACCTTAGAGGCATTGGGGGTGCCCTCAGGGACAAGGTAGTCGAAGACATTTACCGGCTTGTCGGTCTTTCCTTCGGTACGCGGGGTCTTCTCCACCCCAGCGGGAGGAGGGCTGGGCGCGGGTGGGGGAAGATTATCGGTGTCCGTTCCATCCTCCACGTAAGGTGCCTGGTGGCCATGGGGGGTCTGCTTCTGATTTTGGGTCTGATGTTGGTTCTGGTTCTGACTCTGGTTTTGTCGGCCATTGTTCTGCCCTTTGCGTTGATTCTTGGCCGGCTTCTCTCTGTACAGCGCGCCTTGGTACTTTTGCGCCTCAGACATGCAGGACTATCACGGTGAGTCAGTTTTGGTTCACATAACTCAACAATTGAATGGTGGCCGTGAGACAAGAGAGTAAGGCAAGATATCGTGACCAGGTGTAGATGCAGCAAGAAAGCCGACAGTACAGCGACAAAGAGGCACAGCGCGCAACAAGTCCACAAAAAGATAATTCAGGGAGTTCAAAACCAATCCCAAGGGAAAAAAATAATCGTACCGTGTGCGATCTGTAGCTAGTTCCCTGGAAATGCACCATACAGTCGATGCAGGTGTAGGAAGCGCCGCGACATTGGTTGCGATGGGGGTCGAGCTTCTTCTTGGTGAGAACATCACCACACGCCTATTAGGATCGTCGCATATTAGCACACGCCGTTATTCGGTGACCCGATTGGCCTTCTTCAAAGTATGAGGGTGAACGATGTTGCGCGACTCACCTCGCAAGAGAATGAAACCATCTTGTGAAGATCCGCTGGATTACACCGCGATTTTTTCGAGGAGTTGATGCGCGACTTGGGACTGCGCCGATATGGGAAGGAAAAAAAGAAGAGGAAAATTAAAAGTCCGGTGGATGGATTGGATGGGGTCCAGCAGAATTAAGCTAGACAGACTTTCGGGGGACCCGCAACGGACCTGAACAAGACCAGAGGACCAGAAGACCAACCCACTCCGAATTGTCGGTAGTCAGACTGTCGGTTACACTGAGGTTGTTGTCCGGGACAACGGACAAACACGAGGTTGTACTATGTAAGATGACAGAGTGAAGAAAAAGCAAAAGAGAGTAGTTGAGCAATCGCGTGGGGGAGGACCTGAAACCCTGTGCTTTGAAACTCGAGGACTTTGTGTCAGCTTTTGCGCCGTCCTCGTTCCCCGGCGCGTTCTCTTTTTAAAAAAAGAAAAGTATGTGTAGCAGAAAGCGATGCGCCGCCAAAACAAAACCCGCTCAAATCGATGTCTGGAAGAGGCTAAGCCTGTCGGGGACTAGTCACTTTTCGCGATGTTGGCTGCCTTTCCAATCAGGCACGGATCCTGCCTCCCCGCAGTGCAACATCAAATCACTCAATCAATAAGTATACAGTTGTGAATTAGACACAGTGACAACTTGGAAGTCTGATTCAAATACTCTCTTCATCCTACCAGGACACCCATTGTAATGCGTATCTTGACCACTTGATCAAAGTAGGAGAGGGGACGCACAGGGAGGGAATGTGAATGTGGCGCTTGTGCATCGAACCCACCAACACGGACTTGTCAGGAGACAACGTACATTTGCAGCAGGCCCTGCGCACCGGCCAGTCGCCGCCCACCTCGACCCTTCTTCGCAGCTCATCTGTCACTCTAGCCCCTGCAATAAAGGGGCCGACGCCCTTTGCCGGACAACAAAAGAAACCTATCCACCAAGATACGAGCGGCTTTCTTCTCGATTGTGCTCAAAACCTCCCCTCCCATAGGATCGGGGCGCGGTGATCGTCGGTCTGCAGCGCAATAAACTTCCAGGCCGAGGTCGAAAGGTACAACTCTACTCCTTAAGCGACAAGACATCACGAAGGGCTAGCTATATATAGCGCTCAGCGCCAAAACGAGAGCTTGAAGCATATGGCATTTATGAGGTCGCGACGCTGGTTTCAGCCTTGTCACCATCTTAAACGGGCACTGTTGCTTGTCGCAGTCTGAAAACTAACACTTCTAGGGTCATTGCTTCCCACGGGCTCGGGAGAAGTTGCTCCGGGAGTCCATGTGGGAGCTGAGATGCACAGTACTTTTGCGCTGAATGGTCAGCCGTGGCCGGCAGGAGGGTTCCAATCTCGTCATGCGCACCATTGTGCATGCTTCACACCCTTTCATGCAGCCTTCACACCATCTATCCAGGCCTGCTTTCCACAGTGTAGAGCATCGGTGAGCGCTCATTAAACAGTTCTCATGTGAGATTTGGGAGTACTGTCGCAAAGGCCATGCGCCTATGTCAGGGCAGCAATGCACAATCAGGATTCAGACAACCCATGACTGGTTCGTCCGCCGTAGAGGACACAAAGACGTCATCACTCTGGTCTTTCGTCTGCCTCGCATGCGATCCTGAACCTGTATTACAATTAGTGCCCAAGGCTTTAAGCGACGTCTTCTCAGCGAGTAGATACAGTCAAGCCACCACTACTATGAAACGCAACCCGGATCGAACTTGAAGCCCTTGTGCAAGATCAAGCTCCGGGGCCGTGGTATGTAAGTATTTTGAAGATGAATGTTGTAACGGTATATACAACTGAAACTACCGTGCATGAACCGGCTCAGTGCACCCAGCGATCCGGCACTGGCGGAGAGTATGTATAATGCGATAAAAAAGAGAATAAGTCACAAGGGAGTGGAAAGGGCCAGAGATGTCGAGATAAGAGCGCGCAGCGTTCATCCTCGAGCAGTCCTATAGTGGAATCTGATCAGCAAGGTATCCATGATCATGGGATACGAAGGGAGCACGAACGGTTCCCTGTTAATCTCGACCAGCGGCAGTGCGTCGTCGCTATCGGCCTCCCTCCGCGCACTGGGCAGATCCTTGTTTGTGGTCGGGTCCTCATCCTCGTCCTCTTCGTCTTTCGCACAGCCGCAGTCATAGAAATCGCCGATATTGTTGCAGTCGAATTCAGCTTTCTCGAGCATGATGTTCACTTCGTTGTGGATGAAGCAGCCCCATCCAGCAGCCGCATTGCGCGACGAGACCTGCGGGGGATACTTTTTCAAATGACCTTGGAAGTGCGAGGCGCATTCGCCACTAGCAAGAGACCCCAGTCAGCATGCAGCAGTAAAGGAGGGTGCAAGAGGGTGACTATACCATGGGTAGAGTCGCGCAAAGAGATAGATAAAAGAGCGTAAGGTTTCCTGCTGCTCCTCGGTCGGATCTTCGGGATACCGAGCCAGCATGGTATGGAAGTACTTCCAGGTCGCACGGCCTAATTCCGCCCTGCAATTTGTGACGATAATCCTGTTAGCATCATGATAAATGCCATCACAGAGATTCATTGCATTCTCACTTTGCCGTTGCATTCCCCAACTTGGGCATTACCACCTCCCCTTTGATCAGATCATCTTTGAGCACCACGGCCGGCGCGGATTTGTCGAGGTGGCCAGGGGCACGAACGGCGGGACTCGGCGGACCTTGAGGTTGGACCAAGAAAAGAAAAATCAGAAAGATAGTGATGCATGCACCGGCAATAAGCTGCCGAGTAATCTGGCGGTGTGCCATCGTGGGGTGGCTAATCTATAGGACGCCCACGTTCTCCGTGAGGAAGACAGATCGCCCAACTCTCGAAAGGGGCGTTGGATGATTGACAGTGGATTGACAATGGGCCCGGCCAGACTGACCGCCTCCCGCGTGGCAGAATCAATGCCCCTCTGATTAGCGGAAGCTTCAGATCGGCCCAGTCAACTTAAGGTTAGTTTGGTGACAGCTACGACCCACTCCCGAGATGCGATAAGGGATAGATCGCTAGAAATCATCCAGTACCTTATAGTACGTACTAACTCAATAGTACTATACCTCTCAGTACCTTCACTGCCGGTTTCAAACAGCTCAATGATTCACCCTAGCGCAAGTTGTTCTAGTTGTTCTATCGAACCTAATATTTCCATAGCCCGGGTACAGTGGAGACTCAGGTAAGTCACAACCTACTAATCTACATGACCATAGTACAAAGCGTAGAAAGTGTACCTTTGGCAGCTTCATGTTTTTTCTGTCCTCCCCTGCTTGCTTTCCTTCTTTGCCCGTTCACACTTTGACCCTTTAAACAAGTCTGATGGAATCTAGTCTGAACCTATGCCCGAAGGCTGGACCAATGACCCCAATCTCTTGAACATCTACTTCTCACCCGAAACTAGAGAGGCCCATATGGCCCGATGCTGCGGCCTTGAAAATGCTGAACTTGTCCTTATAGGAACTCCCGAATCAGGGGAGATGCAGTTCATCATCACAGCCGGAGGCAAGTTCTATTGGGGGCACTTTCTGGTTGATTATCTTGGAGAGATCACGCGGCCTAAGACCTTCCCGGAGATACTTCGTGCCGTTGGTGCTAAGGGATTTGGAGGCCGACGAATGAAGGCCCTGGAGCTGGTGTGGACCAACGAGGGGGAGGAGGAAGAGGAGGAGGAGGAGGAGGAAGAGGAGGGAGGACCCCGTTTGTTTGTCCCTGTTGACCCCGATGCCCCTTGACCCCCAATGCTCCTTCCTAATGAAGCAGTCGAGGACTCCGCGCCCTCTTCTTTTACTGCCGCACCCAGTATTCCTTGTAGGATTGTAGAAGTTTGTAGAGCATAGAGCATTCTCAGGGCAATGTGTCATCATGGCTGAAGTGCTTCTTCCTTGGCTTAACGGCCGACTAGACCTTCGCCAGGCGTACACGTTCACCCTGAACGACATTGTGGATACACCACGAGATATCGTGCAGCATCCAGTCTCGTACGGTGGTCCCCCCCCAGCCCCGGAATGTCGACATGCTCATCTCGATTCATGGGCATATCACTCGCCTGCGGTAAGCTATGCTTCGTTAATTAAGCTTCGCGTGCCTTGGACTAGCAGTGTGTGGATTGGCGCTATGCGACAACTACATATCTGTGCCTGTCTATGACGATCGACTGTCGGGGAAGGTCTGGAAGCGTTTGGGACCCGTGTCTCAATTGCCGAACTCTGATCAGACTCCACCAGGGCAACGTCCTCAATCTTGGTAAAGCAACCGGAAAAGAGGGGGCCCCGCCTTGATATATTCAAGATGGACGTCTCAGCTTAAGGTGGTGTGCGTGGGATGATTGACAGTGATTTGACAATGAACCCGGAGGCTAACCGTCTCCCGCATGGCAGAATCATTCACCCCCCTTCTCCCTCCCTGAGGAGCTTAGTTTTGTTGACAGAACAACGACTGACTTACTCCCCCGATAATCTCACGATAAGGAAAGTCTTACCTAGTCAGTGCCTTGACTATCCGTTCTCAAATAGCTCAACGATTTATCACGCAAGTCGTTCTCTCCGGACTAATATCCCCAGCCCAGTACAATGGAGACTCAGGTACGTCACAATCCACTTAGCCATATACGTCCATAGTACAAAGTGTGGGAGGCGTACTCATGGCACCTGCGTAATCTCTACTTGCATCCTCGCCTGTTCCTCTTCTCTGCTTTGCTCATCCGCAGGTCAACTCTCCTAACAAATCCGATGGGTTCTAGTCCGTACCTATCCCAGAAGGCTGGACCAACGACCCATACGACCCTGAGCTCTATTTCGCCTACAGCAGCTCGGAAGCCTATCAGTCGCGATGCTTCGGCATTCCAGGCGCTCGATTTGTTCTGCTAGATACCGAGGACACCTCGTATATCATCGCCTCGGGCGGGAGATACTACTGCGGCAATTTCTTGTTGGAGGATCGGCTGTTTGAGATAACCAGGCCTACGACTTTGCCGGGAATATTGGAAGCAATTGCAAGCAAGGGCTTGAGGGGCTTGCGCATGAAGACACTGGAACTGGTAGACATTGATGAAGAACCTCCCGATGAGGTGCCACCAGAGCACGAAAAAAACCGGGTCCTAGTTGTCCCCGCGAGTGACATTCCGGAATCGAATCAGACAACTTAGGTACTTACGGAGTAGTTTCTCGATCAATTCACATTATTACCGCCTCATATTGCAGGCAGGCAATAGTTAACTAACCGAGCCGGCTGAGTCAGCAGGAACTGCCGAGTTTCGCGATCTGCGCGCCCGCCCACCCACCAAAAGTTTTCTGCCGATTTCCGGCACCTGAACGCCTGGTTCACTGTTCGCTGCACCCCTCCTTCTCTCCCGAGTCGCCTTTGCATGTGTTAACGGGTCCCACGGTATTTCATCGGGCGTTATTGGAATTATACTCTGATGGATCTGGAGTACCGAGGGATTCTCGCGCCGAATGGGTTGGCTACACATGCCTCCCTCTTAACGCCTCCGGCCACCACCAGCGACCTTCGGAACAATCTCAGGCTTCCCCGGCCGATGACAGCTTTTGATTTCTCCCCCAGACCCTCGGAACCTGGCGCCATGAACAAGATCCCCGCCGTCCCAAGCAAACGGCGGGGTGGTTGTAGGAAGGCCTGTAATGAGTGTAAGCAGCAGAAGGTAAGCCAGTCTGGCTATACATGTCATGTCGCATTCCACCTTGCATTCCATTCGGACCCATCGCCCAGCTGTGCATATTGATGTATCCGTTCAAAAGTCCGACATCGTTTAAAGCGTATTGTCCACTGGATATTGTTTACTGCGCTTCACCCTTCTCATGCCCTCTGTATAGACAAACTGGCTGAACATAGGCTTACCGGACCCCGCAGCTTCGGTGCGATATTGTGCAAACGCCCGCTGATGCATGCTCACGCTGCCGGCGGCTCCAAATAGAATGCAAGGTTGAGCCCACTTTCAAACGGATCTCCAAACGCCGGTAAGAGATTCCGAGCATGTCTTACCTATGGTTCATCTCTTGGCTGAACACTAGCTATCTAGGCGCAATGCCGAAATGGAAAAAGAAATTGCGGATCTCCGCCGTCGGCTTGCCAGTGGAGAGCATCCTCAGCCCGGGGAGGCTAACGCCAGTGACGAGCTGTCTCAATGTTCGGAGGATGTATTCTGTTCTCCAGATGCCACTGTTGGCATCAAAGGACGGCCGTTGTCGGCCCCACTGGAGCCACAACCCATCGCTTCTCCCCTGACCATCCATCGAGATGCGTCCATCTTGTCCCAGGATGAGAATCCGTGGATACTAGAGGATGTCTCGTTATCACGAGCCCGGGTAGCACGGTTGTTTGACCAGTATGATCCTCTCCCTGTGCACGCAGTAGCATCTTGGACAAATTTACTTATGATTGGCAAGGTTTTTCAAATATTATCATCCCTTTCTTCCTCTTCTGAACCCACAGAAGCCCCCAGACGAATACATGCGTCGTTGTCCATTGCAGGCATGGACTATCATCTGTGTTGCTAGTCGACGAGCACCTTCTGAGCCGGGTCTCCTCAGCGCACTCTCCGGGCCGTTTAGTCGGCTGCTCTGGTCCACCATTACTGGTGTACCACAAGACTACCGCGTGGTCAAGGCACTCTGCCTTCTCTGCACTTGGCCGTTGCCAACAACCAGTCAACGGACCGATGCTACTTTTATGCTCAGCGGACTGATGATGCAGATATCCATGCAACTGGGGTTACATCGCCCGGTTCAAGCTGAGGAGTTCACAACCTTCCGCATGGAAGTACAAGGGGAAGCTGTCAAAGATCGTTTGCAGACATGGGTTATTTGTAACATTGTAGCCCAAAAGTAAGTGGCTCTCGATCCTGCCGCCAGATCCAACGATTGACTCTATACTCCAGTGTCGCCACCGGTTACGGGCAGCCTCCGTCAACTATTTACGACTGGGCCCTAGAGCCCGCTTCACTGCGAGACGCCGATTACCACCCTTCGCATGATCTGATGACTCGACTCAGAATCGAAAAGTTCTGTGACCGGGTCACGAAAGCATTGTACAGCAGCAAACCTGACCCCGCCGAGTTCATCAGTTCGGAGAAGCTACTGATTGTACAGCTTCTCGAGAATGAATTGAGAGATATGGAAGTCGACTTTGGCCGGGACATTTCCAGTATGTTATGCATGGCCGGTTCGCCTTTGCTGAGTTCGAACTAATTTTCCAGACATCAACATGATTCACTTGCGAGCGGCCGAACTGCACCTACGGTATTTCGTATTCCTGGGCTCTAACGCCCGGAGCGACGACTTAACAAAGTTGTTCATCGCAACCACTTCCTTCCTCGGACGAGTACTCGATCTCGAGACCTCCCCCGGCGAGCTTATAGGCCACGCTCCCAATTACATCCTACAGATGATTGTCTCAGCCGCTTTCGCGCTCATGAAACTTTTGAAGAGCGATTTCCGTCGCCACATTGACTTCGAACACGGGAAACTCCTCTTTAACGGAGCCATCTCAGCCATCCGCCGCATTAGCGTCATGGACCACGACCGTCCCGTCCGCCTGGCCGATATCCTAGCGCAGATGTGGAACGCAGGTAGTCCAGAAGATCCCGCCGGCGGCGATGCTCTACAGCTCAAGATCCGTTGTCGCATGAGCATGAGCCACGTTTACGATACCGTGTGGCGGTGGCGTCAACGATTCCGCCCGATGAAGAGCGTGGAGGACACGCAAGGTATGTGTTCGCTGGTTTCTCGGACTTGCATGAGACAATGAGATTAATTTATCGCAGCTACCATGGCCAATCACAATGTGGCCCCCCTCACTGGCCCTCTCGCACGGCCGCAGGACGAGTCTTTGCAGAGCACAAACTTGATATACACTCCAAACTTCGATCAAGGCGCCTTCATCAGCGAGGCAGGCTTCTCCGAGGTATTCGATTCCCTGAACTGGGTTTTTGATGGGATTCCTGACTCTTTTGTGGCGCCTCCAATTCTATGAACAATGCACGCACAGCCTTCTGGACTGCGAGCACTGTTGACTTAAAAGCCATGTTTCCTTATGAAAATGTACAGAGCACCACCATACAGCATAGCAACCGCTTATGACTATTCATAATATACCCCGAGGGCACATAATGAAATTACGATTAAGTTGGTCCCACTTCCACTTCGACTTCGCCAACACTAAAGGGTGATGACTTGTTCTATGGGTTCTGTCGGCGACACTGAGGCCTCGCTAGCTAGGCTGCGCACGGCCATGCATGTTGATATTTCCTCTCAGATATCCTCACGTAACCTGAATACATCCACCATCCCACATCCTTAACAGGTTCGTTTGTCCGCGAACATGGGACTCATCGCCTAAGTGATAGTGATGATTATTTAGGGCATATGGTGAATTTAGAGGCTTCGAATACTAGAGCTACGTAATACTTCGTACTCGCGAACTTACAACTACACCCACCCACTCAAATCAGTGAATCAAATCTATTGGTATGAAAGTGGTTACCGTGTATTAAATTGCTGGATTGCAACTGTTCATGTGAATATATATGCCTTGTTCTCCAGGCAACTATGAGAGCACCCTGACGATTCACCCGGAATTGTAGTCCGGGGTATTCATAGACACCACATCATATCCTGCATTGATCCAACTCCAACCTGCTTCCTGTCATCAAGATCAGCCAACATGGTGAAGACCCGAGTAAGTAATCAACTTTCCTAATAGTATATGTTAATAGTCTACAAAACAACGGGGAATGGTACACACAGTTCATCCTGAGATTCTGGCACATGGGTTTATTTCTTCCCTCTCACATGCCTCAAAGCAGTTATCCAAGTTTTACCTCTTCAAGCTAATCACGCCTGCTTTTCTCTTTGCTTCAACACCAATATCCTTTCTCGGTCACATTTTGTTCAGTTTGCGAGCCAAAGCTGACACTTGTCAGTCCCAAACTAGTCGCGAAGAGCCAGCCGCGCAGCCTGAACCTCGATATCGGGGGGTCTATGATAACCAAGACGGCCTAGGATTCTCTGCTGAAGACATTTCCGGAGATTGGACGAACGACCCAGAAATGTTGGAGTATCACGGTGACCCTAAAGGTCAAGAGGCCCATCTGGCCCGCTGCTGCGGACTTCAATGGTTTTAATGGGCACCCCTGAGTCGGGAGAGATGCAGTATATTACGAATTCCAAGGGCAAGTATTACTGGGGCACTTCGAGCTTTTTCATCTTCAAGAAGACTACGAGGCCCAAGACATTATCGGCAATAATCATTACCCTCCGCGATCAAGGATTCAGGGGCCTGCGTTCTAGAATCTTGGAGCCGGTCTGGGTCCCTGAGGATGAAGAGGATTCACGCCCTGCCACCAGCGGAGGGCCCAGTTTGTTTGTTTCTTATGAACCAATGCTCCTTCCCAGTCAGGCAGTTGATGAATTACTATTTACTATTGATGAGAGCGTCACCGCTCAAGTGAAATCAATGCTTGACATCCATCTAGTGGATGGCTTACCTGAAGGATCGCATTTTTTGTCACCTTTGCCGAGGTTACTTCTCCTCTACCTCAGGCTTAGCATTCATGGCAGTCTCGTAAGAAGCACATGAGGCCAATGCATTCTCGAGCACATCTAACCGTGGCTGGACAAATTCTTCCATGGCCTAATGGCCGTCTGGAGCTCCGTAGGGCCTACGAGTATCCCCGCGAACAGATCGTTGCGTGTCTCAAGGACATCGTAGACAAGCCCGCGCAGTACGGGGTTACAGGGTACTACAGGCCCATCCTGCTTCAAATGAACATCGATATCGGATATCGTGTGCCTTCAGTAAGCTTTGTGTCTCTGTCACGGTGATTGCATCTATGGCTAATCGATAGGAAAAGTTCTCCTGATGGCGGCGACTGCGTCGCACTCGTTCCGCCGCAGAACATCGGCCGCGAAGATGACCCCCCCCCCCCGGTGGCCAGCTGCTTGGGCGGCATTCCGGCTGGTAAAGTTCGAACATGATGGGCTCAGTTCTTGGGCACTGTTAGACCTCTTGGGGCTCTTTCTGAGCAAGCTGGGCCCCGTCTACAATCACCTCAGGCCGGCGGTACTAATGGGGTGAGCTCATGTTGGAGGATCATCTATCTGAAATCACCAGGCCTACAAACTTTGCAGTAATCCTGGGAGCACTTGCAACCAAGGGCTTCAGAGGATTGCGCATGAAGACACTCAAAATGGTCAGAATTGACGAAGAAGCTCCCAGTCAGGTGCGCCAGACAACTCGAAATGTTGTGCGGAGGCGTATCCCTTCTGTAAACTCTTAAAGTTAGGGTCAGTGCCTTTGAGTCTACACATTGTCATAAACCCGTGACTAACCTATCTCGACTAAATATCAGGGGCAAATCCAAAGAAGAGGCAGCGAGGGCGTGTGGGTTGGCGCTTGGCCACAATCATATATATATCATACACCTACCTACGATAACCGGCTGTCTATGGAAATTTGAAGGAGCATTTGGGACCCGGATCCAATTGTATAGTCCTTATCAATAGCCACTGAGGCAATTCCAATCGCTGGAAGGGATACACGGGCGTCCCGCGTCGGTTTATCGAGGTGGACGTCGAAAGTTCTTTGCGGACAATCACTACGGATCATTGCTTATCGGGTGTGATGGATCAGGAACAACGGGCCTGTCTATACAGCTGTTCAAGAGCTGATTTATGCAGCTGCTTGATGGTCTATCTATGTTCCTACTCCAGTACCTATTCAAGTACCTATTCAAGTAACTGTTTGCAACTTGTTCATCTACCTGTTCAAGGGCATGTTTGCATAACTGTTCAATTACCCGCTTAGCTGATGCCTGGACATTAAGGCAGAAAGATGACTGTGGGGACTCGGGAGCGAAGTGGTATGACATCATACCTCTGATCATGACGTGACCCAAGCCCTGCATCCGCCCTGGATCCATCCGTCAGTGACTGCCAAGTTTGTATGAGTAGTCTAAAGTACACATACATCATCAGGCACATCGACCCATATCCTTTGTCGGCTTATACACTAATCCCAAAGCAGCGGAGGATATGGAGAGATCTCCAGGTTCATCTCCGATCGAGTCCCCAGGCACTGATGGAACCTGAACTATGCAGGGCCTTCCGCATTCGGCATCCCGGCCTCACAATTTCCTACCCCGAGGAATGCTTGCCCATGCCCGCATCCATAGAGGCCAAGTCTCTCTTTACCAAAGTCAAACCGTTTGCAGTTAACAACTTATCTAAGATGAAGTTCGAGTGCAACTTGTCCTGCGCATCCCATCATGCAAATGTCTTTCTCTTGCCATCTCCCCATGTTTCGCCGCGGCCTCTCCGACAACCCACCATCTAGCTAGCACCAAAGATTCAGTGTTCGTTCAATTCGACAAAATGATCCGCGGAAGAACACAGATCTCGCGGATTGTGATTGCCGCCCTATTCAGCTATGGACTCTTGATATTCTTGTTCAGTCAGTCGGCGCGGAGGTTCTGGGCCACGGATGGAGTCGATATGGCCCGGAGTTATTTCGAAGACCAGGCTTTTGAGCACATCAAGAACGAAACGCTGGGGGTACGTTTGGCCCACCTACACATATTTAAAGCTTCGATGCTAACGAGTCACTATCTAGTTCGAACATATCTTCGCCATCGGGTTGAAGGAACGAACGGACAAACGCGATTTCCTCACATTAGCTGCCTCGATGGCGGGCTTTCGGGTCGAATGGCTTGACGGGGTGCGACCGACGGAGATCAATCAGAAGTCCTTACCAAATGTGAGTTTCTTTCTAGACCACCCCCGTATGAAGATCTGGAATTAATGCGTATTGTGAAATCTAGGAAAACAGCCTCAAGCCATCGGAAATCGGCTGCTGGCGCGCACATATGAACGCACTCACCAAGTACGGCACCTCCTTCCCTCCCCCCAACGGCTCCTGAGCTAGCGATAATGAGCACTGCTAACAAATCACTCCCGACAGAGTGGTCGAGAACTCGTACTCCACTGCCCTTATCCTCGAAGACGACGCGGACTGGGACATCTTCATCAAGCAGCAACTGCGAGAGTTCGCGCGGGGCGTGCGGGCGCTGACGGGCAACACGCACGGGTCGCGGCAGGCCCCCTACGGAACCAACTGGGATGTGCTCTGGATCGGCGGGTGCGCGTCAGCGGCCAAGGCCAACGAGACGCAGTTCTTCGCCATCCCGCAAGATCCGACAGCGCCCAGCATCGACCACCGCGGCACTTGGGGCGGACCGCTCAAGGAGTGGAAGACGCAGTACCCGGAGTTCCCGGAGACGTCGACGCGGTTCGTCTACCGGGCGGAGTACGGGTGCTGCACGTACGGCTACGCGGTGACCAAGCGCGGGGCGGAGCGGATCCTGGCGGCCCTCGCCGTCGACCGCATCGTCGCCGCCGTGGACAACTCCATGGGCGACCTGTGCGGCGGCAAGGACGGCCGCCCTCAGATCGAATGCTTCGCCCCCTTCCCCAACCTCGTCGGCACCTACCGGGCGGCGGGCCCCGCCTCGAAAGACTCAGACATCCACAATGGCACCGACGAGTGGCACGAGGCCCAGGCCTGGAACCTGATGTATAGCACCCGGTTGAATATTCATAACCTGGTCGCCGGGAAGGATACCGTGTACGCGCAGTATGAAGAGAAGTTCCCTTGGTCCAAGTGGAAGCTGAGTCGGAAGAATTTCCACTATCCGCAAGGGTACCTGGTGCATTAATATTGACCTCTTGATGTTTCGGTCCCTTTTTTTGTTTTTGTTTTTTTTTTTCTTTTTTCTTTTCTTCGTTGCGAAGATACGGAGTTCACTGAGGGAGTACATTGACTGTTCGGGTGGTGCTAGTGGTGGAGGTGGTGGAGGTGGTGTATGCACAGCGGTCGCATCATCTGTACATTATTAATTCCTAGCATTTTGTTCATTCATTAGCATTGCCGTTGTTAGCCTTGTCCACTTGTTGTATATGGGAAGTTGATGGACTCTTCAAGTTCGGGAGTTAAGTTACTCATAGTACTAAATTCTAGCGTAGGAAATAAGACCGAGTAAAACCGAAAATGGAGTCCTTGCAGCTCGGCTTGGCGGGACTTGAATTTACGGCGGCACGTCGCTGAGTGAGTGAGTCCCCCTTCCCGCCCTTCCGAAAATTGACCTGGCTTTGCGCATCCATCGTTGAGAACCTGGAATGAGGAATGTGTTGCTGCCGCTAGTAGCATCTTGAAGGATCGCTCTTCTACTACGTACTACATACTCAAACAATATGTCTGTACTACACCACAGGTGCATCTATCCATCGCCTCACTACCTCTTCTTCTCGCAGGAGCACACATCCGGAGGAAATCAAGGAAAAGAAAGGGGCAGATACGAGTGACCTCCGCTTTCTCTGGCAGAAAACCTCTTTACGAAGTCCAAACAACTTGAATATGGAGAACGGCTCCTGGCATGTCGAACGTCGAACTTACCCATGGAAAACTCCCCGGATACATTAGGCACCATCCATTTTTGATATGCCAAAACTCGGGACTATTTTCCTGGGGCTAGAACTAGGTACTCCGTACTCCGTACTTACCAAGTGACCGGTAGTCGGTCCCAAAGCGGGCTAGCCTGGATCCAACCTTGAACCGTACCGTACACAGTACATCCGGTCTGCTGCTGCTTGGTGCTGGCTGGCGGCGACCTCGGGTGGTAGCGGAGCGCACTCATAGTAGGTAATGATTTGCGGTGATTTGCCTGCCTCGGCGGTGAACAGGGGATTTTCCTGGCGGGAAAGGGAGGGAAAAGAAATGCAGTGCCGTATCAGACCAGTCGCCGTCCCATTTCCAAGTCAAAATGTCGGACATTCTTTGGTTGAGGGTTTTTCTGAAGAGCAACTATTGAGAGTTCTAGTACTGAGATAGCTCCTACTGGCAGATAAGTGTTTACACCCTGAAAAAACCCGAAAAAAAAGAGCGAGTCTCAACCTTGATATTATGGGGGCAATGTTCTAGATGCGTTCACCTAGCCCGCATCGACCAGATGGGCCAATTGAAGACAGCATTGGGGTTCTAGTGGGGTGGGAATCGGTCGATTGTTCCTGAGCCCTACATTCGCGAAACTTTCGCTGCACAGCTTCGTCCACTGCTCTTCTCCCTAAGTTCTCCCTCTGGTCAGCAGCATGATAGGTAAAATACTGAGTAGAAGATGAAAGATACTGAGGAGAGGCCGTAAGGTGGCATCAAGAATGGACCGAATCCGCCATCGATTGGCATGCCAGCCCGGCTGATAGCACAATACTTTCAAACTCCGTACTGCTTGCACTGAACTTAACGCTACGCTGCAGTGCCCATGTCGGATGACTCCAACGGAGGGTGCCAGTTGAAAGTTAACTTAGGTTTTCATGTTTCCATACTTTCCATACTTTTCCATACTTTGACCACCACTTAGCTTTTTCGGCTCAGGTAATCGAGGGCTCACACTAGATTCGACTTGCAGCGACTGATTGGTGGCAGTGGCTGCCGTAGAGTGAATCGACCTCCCCGCGACCAAATCTGATCAATCAGAAGCCTCAATCGAAGAATCTGATTGCTCGTCAGAGGCATTGATGAATAATCGGTGATCCGGTGGAGCCACCAGGCTCAGTCAATGCCAGGCCGACGACAACAACAACCAGGGCCAAGTCAAGACTTGACTGAACTCCCACCCCAGCCAGCCGGACAAGCAAGCCCAAGCAAGCCACAAATACCGTCGCTGGGTATGATATCATCTATTCACCTTCACCCCCTGGTCCATGGTCCATAGTTAGTTCGACCTTTCAGACATCGATCGTTTGTTAAGGGCTGGTTTGGCTGCGTGAAAATATGATCATTTTTTCTTTCTTTCCTGCACAGCAAATCCTGTGAATTGAGACCATCCCAGAATGCCAGAGACGTCTCCTGAAGCAGATGCGCATCCCGATCACCAACCACCAGAGACTGCCGCGAATTCGAGCTCGAAAGATCTTTGCCTCAGTGGCCCTGGGAGGGTCTACCCTCTGCGGTCGATTATTGCCCCGACGCACCCTTTAGCACTACCCTACCGATCGTCTTCAACGTCGAGCAGTTCACAACATGTTCACAGCCTGTGCAACGAAAAACTTGAGTTGGAGGACCAGGATGAGCACTTGGAGCATCCGCCCATTAGTCAGCCGAGCACCCCGCCCGAGCAACGATTTTGGTCATGTGACTCTCCAAAGCAACAACTACAACATCAACAATCACCACCGTATTATCAGCAGCAGCAGCAGCAGCAGCATCAGATCGACGGTACTGGATCGATAACCCCTACTAACTTATTTGACCATGCCTCAGGCTCGGAAGGACTAGACCATCTAGACCATCTGAATCTTGAGAATCTCGGCTCACTCACTCTGTCATCCTCACACCGAAGATATGACGCACAGGACTCCGACGAGGACAGCCTCGCAACCACCAGCACCACCAAGACCCTCCAGGCGTGCGAGGATGAGCCGATACACAGACCTGGGGCCGTGCAATGCTTTGGGGCGTTGGTGGTTTTAGAACAGGTGGATGAGGGGACGTTCCTGGTGCAGTTGGCCAGTGAGAACTCGGAGGCTATCATCGGGCATTCGCCGCAGAATCTATTCACCTTGAACAGTTTCTCGGATCTGTTGCGCAACGATCAGGATGGGATTCTCCGCGATCATGTGCAATTAACCGAGGACGACCAGTGGAGTCCGGCCGTGGACGGGCCGGAGATCTTCAAATTATCCATCAACGACCGACACGGGCATCCCCAGCGATTCTGGTCGGCCGTTCACCGCAACCCAGCGCACTGGCACCTGATTATCTGCGAGTTCGAGAGCGAGATTGATCGTCTCAACCCAGTCAACACAGCCGGTCAGACTCTGCCGGCCAAACCTACGGATATCCTAGGATTCGAGCCCACCGCCGATCAAATAGCAAGCAGCACCGTCAAGATCAGCCAACCGTTACGGTTGCTACGAAACAGACGCAGAAAGCCGGGCGAGATGGCTTCGATGGAAGTCCTCAACATCATTAGCAAGGTCCAAGATCAGTTGGGTAGGACGCAAGACCCGGATACGCTGCTGAATGTCTCCATCGGGCTGATCAAGGAGCTGACTGGTTATCACCGCGTGATGGTCTATCAGTTTGACCACGAGAATAACGGGAATGTTGTTGCAGAACTGGCCGATCCACGATTCTCCAAGGACATCTTCAAAGGACTCTCGTTTCCGGCCGCGGACATCCCCCAGCAGGCCCGGGATCTCTACAAGAAGAGCAAGGTCCGGCTTCTGTACAATCGCGATCACATCAACTCCCCTCTAGTATCGCGAGACCTCGAGCATGCAAAGGCTCCGCTGGATATGACCTATGCATTCCTGCGGGCGATGTCACCTTATCATCTAAAGTATCTAGCTCGGATGTGTGTCCGCTCCTCGATGTCTATCAGCATTAACGATCAGGAAGATCTCTGGGGGTTGATTATATGTCATTCCTACGGAGAGCACGGCATGAGAGTCCCCTTTCCGGTCATACGCCTGACCAGGTTGATTGGCGATTCGGTGTATCAGAATATCAAGCGACTCTCCTGTATGTCGCACCTGAAGGCCGGCAGTCCCGCCAACCAGGCGGCTGCGTCCGAGATTCTGAAACAGGACAGCCACACATCCGAGGCGTTGCTTAAACTGTTCGACGCAGATTTCGCAGCTCTTTCTATCCGAGGACGAACGAGTATACTCGGCGAGTCCACGGACTTCCAAGAAATCCTCGCTGTGGTCGAATATTTCCGGTCCAAGAAGCTAGACTCTGTTGTGGCTTCTAACCATGTCAAACGAGATTTTCCCGACCTTCACTTTCCGCCTGGTATTCATGCCGTCTCTGGTGTCATGTATGCGCCTCTCTCCCTGCACAAAGAAAATTTCATCGTCTTCTTCCGCCGTACGCAGATGAAAGATATCCGATGGGGTGGAAACCCATATGCAAAGTCGCCCAGGCAGCCTCGCAAGGATTTTCGGGTCTGGCGAGAGACGGTCGTGGACCGATCTCGGGAGTGGACTACGTCGCAGACCGACAATGCAGTTGTCTTGGGTATGGTCGGCTCTCAAGTGTCGAGCGACTGGCGAACGGAAACGGGACCCCCTTCGTCGTCTAGCCAGCATGCCAAGTCAGCCGATGAAATTCGAAACACTCTTAACACGATCATGAAGAACCTTGGGGTGGTTCTGGGAGGCTCGTTTGACTCCGAATTCCAAGACAGCATCACCCGTTCCTATTCTGCCTCCAAATCCCTCCTCTACGTGATCAACGACCTCCTAGACCTCACGAAGAAGGAAGAAGGATACAACCTTATCAAAGATGAATTGTTCGATATTTCATCCTGCTTTCACGAAGCCACCAAGATGTTCGAGGCCGAAGCGCAGCGCAAAGGGCTTTCCTACAAAGTCATCCATGAACCAGGTATCCCGAAGGGCGTGCTCGGTGATGAGCGGCGCGTGCGCCAGGTGATTTCGAACCTCATATCCAACGCCGTTCAGCATACCTCCGAGGGAGGGATTACCGTCGAGATGTGGCGGGACACGGTCACTCCTGCGCCGGGGCGGGCTATCATCAACATCACCGTGGTCGATACCGGGTGTGGCATGTCGTCGGCCAAACTCGACATGCTTTTTTGCGAGCTGGAGGAGATCTCGACGGAGCGGAAGAATGGCGGTGCAACCGACGAAAGCTCGACCGCGCTGGAGCAACCGCACAAAAAACATGTTCTGGGAGTGGGACTTGCCTTGGTTTCGCGGATTGTCCGCAACTGCCATGGGCAGCTTGTGGTTCATTCCGAAGAAGGCAAGGGCAGTCGATTCGCAATATCACTTCAGTTCGATACCGGGTAGTACATGCACCTGGACCGAACTCCAACCTCTACATTACAATCTGCCTCGAGCTGTGACGGGCTTTCTGATTTTTTCTTCGCTTGGACTTCAGCTAGCGCACACGAATTAGCCTCTGGTTTTTCTTCCCCTTCTCTTCCGACGCAGAGGGCGAAATGCCCTGGAGATTCTCCGATCCGGTCTTCTCCACGCCCTTGTCCTCCTGCTCTGTATATACATATATATCTTCTTTTTTTCTGGGTCTTTCTGGGGTTTCTTTGTTGTATCAACACACCGTCGACAGCGTTCGAGCAGGCCATTTTGTTTCCCTTTCTGGATAATTTTCCTTCCAGGAATTTTTTTCTTTCTCCCGGATTCTGGAATTTTGGGAAGAATGAATGATGACGATATTGATGACATTGATGGTCTTTGATCACGTCGCGGCAGAGCTGCCTGCCCTACTTGTTTTCTATTCATATTGTGGCTTATTATAGACACGAATACCCCGAGAATATCAGGATTGTTTTCCTTTGCGACGGTCTTGCTTTCGAAACTGAAACTATACCCGATACCCAACCACCTCAGAAGTATGACGGATTCTTTCACCGGCAGTCGAGGTGGGTGATTGGTTGAGCAGCTCGATGCTTCTACCATGGGTTTCCCTGCCAATGCTGTGAGGTTCAAAGCTTATCGTCAGCAAGCTTCCCTGGGTTTTGACAGCTGTCTAAGTTCTTTATCCACTGGCACAGCGATCAAGGCTTAATGTTTCAGCTTACAATAGCATTGTATGTCTACGAATCGAAATCTGAGGAATGATCACTCGTGCGCCTTTCGCTTGGGTTGTTCAGGTTTCGCAATCGAGCTGAGTAATCACCTTACCTACAATAGCATCGGTTGGCTAACTTCTTAATTGCCTCGATTTCTTCTTCCATCTTCTAGTTAACATGTTCTGTAAGAAACAAAAACGTTGGCCGTTTTTCACTTCCGGTTAACATAGATTGCACCAGGAACCTGACTATTGTCATGAGAACTGAACAAAATACGCATTTATCACCGCCGGAAGTCCGAGTGGGCATGTGTATCACTCACGTGCAGCTGTCCCACGCGGACGTCAAGGTCAGGCGCCAGAGCTAAGAGCTAATTGTATCTGCCCACCAGTTGAATCCCTCCATGCATTATCACGTCCGGCACGTGAGTCAAGCAATAAGCACTAAGCGCCTGATATACATTAGTGAATTTAGCTGCAACACTAAGGAATAACAGCCGTCAGAGAATACAGCCTGTACATAAAGGCCGACCTGCTTCATTGCAATGCAGCGCAACAAATCAGAAGAAATTGCTCCTTTGTCTCGACCCCATGATGGATACCCCAAATGCTCATCCTCTCCCAACCTTCGACATCACCGCACAAGGCCTCGCAGAAGAAGCCGCAGAACTAATCGCGTATCTTGAACACTCCGCCGACAAACTAGTCGCCTCCGTCGCTCGCTCGGAACACACCTTCGACACGGTCATCCGGCCGCTGGCCGCGATCGACAATGAGCTCCGCGCCCGCGTGCAATACATCGCGCTCTTCCATGGCGTCTCCCCATGCGCCGAGATCAGACGGGCCTCGTCTGCGGCAGAGAATAGAGTGGTCCAGGCGCACTTGGCGCTGTTCCAGCGGGACGATCTTTTCGCGCTCGTCGACGCAGTCCATGCCAATCCTCAACAGCACGTGTCCGTCGACGAGGAGGATCTGAAGCTGCTAAACAGGCTTCATCAAATGTTCATTGATAACGGAATGAAGTTGACCGGGGCGAGCCGGGAGCGCTTTACGTGGATCACGCGGCGATTGGTCGACTTGCGAGTGGAATTCATGCAGAACCTTGGCGCGGATCCGGGGTCTGTATCCCTCAGCGAGGGCGAACTAGCGGGGTTGGGTGTGGAGGGATTTGAGGTTGTCGAGGAAAGCAGTGTCGATGCTGCTACTACGACGAAACGGTACCGGGTGCCCCTTACCAAGCCAGTCGTGACGAGAATCCTGTCTCAATGCAGCGTCCCGCAGACCCGGAAGGAAGTCTTCCTGCGTAATCAGAACCGGTACCAGCCCAATGTCGAGATCTTCCGGGAGATTGTGATTTTGCGCGACGAAGCCTCGCGGCTGCTGGGGTTCGAGTCCTTCGCGCACCGCAAGCTTCAGCAGCAGCTCGTCAAATCGCCGGACCGTGTGGAGAAATGGTTGAAGGAGCTGCACAACACCTTGAAACCCCTCGCGCAACAGGAAATGGAGCAGCTGCGAGCTGTGTCTGGAACAGACGCCATCCATCTCTGGGACCTGGATTTCTACCATAACCGCATCCTCCAGCAACAGTACCATGTCGACCACGAGCGCGTGGCGGAATACTTCCCGGCTCGAGGCACGATCCAGCGCATGCTAGGCGTCTTCGAGGAGCTGTTCAGTGTGCAGTTCGAGAAGATTGACGCCTCCGGCAAGCACACCTGGCATGCGGATGTGGATGCGTTCGCGGTCTGGGAGGCCGATAAGTCGGCCTTCATCGGGTATCTCTACGTGGACATCTATCCCCGGCCGGGGAAGTACAACCATGCGGCTAATTTCAATATCTATCCTGTGCGGCTTTCCTCACCCTCGACCAGTCAAAACTGCAGAGCTATTGTGCCTGGACTGACCCTGCAGCAATCCAGGCTTACCTCAACAGCGAGGGCAAACGAACCCCCGTCGTGACCGCATTAGTCTGCAATGTCTCGCGCGGCGAACCGGCCCTGCTGCGCCACCAGGAAGTCATCACCATCTTCCATGAACTCGGACATGGTATGCCCCCGGCATTTTACCCTCTCCTCTTCTTATCCCATGCCCAACTTCCTCCCCGACACTAACCCTCAGGGTAAATAAAAGGAATGCACGACCTCCTCGGCCAATCGAAATACGCCCTCTTCCACGGCCACCGCACTGTGGCCGACTTCGTCGAAGCCCCCAGCCAACTCCTCGAGAACTGGTGCTGGGTCCCCGACTGCCTCCGCCGACTCAGCAGCCACTACACCTACACCTCATCATCATCACCACCATCACCATCACCACCCTCAACCCCCCAAACCCACACCCCAACCCTCACCCAACCGCCCCAAAAAATCCCCACCTCTCTCCTCACCGCCCTCCTGGCCGCCAAACCCCTCAACCTTGCCCTCCTCACTCTCCGTCAGATCGCCTTCAGCACCTTCGACATGGCCGTCCACCACCCTACTTCCCCGGCCGCACTGCAATCCCTCGATATTGCGGCGACATACAACCGCCTCCTCGAAGAAACGACCGGTCTGCAGGGCCCGTCACCGTCCCCGTCAACTTCCTCTTCCTCTGACCAGAAGTGTTGGACCTGGGGCCACGGCCACGTCACCACCGCGCACTACGTCTGGAGCCAGGAGGCGAACTACTATTCGTATCTTTTGTACGTTCCCTCCCAACACTTTCCTTGTGGGATTTAGATCAGGCGGGTTGAATGCGCAAGCTAACTCTATTGTGAACAGTACCCGCATGCTGGCAGCGGAGATCTGGACTTCGCATTTCCAGGCGGACCCCATGAGTCGGGAGGCGGGGCTGGCGTACCGGCGGGGGATCCTGGAGTATGGCGGGAGTCGGGAGGAGTGGGGGTTGATTACTGGGTTGTTGGGGAGGGAGCCGGGCTTGGGGGCTTATTTGAGGGAGTTGGGGGTGGAGTGTGGGGAGGATGCTCTTTAATGTTTCGTACTGAGCAGTAAGTTGAATTGTGGAGGGGGGTTAGGTTTTGCTCGGTGAAGGGCTGATGTGAGGGATCACTCTTTGGTAGGTGAGTAGGGTATTTACTCTGGGTGGCTGAATACTCATAAAAGTGACTGGTCCATTTCGGGTTCTCCTTTCACTTCTAGTGCCTTTTTCCTTTACGTGTGTGTGTGTTCAGTGGCGATGTTTTACCCTTCTCAGCGGGTATACTTCTGCACAAGTGGATAAGGTCAATCCACTACAGGCATCAAAAAAAAAAGTAAAAGAGGGAGTATTATATTTCTTTGGTTTTTGCCTATATCGATAGATTACATGTCATAAAGTGCAACCGAAATAGCTCGCCGCCGTGAGGGCATCGACCGGCAAGCAGTGAAGAGAAACTGGGATGAAGACGGTAGTCCCGAAGAAAAAAAGGAAAAGTTTTTGGTCTGGTAGATCTTCCAGATAGAAGGATTTACAAAAGCACATACTTAACTTTTCGCCCATCACCAGATCGCCGATCCAGTTCCACTATTGACGATCATTCCCTGGTGAAGCGAGCGGCAGACATGTCTCATCGAAGAGAATGAGCAAGCCGTCAGCCAAATACCTCGCTCTCACGCCTGCGAACGCTTCCACTTTTCCAGGCTGTTCGCCAGCGCCGTCTCCGACGAGGGGCTCGGCGTGCTCGTCACCGTGACATCCGTCCGCTGCAGAACCTGAATACTGTTATGGTGGTCCTTGACCGGACTGGTCAGAGCGATCTCGCCCTCCTCGAGGCGAGAATAGGAGCTCTCGGACGTGCGCCACGCCTTCGCGACCTGCTGGCCCGCGCCCGCGGGACGGAACTGCGGGTTCTGGATCGTCGACCGGGTGCGGCTGCGCCAGTAGTCGCTGATCTTGAGCTTGCGGCGGAGGCCACTGTCCATGAGTAGCTTCGAGAGGCAGGGCATACTGAAGATGAAAAAACCGCAGGCCATCTCGGCAAAAGCCCAGAAGAGCAGCGGCGCGATCATGTACATTTGGTCGGCCGTTTTGGCGAAAGAGACAGTATGGGCCAGGCGGAAGCAGGCCGCGATAGATGCGCTGGGTGAGATCGGGTTAGTACAATATAGATGGGGTGGTTGGAATGTGAGGACAGGAATGCAAAGGCAGGCGATGGATGTGAAGAGGAAAGAGGGCGAGGAGAGACGAACAGAATACCAGCACCAAAGATTACAGAGATGCCCATCTTCTTCTGCCAGCTCATCTGCAGGCCCCAGATCATTCGTTGCGGAAGCAAGAACATGGTGATGTCAGAGAAGACCTGCACAGCAGCTGAGCAAAGCATCACGTCCGGCAACGAATAGCATTTGCTGGGGAGGTAGAACTCCCAGATTGCTCGATGCGGGCGACACTGTGCATTCAGCAAGATCACGCACAGCAAGCCCCACAGGCACTGCAGTGCGGAAACTGCCATGCATGCCCACCAGAAAGGGGTCTTGGCGCCATCGACCGGCACGAAGATCCGACACCAATCGAGGAGAATGGCAGTCTTGATCAGAGGAAGGACGGCTGAATAGCAGCAGCCGTAGATCAAAATCAGCTAGGTCATATCAGCTGCACTACCCGAGACCCGGGAGCTCGGTTGCCCTTACATAGAGGGGTCTGACAAGATCGCCCATGTGAAGATTCCATTGGTGGACGAAATAGCCCGGTGTCTGGATCATCTCGTAACCAGCATAGGCAGTACCCCAGTAGGAACCCTAGGTATGATAAGCATTGAGTGTTAGGCAGGATGAAAAGGAGACACGTACAAAGGCACCGATCATTAAAACTATTGAACCAAGTTGTCAGTTTGGAACTGCGTAGCCGAGCAGCATGGGGTGTCTAGCCAACTTACCATCCTCGAGACGAATGGAACGATCCAGCCAGACCCGCACGTAGATGCGCAAGCACATACACAGGGTCGCAACGACGGTGCAAACCGTAATGATGCCCCAAGCCAAGCTGTTGTGGTTCGGAGGATTATCAAAGTTAGGGGTGACGCCTTCTGGGGCCGCAAGGGCCGGCTGGGCAAACAGCGTGGCTAACTCGTCGGTAGACATTGCGATGGATGAGACCCTCCCTCAATCAAGGTGGGCTCCATCGAATATAAGTTGTTCGTCGAGTATGACAGGTCGAAGGGGGGTCAGTGTCGAAGTACGAGGATCGGGAACAAAACCACATGGCTACCGGGGGATCGTCTATGCCTCACACTCCCTGGTGGTTGACCTCTATCAAGTACTTGAAAAATCAGACTTTCTGACAGATTCCGTTTGCGTAGCTGCATTCACCTTGCTCCCCACTCACGGCCCGTTCGCCAGATGCTAGGAAGGCATCCGAACCAACCGTTGTCGGGCGGGTGGGGACTGGCCGTGGTGGTGAAGGACCTCCTTGCCAACGGCGTTCAATTTTGACAGCCAGATTTTTGGAGAATTGAGCCCACTGCGGTGCCACTACCACTCTGGCGGTGCCGATCCCTGTCGCGGAGGCACTCAGGGTTAGCGCCCGATTTGCAAGACGGGATAACACTCCCAAGTGATGAGCACAGCAGTAGCCAACAATGCGGGAAAATCGGTCGATCTGTGCGCACTGGACCCCGGGGAAGTTGAACAAAGTCCTTTGTGTTGTTTATCTATCCATTGTTGGTCTGGGGACCAGGCGTTCACTAAGTTTCATTGAGTGGACAGGCTGACAGCAGCAATGCAAGGGTGACAGCTGATCACAGGTCCTTATTCCTTTCCCCACTTTAGTGCCAAGTGATTAGCAGCTGACGGACTGTCTTGACAATTCCTTCGAAACGGCTGGACCTCAAGAACCACCTTGGGACTCCAATCAGAGACAACGGTAGCTCCTCCAGGAACTAGTCGAGATATCGTAAGCCGAACGGCCTGTGAGGAGAGGGAGGAACCATCCCCCTCATGGCGGTTCGTCGCGGCGATCTCGAGGCTAGCCTACTTATAGGCGTTGCAGTACCCCTCCTTTGCATCTCATGGCACAGCCCCTGATTTCTCAAGCATTATGGCGACCGGTAAGTATCCTTCTGCGGTCGATTCAGTTGTTCTTGCGACGCAGCGACTGAAACAAGAATATGGGAACTCCTAGTCTCTCACAGCTCTCATGCGCCCGCAAGGGCCGACGAGTATCCTGGTCAGGCTGACCTGCGCAAAATGATGGCTCAACAACCCTTGCCTGCTCTAGAACCCAACCTCGTCGACCCTGAGACAATGACTGGCGATGCACCGACCGTTCAGGCGCATGCCGTGCTAGATCGGCTCAACACGGCCCTGTCCAGCAAGAACGTGGAAGCGCTCCAGAGCTGTTTCTATGCCAGCCAGGCCTATTGGAAAGACCAACTGGCACTCACATACCACCTCCGCACATTCAACACACCGGGTGTAATTGCTGCTGCGATGCTGGAAACAGCTCCCTTGCGAGGGCTAGGAGATGTGTCTGTAGACGGAGGCGCGGTCTTTATTCCTGCGACACCCACCTTGGTCAGTCTCTACACACAATGTATGGTGTGACAAATGCCGACCGAGGATAACCATATCTTAGCAATTCATCGACTGTGGAATCCGTTTCCGAACGAGCTCCCCGGCAGCGACAGGAAAGGGAAAGGTGGTACTCTTGCCGGTACACACTGCAGAGAAGACGATCGAGTGGAAGATTTGGGTTCTGAGTACCATGCTGGAGAGCTTGGATCTTCATCTGGAGGACCAGGGACTGTTGCAGGGATCGAGCAAACAGTATGCCGATGCGGAGAGATTCGAAACCGATGTGTTTATCATCGGAGGCGGAAATGCGTAAGTGAAAGAAAGATGGCAAGAATGGGAGAAGCGAGGCTAATGGATGGTGGTGGTTCCCAGAGCTGCCGCGTTGGCCGCGCGCCTGAAGACGCTGGGAGTGGAAAGTGTCATGGCCGAACGCAACTCCCAGGTTGGCGACAATTGGGCTCGTCGCTACGACTGCATGCGCTTTCACATCCCCACTTCCTTCTGCGATTTCCCGTTCATGCGTAAGCCATCTCTTTTTCCGAGCAGGTACAAGCTACGTCTATCTGACAAGGTGCCTTGGCATCATGGCGTTATATAGCTTACGGTCCCGAACTCCAATCACCCCATCTACTCTCGCGCAACGACCTGGCAGGGCAAGTTCGACGATACGTTGCGACCCTTCAACTGAACGTCATCACGTCGGCTCAGATCCAGTCAACCCAGTACAACCAGGCGACACAGCAATGGCAGATCAAAATCCAAACCCCGACCGGCCAACACACGGCCATTGCGAAGCACCTCGTCCTCGCTACTGGCATTGCATCCCAGCAACCCTTCGTGCCTTCCATTCCCAACAAAGACGCCTACCAGGGTATCAACATCCACTCAACTCAGTACCAGAATGCCAGGAAACTGGTGGATCAAGGCGTTAAGGTAGGCACCTGCTTAGTACCTCCTCCTCCTCCTTCTTCAGCCAAGCTAACTCCACCACCCCAGTCCGTTCTTGTCATCGGCTCCGCCAACACAGCCTTCGATATCCTCGAGGACTGCCACGCCGCCGGACTACAAGCCACGATGAACGTGCGCTCCCCAACCTACATCGTCCCGATCGAGTACCTTCTCGACAAGCGCAGTCTCGGCGCCTACGACCTCGGCGTCGAAGCCGCCGACCGACTCTTCCTCTCCCTGCCCGCCGTGATCGACAGCCAACTGGGCGATGGCCTGATGAAGCTCTTTTCATCCCAGGAACCCAAACGTTACGACGCGCTCGCCGCGACCGGCTTCCCCGTGCGCGACAGCTCCCACGTCGAGTCCGTCCTCATGCACAACCTCCTCGAGCGCGCAGGCGGCCACTACGTTGACGTCGGCGGCACCAAACTGATAGCCGAGGGCAAAGCCGGCGTCAAGGCCAACGTGGAACCAACTGCATACACGGCCACGGGACTGACCTTTTCGGACGGTTCTTCGCTGGACGCTGACGCGGTGGTCTGGTGTACCGGATTCGCTGATCGGGACGTCCGCGACACCACGGCGACGCTGCTCGGTGGTGGGGCTGCTCGTGCTGCCTCGGGGACAGGCGGCGACGACGACTCCACAAATGCGGACGGTGAATCTATCCTAGGTCCCGAGGAGATTGCCGCCCGTGTCGAAGCGACCTGGGGCGTGGATGCGGAGGGTGAGATCCGCGGCATGTGGAAGCGGCATCGTCAGCTGGACAACTTTTGGATCATGGGCGGGTTCACGCAGCAGCATCGCTGGCATTCGCGGACGCTGGCGCTGCAGATCAAGGCCGCTCTGGAAGGGGTCTTGCCGCCGGCTTATCGGGATACTCCGCGTGTCTGAAGGATCGAATCTGGAGGATTGTCGTTCTGGTGGTGGAGGTTTCATGCACATAGTTCTTTCTCTTGAGTGGTTGTCTGATTTAGTTCTTGATGTAGATTCTCGGATCGGTGCAATGAGCGCAGGGCCGTGAAAGAATCCTGGCGCATCTGTGGGCCCTGCTTGATGGTAATTTAGATCCGGTCAGACAAGCATACTCATGTCTGCCTTGTTGATATATTGCAATATTTCCTAATGTTATGCGATAACAGTTTGCTGGGAGAAGGTCGAGTCTATTCGTACTTGTTTTCGGAAGCTATGACAGCACTGGAATATGGTTTTGAAAAGTCTTTGAGAGGGAGTTAAATGCGCTTATCTCACGGAATAATTCCATACAGGGCCAAGAAACGCGACCGATATCTGCCGCAGCATTACTTGGTGGTTCTCTGCATATTCAAAAAGGTATTCAATGCCGGGCTTATCGTACCTGCCTGAAACACATGAGGCCATCTATACCCGCACATCAGTCTGTGTCTTTCTGAAAGTTAGTAGCATGATAAAAGGTTTAGTCGGTGAGATACCTGAGTTGATAGAGTTGGTGGTCCGGACCTTGTGTGGTGTCATCGACGGATTGATCTATATATCTCTTGTGCGGGAAGCTTTTGCACTGCACCACAAAAAGAATGGATAGCCAAATAACGTGTGAACGAAAGGGGGTTAAGGAACAAGTAAAATGCAAGTTTAAACAGAGAAGAATCCGAGCATACACTGTCAGCCCAGGTGCGCTATTCGTTATGTTGAGTTGAAATATAGTTTAGGAATTTGAAGCTTGATTGAGGGTGAACTGCTCGCGTGCTCTTTTCTCCCCGACCTGGTACACCTACTCTCAGCAAAATGAGTCAAATTATGCTAGAAATCAACAATTATCAGTCAAGCAATTTCGCACATTCAAAATTGATAAATTCTCCATCTATATTGGAATTTGGCTGTCAAAGCCGTGGTCCCTATGTTGGCTTCAATCACGAAGAGAAGATTGTAATTGGGCTTCAGGGAAAGGCATGCATGATTCCCACTGCTTCTATTCAGACGCAGTTATTCTATCGCATTCATTCTATAGCCCTGCTTGGCGCAGTAACTACAAGATCCAAGATGGTATACCCGCTAGATTGCATCCAACGTCCGGAAGCAGCTCGAAACTGCAGCCAAAAAATGTCATGAAGATGGTCGTGTAGATCACCAGGATCCGCCAGACGTCGTCTAGTCAAAGTACTTCTTCATAAGGTTATGGGCTAATTCCACACCAGCACTATCGTACGTCAGCAATAGGTTATCAAAGAGAAAGAACATAGGACTCACAAAGTCGCTGCGTTGGCTGGGACAGCACGGGCCAGAGCAGGACCAAATCCGGGGAAGAACGCCTTGAACCCGCCGTTGGCATAGACAGCGCGAATGGTTCCTCCGATGGTTGGCCGACCGGGGGCACTCTGCAGGCGAGACTTGACGGTATCGACGGGGAAGACCGGAATCCACATGGCGATTCCAGCAGCTCCACCTGCGGCCAGCACAGCGGTCATTGAAAGCTCACCTGTGACGCGTCCCTGCTCGTCCTTAGGCGTCAATGTCCGCTTGATATATTCGTACGCGGCGAAGTACGCCGCGGAACCGGGTCCGTCACGAGCCAGAGTCATCGCGCTACCACGGAACACACTGCGAATTCCTCCCTCTTTGTACAGTTGGCGCACCACGTCCAGGCCGCCCGAGTACTTGGGCTTCTGACCAGGCGGAGGCGGGTTTTGACCTTGGATCTGTAGAAGCACCTTAACGCGCTCGAAGGGAGCCGTGATCAGAGTCATGGGAATCGCCGAGAAGAAGCCCGCCGCAGAGATTTGGCCGATGGTGTATTGGGGGGTGTTGTGCTTCACCTCTACGGTGGACAACTTGCTGACAAGCGTTTTTCCGACATCGTAACCCTGCGATGGTCAGCTAGAATACCCCAAGTGCTTTACAAGCGATAAAACGTACCCAAAAGCTAACAGCGACTGATAGTTCATCGTTAGTCAAAGACTTTACAGGAGAAAGTTCGCGCACTTACACATAGGCGTCACTCCCACCAGGGGAGCTGAAACACCCGCGTACAATCCCTGCGGCAAGTTAGCGTGACTGCACAAGAACCGTAGGCAACATCCCGACTTACACGAGCAAGACCTTCGCGTGCGACCGTCTTCTTGACCACATCTATAGCACCAGCGTAGACGCCCCGTTCTGCCGTCTGCAACCGCACCTTGACCAAATCGAAAGGATGTCCGACAACGACGGCGCACACGCCGCCCACACCGCCCGCTACGAGGGAGCGGATCTGTGCGATTGTTTGGTTGACAGGCTTGGTCTCTGTGACGGGAAAACTCTCTGGGATCGGAGGCGAGACCGATGTGGATGTGGATGTGGTCGACATGGTAGAAAGGAAGACGCTCGAGTGAAAGGCTGAGGCTAAGGAAGAGAGAGAGGGTGGTAAGAGGAGGAAAGAAGAGAGAGGAGAATCGTCTGGTAAGCAAAAAAGCAGAAGGATGGGTCTTGAAAGAATAAGAGAAACAGAACTGGGAAGAAAAGACAGCCAGCAGAGCTAAGTACAGTACAAGCGATCGGTCAGTCGGTCGGTATTCCGGAGTAAGCTAATCTGGGGATTGTGACGAGAGGCCGCGGGGAGGAGGGAACCTCGGCTCGGCATGCGGATCAAATATGGCTCCGAGAACAGGGGTCAGTCGCGGCCTTTCCTTCCGAGGTCATTACCGTCTTCTGCCTAGTGACGGTGGCATCGTGAGTAGTAATGGTAGTGATTGACTGACACTTCCCAATCTCATCGTCATTCATTCCAACCCATTCCTCGTCATAGCTGCCCGATGAAGTCAGAAATCTGACAGAACACTATAGACAATGTCCAAGCATGTTTCTCCTCGTGGTCAATGGCACCGGGTGAGCGGAAGTCAATCGTGGCCGTGTTGATGATCATCTGTCCAAGGATCCAGCAACGGACGACAGGAAGATTGCTTATCGAATCGAGGGGGATGGCGGGCACATGACTGGTGACTATGCCAAGCTTTCACATGCCGGTTTCGGTCAATGCAGAAATGTGGCTAGTGTGTGCCAACGATGGCTGGTGTGGATGGACAGCTGTGGCTGGTATCCCCGGTCATAGTCTCTGTACTATGAATATATCAAGTACAGATCACGCTGTGGCTCGGTGGACTTTGTTGTTCGTCTTACCGGTGATCTCAATTATCTAAGTTTTGTACATGCACACTGACCGGCGTTTCATTACTGCCCAACGGTGAACATGCCCCTTTCCCCTTTCCAACCTAGACTGCAATCTGACACTCTCACTGCAGGGGGTTCGTCAACTTACTGGTTCGGAGCCCCAATGTTGTCTGCTTGGCCGCGGAGAAAAATTCCTCAGATATCTGGTATAATAGAGATCATTATGCGTCCTCAGTGAACAGTCAAGGTAGCCAAAGTTCAGGGGAGACGACTTTGCGGCAGATCGACCCTGCAGATCTATGACAGGTTCCTCGAGACCGCAGTCTGCCGTTCCAGACTCGCGGCTCGGCAGCATACAGATCGCACGAACCGGTTCAAACTCATGTTTTTATCTGCACCATTGCATCATTGATCCTGAATTGGTCCGATCGCGTGGTTGACAACTTGACAGCTGAAGGCCATCGATCGATCACTCGCTCTTCTGTGATGCCTCTGGGTTCTGTCGATTTTGCGATACATCCAGTGTTGGTTGCCTTCTGCTGCCTCGATCGATCGGATCTTATATATTAAAATGCAACCGAGGGCAGAAACTATAAAGCAGTGAAAACAATCCCGTTCACAAGCCATATAGACACTCAAACTTCTGTGAGACGTCGTGATGGACCAATACACCAGTTTTATGGATACTGCGTCGCTGCGCTCCGAGCCGTCGACCGTCGCGCTCGACAACTACCCAGCCTCACCGTGAGCCAAACTCGCTCTCAAAAAGAATTCAGCTCTTGCTTACTGGCGTGCAGACCTCCAGAGGCACTGATCGCTGGCTTTCCTCATCCCCCTAGCCGGGCGCGCAAGGATGAGGAGCATCCAAATCTAACACCCAAGCCATCCCTTAAAACCCTCCGTCGCAACTACATGATCCACGAGCTGCCTCTTCTCCACGAGCCTAATCCTTACTACAACAATGACAGCGACCAGCAACAGTTCCATCCGCTTCAAGAACCAGGCCTCTCATATGATTTGATTGCTCCAGCCGCATCGGACGATGCTGCTCCCCTCCACAGCCTTGAGCGTCTCGCCGACCTCATGTTCTCTTCGGAACACATGCTCTCTATTCTCAATAATCCACGCTATCTTGCGCGATTTCGCGAGTTTTTGCTCGAGGAACGTCCGCGCTCGCTTGCCCTCCTGACTTACTACCTCACAGCCCGCAAGGCTCTTCTAGCCATTGACTATGCCAACGCGCTCGTTCGGTCCGTCGTCGACGCGCCTCCGGTCACAATTGCGACGCCCGACCCAATCGTGGGCCAAATCTCCCATCCGGTGCTGTACCAGCGCGTCACAGAGGCTCTGCAGGCCCTCACAGCGGAGGAGCTTCCCGCTTTCATCACCGCCCGCTGTATCAGCTTGACGAGTAGAGTGGTCGAGGAGCGCGTACGCGGGACTCTCCCGCCCAAATTCCAGGGTGCGTCCGATGCGCTGGCGGAGGTGTTCTGCTTGACCGATCCGTCACGACGGGACAACCCAATCATTTTCGCCTCAGAGGGTATGCTCTCTCTCGAACTGACCGGCTACTGGTTCAGATTTTGATCCTGCTATTGACAACCATTTATAGAATTCCATCGCACGACTCAATACGGCATGGATTATGTGCTTGGTCGCAATTGTCGGTTTTTACAGGGGCCGAAGACCAACCCGAACAGCGTGAGACGCATTCGCGAGGGCATCGAGAATGGAAGGCATCATTCCGAGCTGTTCCTGAATTAGTGAGTCGCTTACGACCCGGACCGCCAGAGCGTCAAGATTTTGCACGGGAAGAGAGATAAACTAATGCGCGAAAACAGCCGCCGCGATGGCTCCCCGTTTATGAATCTACTACAGTGCGCCCCACTGTGCGACAGCCGTGGCACGGTGCGATACTTCATCGGCGCCCAAATCGACGTCTCCGGTCTGGCCATGGACGGTGCACAGATGGAGTCCCTGCGCGCTCTGCAGGCAAAGCAACGTCGAGCGGAGGCCAAGGCGGCGGAGGATGCGCGGGACGGGGACTCTATGGAGATCATCCAGCCAGAGGAAGGGATAGAAGAGGAAGGCGGGGTGCAGGTCGGTTTCGACGACGATGATAATGCCACAAAAGTCTTCACATACCCTCCGACCCAGCCACCACTCAACCACGAACCGTCGCAGGCAGTGATGGAAAATGGTCATCATCCCCATCACCGGGTCGGAGAGAGTCTCAGATCAATAGGATCGGTGTACAGTGAGAGAGATGACGGCGAAGACGACGACGACATCGACCGTCCCAAGGACGAATTCCGGCAGCTGACCGAGCTGTTCAGCCCGCGGGAGTTGACCGTCACGCACGAGGTCGGCGGGACGCTCTTCCACCCCAGCGCGGCGTCCAGTACGGCTGGGATGTTGGATCGGGGCAGCTGGCAGGCGATGAGTCGGACGTGGTCGATGGTCGAGGATGAGGCCATCCGGGAGCGAGAGGTGAAGGAGTCCATGTGGAGAGGCTCGTTGACCGGGGTGTATGAAAACGTATGTCTCCCTCTTTCACCCTTTTTCTTTCTCGTCTTCAGTTGTTTCTATTTGCATTTCTGGCAAGCGATTTGCGACTGACACTAAAACCAGTACCTTCTGGTACGACCGTACCCCTCGCTGCGGATTCTTTTCACCTCCCCCGCGCTCCAGATTCCCGGCATGTTGCAGTCCTCCTTCCTCTCGCGGATCGGGAGTACCTCAACGGTGCGTGAGGAGCTGCTCGAGGCACTGAAAGGGGGGCGGAGCGTCACCGCACGCATCAAGTGGGTGACGAGGTACAACACCCAAGGACGCGATCGATGGGTCCACTGCACGCCATTGCTGGCGAGTAATGGGGAGGTGGGGGTCTGGATGGTGGTAGTTGTGGACGACGATTGACCGGGATTATTTTCTTCGATTGATTTAAGAATAAAGGAGCGGGGCCCGGGGGCGGTGTTCGGTGTACAACAATTCGTTATTCGTGGGGAATCATCTAGACTAATACATCCATCTGTCTATAATATATAACCATGCTTGCATCCACACCATCATGCTCAGCTTCGTCGAGAAAGCAAGCCCTCCGCTTCCTCGCCATCCCGATCGGCCAGATTTTCGGCAACCGCTAGTCCCTCGGCGCGGCCCCGTTCCGCGTTGGTGATCCAGATCAGCGGGATCGGGAGCAGGATGAGCACCGCGACGAAGAAGAACCCGCTCCGCACCTGGCCCGTCTTGTCGATCATCATGCCCACGATGGCCGGGCCGATGAACGAGCTGCCCTTGTCCGTGGCGGCGTACAGGGCGTAGAAGGCTGCTTCGCTGCCGGGAGGAATCAGCAGCCCGAAGAAAGAGCGGCAGTACGAGGCCAATCCGCCTCCAACCACACCGTGCACGACAGCCAGCGGATAGATCTCCCAGGGCTGCTGCAGGCCGATGACGCCCCAGCGCTGGACAAATGGCAAGTAGGCCAGCAGTCCGTACAAGGGGATCAGCTCGAACAGCGCAAGACACAGCATGATGGTCTGATGCGACTGCAGACCTAGCCGGCGCGACACGATCGGCCACAGGAACGCGCCCGCCATTCCGGAGACCGTGGCGGTGATCGACAGGAGCGCGATCATGGTGGTGCTCAGGTGCAGCTCGGTGCGCGCGAACAGGATCGCCGTGCTGGACACCGTCGCCAGCGCATCCGACAGCAAGAACCAGGCTACGAGGAACAGGCGCATCTCGCGCAGGCCCACCGCCACCCGCGCGGTTTTCCACAGCGACCTCCAGGCGAATCCCACGAGGCTTAGCCAGAGCCGCCATCTAGCGCGGGGTGGGCCGCCGTTGCGTGTTGCGCCGCCGGCCTCCTCTAGCGGCGGGCCGGGGCGGGTGCGCAACCACCGCCGGCTGACCAGTGTGAACGCGCACCACCAGAGACCGACTAGCAGCAGCACGCAGCGCAGCGGCAGCGTGCCGGATGATTTACCAATCGAGGTCTTTGAGAGAGTCAAGAGGAGCCCGATGCTGAGGATTTGAACGAGCACTGCGGCGCAATAACCAAGCCCCACTCCTTTGGACGATATGCGCGTCGACAGCTGTAGTTCGGGAGACACGGCTTTCGTTGTAGAGGACTGACCGGATTCGCCCTGATCATGACCATGCGACCGGGCAGAATGCGTGCGAAAGTTATCGTCAGTCTCCTCTCCATCAGGGTGTAGCTGGTGAAGCTCTTCCGGTGTCTCTTTGGTTGGTGAAGCGATGGACGGGTCGTTTGCGACGAGGACGGGCAGAAACGAGTTGAGCACGACGAACGAGGACCCCAGACATACAACGCCTACCACGACCAGGAGCGCACCAAGAATATAGACGGAGGGGGAAATGAACATGAACAGCATGCTCGTTACGGATCCCACGAAGCCGAAGGTCATGAGGAGGGTTTTGCGGTTACTCTCTGCAGAAGTGGAGCATTATGGTCAGTGCTGATGTATGGAGCGAGGCGCTGAGAGAGAGAGGTAAGCTGGTGGTCATACCGTAATCTGCCAGCGCGCTGAACGATATCAGAGTCAAGGCTTGCACAAGCACCGCCAGGGAGAAGGTGTACATGGCGAAGCTGGCGGTGGTGATCTCCAAACCCATCAAGTGGACGACGCATTGTTCATTGGAGTCGCCCGTTGGCGCGTTCGGCCCAACGCATGGCTGATGGCTGGATTGGAGAAATCCTCGCTCGCGAGCCAATTGCTCGAGGGTCAGCGGAAGGAATGATCCTGGGACTAGTAAGCTTGTGCTGACATTGAGGTGCACATGAACGAGGGGAGCGAAGACGTACCGACACCGCAGACAGCGAAGACCTCGGCAGCGATGCCGTAAGCATACCAGCCCCAGATTTCCTGCCGGCTGGTCGGGGTGGTATCCTCACCGGCGTAGCGCGGCGGACGTGATGAAAATTCCTCATCAGAGAGGGAATCAGGGCCTGGAACTGAAGCCATTGAGAACGTTCCTGGGAAGATGAGAGATTGACAAACTGGAAATCCAGCTGTACCTGGTGAGAATGTCCGGTACTTCCGGAAAAGACGGTATGAAGATGAGTCAGCAAGGTGCAAGGTGCATAAACTACCTCACTCGACCCCGCCCTTATCTGCACTTGCCTAATTAAGACGAGGTCCCTGGGCGGGTCGGCATCAACACCGTGGACTACAATTCTGCCTCCCAGTTGCTTCTTGTTCTCCTTTATTCTTCTACTCTGTTTCAAAGGCCAGATGAAAAGCAATTTGATCAACGACTGACTGTAGGGACAGAGAATTCCCCAGCCGTCATCAGCGTGTGAAACAATCTGCTCAATACGACACACACTCCTGCTTCTCTTTAGACTCAGATGTCACAGAACATATGCCAGAACAACCGAGACTGTCTTTGTTCGATAATCTAAAGAAGCTCTGCAAGTCTTCGCACTTTTGACTTGCTGGAAAATGTTTCATGACGCTTGGAATGCTGCTCAATGTGCCTTCATTGCCGTGATTGACGCTCTACACATGCGAAGTATGCAACATCTGCTGACACATGACTATCATAAGATGAGCTCGAAGATGTGAAATGTAAATGGTCACAGACCTTCAATTTCGTGACGATCAATCACGCCTTGTGAGGCGGCTCCTGAGCCGAAATATTACCATGAAACCCAGCGGCTGACCGCAGCATCGGAAACAGGGCGGATGATCTCGGAGCTCAATCGAGGTCCGCGCATACCCATACTTCTTCTTCGCCACTCGGTGTCACGCATATTCCGTAGCTTTGAGTCGTTCACAGGATGGCTCGGGGCGCCGGTGGCGGATGAAATGATCTTCGTTGTGTAAGACAGGCTCCGACGGAGGCCACCGCGGGGGAACATGGTAGGGAACGCCCCGTGAGTGAGTGGCCCCGACGGGGCTCTAACTCTGGGGACTGGGAGACTTGGGGCTGATGATACCAATTAGGTATGTAGCACGATTTTAGCACTCGATTGAGCGGGTCTGTCGACTGGCGCTGAACATGACGATCACAGGCGGATAGGGCTCGGTAGTTCCGCCCTTCGGATCCGAGCATCTCTGTTCCTCGGCATTGAGAGAGCTTCAACCGCGATCTGCTTCGAGAAAATGTCAACAAGTTCATTAGACGACAATTCAGTGATACTTCCCGGTCTACCGACCTGGTCTCACGACATTCGGAAGCGTACTGCACGATTCGCCAGCTTAGAACTCTAGTGTTATAGGAGACGCGATGATAAGCTGACCGGTCAATGCTCCCGACTAAGCCGTGAAACATGGCTATGTAACCTACAACATCATGGTTACCTCAGGTGCTCTGCCTCGGTCTATACGCAGTTGGACCTGGACAGTAGTATTGAGGTGGCAGAGGCGGATGTACCATACTGCTATTTTTCCCCTTTCTTTGGCACCAGGGCCCTTTCTCATGTTTGCATTTATCCGTACCAGTATATGTACCTGCGTCGATTGGAATTGACCGCAATCATCAGCGTTGTCCTCAACCCGTGGGTTCTAGTATTCACAATGAATCAAAACAAGTCATCGCAAGTCACCACTGATCCACTTCCCAAGAGTGTAAAGGTGCGAACGACTTGCAATGCTTGCCAGCAGGCGAAGATTCGATGCAGCCATGAGAAACCGTCATGTTTACGATGCCAAAAGCACAACTACAGCTGTATCTACAGCATTTCTCGACGATTAGGGAGACCGGCCAAGAAAAAAGATACTGCAACGAATGGAAACCATTTCAACACGCAAAAACAGGCCCGAGGTCCTTTGGATAAGAGATTCCGTGGGTACCCCAGGAAGAAGAGTATCATAGAGGAGCCGGTGCATGAAGGCAGGGCGAATCTATCAAGCTACCAGTGTGTCAATGAGAGAGCGATGCTTGACAACAATGCAAGCGATAGCCTCGAAAATCTTGGTGTGGATGATGCAAGTCTACACCAAGACTGCCTTATGGATCCTAATCGTATGACTCCCTGTGGTACCTATGATTTACTCACACAATATCACCTGCTTACAAGATCCGAAAGTTTCTGACGGCAACGACCTATCTTCAGATAATTGGTTGCAGGAGTTCATGTCTAATCCTGTCGCGGATTTAGTGCAGGAGCGCGAACTGCTATACTCCCTCGGCCTGAGCAACAACAAGACCGAGAGCGTCAACAACACGAGTCCCTCTCATGCAAGCCACTTTACAAGCCCATCAAGAAGTTTCCTTACGACGGACTCTCAAGACCAAGCCCCAGAGTGCTACTATCTGGCTCCGAGCAACTTCCCTAGTCACAGCCAGTCCCCTGCGGATGACGCCCACGGACCTGCAAACAGTCGGACCCCTGACCCTGAAGGTTTGAAAAAAGACCCTCTCGCCTGGCTACAGCTGGCTACCTCGTCTATCGATAGTATTCCACCAACGGTAACCAGAGCGATGTCAGCGACGGAGCCTTCCGGCAGTTTCATCCCAACGAGAGCTCCGAAGCTTAACAACGTCTACAGCTATGTGCCAGAACACTTCAAGACAAACCCCACCATGACTAGTTTCCAATATCAGTGCCAATGCCACGAACCGACGATACGCGAGTTGATTCAGGTCAACAACTTTGCATCGCGTGCGGGCCCTGCAGCTACGATTGACTCCATCTTGAATTGTCAGCGCGTGCTGCAGCAACTTTCTCACACCATCCTTCAATGCAACCTATGCTCCCGTACCTGGATCAATCTCCTGATGATGGTTGTGGTCAGCATTGACAGCCTAGTGACCGCTCTAGAAGCCATTATATCTCTGGACAGCGAACTCGCAGAAAGGCTGTCCGCGGAGAATCCTGAGCCACTCCCTACAAGTAACAGGCCCGATAACATTCCCAACGCGAACTTTAGACGATGCCGAGCAAGCAGCCTCTATCTGAAGACACAGGTGGATGCCTGTCCGTTAGTGGTAGGAGGATTCTGTGTTCCATTCGAGGACAAATTTCTTTTCATAGCCCAGGTGCTGTACCTCCGGTTATCAGAGTTGCAGATGACCGTTCGTCGCATCCGTCTATGTACGCAAGAGTTTTTGGCAGTCCCTGCTGCCCGGGGCAGGCTGGGAATGATAATGGAGACCGATCAGCGGCTGGAGCTGGTTATGATGAAAACGAAATTGCTAGCACAGTCATGATTTATACTCGCTTATCTCAATCGTATATCACTTTCGGCTCAGAGAAATTCTCCCGCTTTCATTGACTCTCTCCCAAAATAACACAGTCCATATAAGGTAATGTACCAGACTGGGACCTGTGTTAAGTGCCTTATCTGGGCAGTCGCATATGCTACGTACTAGACCCAAAAAAGTAGGAGCATCAGGGTTGCTGCCTGCGCGCTAGGGCATGGCCGAGAATCAGCTGTGTGACGAGTGCGCGGATCTCATAGCATACTACGTCGCACAGTGAACTGGCTTGCCCAGGGAACAGACCAACAGAGCCTTTCCACCGGAAGTGATATAAGGTGAGGCTGTTCTAGTACCTCCCACGACGGCATGATTGGGCTGCAATGTAGAGTCGCCGCAAGGCATGTGAATTCAGGCGCAGGGCAAACCAGTCTCGCTCAGGAGCCCAGGCCTGGGGCGATTGCGTGCGCGAATCGTGATCTTATTCGGCTCGAAGCTCCTACCACAGCAAAGATGCCGTTTCCATCTTATCTTTCTTGATACAATGATGACCCTGTGTTCGGAGCAAACCGGACCACCTGTCTCTTGGGACGCTCTATTCGCTCTCTGAGCTCCGCCACGCAGTCATGGACAGCAGCAGCAGCAACTGCTCCTGCTCGATCCGTCTCCTGCAGATCATGACCGAGTGCCGGAACCTGCAACCGGTCGTGGAGCTCGCCACCATCCTGGACCTGGTCCATCGGGTCGTCATCCACGGGAAAGCGATGGTCAAGTGCAAGGGCTGCCGCAGCAACCCGCACTCGTCCTTTGCGATGCTGCCCGCGCTGGCCAAGCAGTGTCTGACCCTCCTCGAGGCCGGCAGTCTGGCCTACAGCATCACGAGTACCAACGGCAGCACGCTCCTCGACCTCACGGTGCTGGCGTTCGAGCAGCCGCTGTCACAGTACATCTGTCTGCGCAGCCCGTCGCAGCTGGGCCGCATGGAGCTCGACGAGAAGGAAGCCACCCTCCTGGTCCGGACGCTGATCGGCCGCAACGCCAAGCAGTTCCTGGGTCTGCTGGAGAGTCTGCAGAAGTTGCTCCAGTCCCTGGGGAAGGACATTGAGCCGGCCTTGCCGCCACAGGGTCATGCCGTGCTGCACCCTTGCGAGTCGGTGGTCGGAACCACGCTGCGGCGGTTCGTGGTCTTCCTAGAACAGATCAAGTTCGAGGTAGGTCAGTCCCTCGCGGTCGGATTGGCAAAATAGCTTATCGACCGCTCACAGTGAGCTTGATCTAGATCATTTTTTGTTCTTTTCAAGGATGGGGGAGATCAATCGACTGAAAAGATAGAGAGCTGGAAGATAGAGTACATTTTGCCTCGTAAGGGGAAGTTGGTGCAGTGATCACTCGTTGCATGTTCAGCGACGTGGATCTTTCTGATCTGGTTTCTCACTTTCTGTCTGGTGATTCAATAGCCTCAGTCAGAAGATCTTTTTTGTGATAGCAAGTCATTGAATGCCTAAGGTGTGCGCAGAATGGTCCCTGTTTGCAATGTTTACACTGCTGTTCCGTGCCTGCCGATCCTCTTCAATTAGGCGGTGTGCATTATGTTGGTGAGTCGACAAAGCAGCGATGCCCCTAGCATTCATCGCTAATGTCTCGATCCTGTAGGTAGCATGCACGTATTACCTTGATAAGTATGTATATAGTCAAAACTGCTATGTGACCTAGTGGTATCTTCCACTTCCTCAATGCACTGCATGAGGTCAAATGGCAAACGGCACGATGGCTCTTTCACTGAAATAATGCCAAGGGAAGAACCGGGGCAGTTAGGAAATAATGTGGGCTCCAGCCCAACGTTTGCCATGGATTCGGGCGACTTCTGCTAGACTAGCTCCGTGCTCCGAGAATTGATGAGGGGGTCTCGCGAGCTCCTCACCATGCTGCAGGTACAATTGCTGCTGGCAATGCCATGTTTTCTAGTGTTCGCTCCCTTGTCGTACAAACCCCGCGTGCACTGTACGCCTGTAGCATCATTTCATATAGTTTTGTTGTTTGTCGAGGTTCGCTTTCATCAACAACCCCTAAAACATCCCTCGACTGCAACAATTTCGGGATCTCCCAACAGCGCACAGGGACGCTAGTGTACGGAGTAGTCAAGACTCAAACGCAACGGTGTGAGTTTCGATCAGATTAAACAAAAGCGGATCTGATAGCTGAAGGGTGGCTTGTCTGGTGCTGAACCGGAGAATCTGATTAGATCAATAGTGAGGCCCGAACACTGGAACCGCTGGAAACGAATTACGTACCCTGACGTGGTAAGGACGGTGCAACGGACTAGTCTCAGACATCGTTACCGGTCGCAGGAAATCCGTTGTGTTTCGATGTGACTTTACCCCTCACTGGATACGGACTTCCAGCACTGTTTGTTCAAGGTTCTAAAAGCACCACTCGACTCGGACTGATAACAAGGATCGGTCCGATCTCAGCGTCTCGCACATCCAGTCCGAGTCTGGTTCTGGTACCTTGGTTACTGTACGAAGGTGTGTGTACTGATTGATAAGCGACTGCTTCCTGGTCCCAGGGAATCGGCTCCTTCACAACAACGGGTCGGTCGGATCAGGTCGGGTCAAAGCAGAAGTGGACTACTCCTCCCACCACCGTAGGGTGGCCCAACTGAAAAGAGCAAGACAAAGAGAAAAAAATCCCCACACAGCAATTGCCGGTCTCAGAAATACATTCAGCCGAGGGAAAAGGAGAACGTGGCCTATGAATTCATTCCCCACAATTACGCTATAACAGAGGGGTTTGTTTTCTTAAAGGCCACCCACCACTGGGATTATCCCATCATTTGCGAGAGAACCTGAGAACAGGCATTGCACAGCTTCCGTGGGATTTCTGGAAAACTCCCTCCCCCCCTTCGTCACCTTCATCGTTCTACAACACAGACAATATCAGCTCTCCAGCACCACACAGATCATGTTGTACTCCAAATTCTGGCCCAAGGGTGGTATCCCGGGCATGCTCCACCACTACGTACGTTCGACTAATTGACCCCTCCGCATCCGCAGAGAAAGAGACATAGCAAGAAGGCAACTGACCATTTCATCCCTCAAAACAACAGACTGAATCCCTCGTCACCTTCGAATACACAACCGGCAAGGTCGCCCAACCCCACAGTCTCCTCTTCGTCGGTGGTCTGGGCGATGGTCTTGGTACCACGTCCTACGTCGCCGACATGGCGAAAATGATGGAGAAGAGCGACTGGTCCATCTTCATGCTCAACCTCACCTCCTCCTACAACTCCTGGGGTCTGGGCCACCTGGACCGCGACACGAACGAGATCACCAAGTGCCTCAACTACATCCGCGACTACAAGACCGAGAAGTACGGCAGCCCCGGCAAGATCGTGCTGATGGGCCACTCGACGGGCAGCCAGTGCGTGCTGCACTATCTCTACCGGCCCAACCCCTTCACGGTCGCTCACCCGTTCGACAGCGACCTGGAGCACCTGCAGCGCATGCCCCTCGACGGCGCCATCATGCAGGCGCCCGTCTCCGACCGCGAGGCCATCCAGTGGGTGCTCCACTGGGGGTTCAACGGCAAGACGCCCGAGCAGGTGCGGGCGGTCTACGACAAGGCTGAGGCGCTGGCGCGCGAGGCGGTGCGCGACAAGGACCCCAAGTTCGACACCGTCCTGCCCCTGGACGTCACCGCCAACATCTGCTACGGCGCCAACGTCCCCATCAGCGCCCGCCGCTTCTTGAGTCTCGTGAGCCCCGACAGCCCCGCTACGCCTCAGGAGGACGACCTGTTCAGCTCCGATCTGAGCGACGAGCACCTCCAGACCACCTTCGGCAAGATCCGCGACTCGGGCCTGCTCCGCAGTCGCCTGATGGTGATGTTCTCCGGCGCCGACCAGGCGGTGCCGGACTGGATCGACAAGGAGAAGCTGATGGCCCGGTGGAGGAACGCGGCAAACCACAACGGCGAGGCGGAGATCTGGGATGACCAGCACAGCTTCATCATCCCCAATGCCTCGCATGCGCTGAGCAATGACGATCAGGCGGAACCGAGAAGGCTGTTGGCCGAGAGGGTCATCAGCTATCTGAGTGCAGTCAAGGGAAACTGAGATGATTATGATCTAGTTTTGTTTTTAGCGTGCAATGTTAGAGATTCAACTGTTCAAATTAGAGCATAGATTTGTGAATAAAAGCCGATGTCTACATTCTTCATCATTGTCTGTCAAAGCAGGGTGTTGGACCTTTTCACTGGATATGACTTGGATCTGGAACGTGCGGATAATTTGCACCTCGAGCCGGGCATCAATGTTCGAAGGCAGAGCAAACCATTGCAAAACACCTTATACACAATCAACTACAAAGTCTTTTACTAAATGGCTTTTCATCACGCTGTACAACTTTCTTCTCTCCTGAAGAAACCTCACCGAAATAAGTCCCAGCTTTCGACCCTCAAAACACCTCCTCATTCCCTCTTGCCCAGCCCCATAAGTTACCGCGCAGCATGTATTGGATCGCGTACTGTACGGTCACACCCCCAACCCCCCACCACACAATACGGTACGGTACCCGAAAAAGCAAAACCTCATCTTATCACTGATTGATAAAATTGTCTTTCCCCACCTCGCCGTGATAAAAATTTCTTCCACTCCCAAACCCAGTTTTCCTAACCGAGGTGGGCAAAGGCTGTTGCTCCAACTTGCACCCAGCAAGAGCACTGAACTGGATTGGCACATTTTTTTTTCGGTGCTCAATTCCTCAATTGAGTATGTACGTAGTCTAAATTTGCGCAAAGGAAACTGCAGCAGACTAGTCTTGGGGTCAGGCGACTTCTTATCAATCTCCTCCGCCCCGCCCAACGTCGGAAGGGATGGGCATACTCTGTGGTTTGAAACCGAGAGTGGATTAGGATGTGGTGGTGGTGGTGGTGTTGGTGGTGGAATTGGGTGCTGAGTAGGCACTCTAGCTCATTCACTACTCACAGCGAGCTGTGCACTTTCCCAGCCCCTCTCAGCTCTCTTCAAGATTCAGGACTCAGGTAGACTTTCAACCTGCAGGGATTGGGTACCTACAGTCAGCGCCTTACTCGTCTGCAATTTGCAGTCAACAGTTTATCTCCCAATATCCGTAACTGCTCCCCGAGTCTCCGTCTGCACTTTCGGTCCACTGCTCAAAATCACATAGCGCCAATCTGCAGGTTCCTTCTTCCCGCAGATGTGAGGAAGGGAAACATGATAATCTCCACCACACAGCCGGTGCGCGCGGCTCGCGCTGCACTTGGTGGGGAATTTCCCTTTCGCATCTTGCACAATTCCCCATCCACAAAATCTTGGCTGGCACGACAGCGCGTACTATATAATTTCACACCATACCCGTTTGGTCACAGAGGGCCGAACTCGCGCAAGCGGTGACTTTCCGGGTTGGTCGGAGAGCGGGCAAAGAAGGAACCTACTTTACTACGTACTTGCATCTTTAATAAATCCACCTTCCCCTCCTTCCCCCACCACTACTACCACCTCCTGCTCTCGCCTCAATCCTTCTCACCAGACAGACACAGACCTTTAGCTGGACTGCTGGGAGACGAAGACGACTTATATGACCCCCCTTGACAGGAAACTTAAGGGATTTCGAAGCTAGAGTCATAATGTCGCAACAACAACAACAGTCGCAAGTCGACGCCGACGGGTTCCACCTCTTTCAGGTTGCCGGCCTGGAAGCTCCCTTCACCTCCACCTCCACTATTACTCCGACAGGCACGAGAGAGGAGATTCTGCTAGTATCATGGATGATCCTGCTGTTGCAGTCCTGCGAAGACGGCCAGGTTCGCTTCGAATGGGCGTATTCGGGCGCCGAAAAATCGTCGCTTTCGACACCACAAGTGATGCCGGGATTACGGACTACTATCGGTCAGGTCTCGGCCGCAGTCGCCCAACACATCGCCACAGCCACGCAAGATCAATCACCTGCGACACCCACGACGCTGTTGTTGAGTACGGGTTCATTGTCACGGGCTCCCGAAGAGGTAAAGGATACAGTCAACCATGCGTTGAGCGGCTGCGGACTCAAGCTAACGAACAACTGTGAACTAGGGTGTCACCCATGTGGAGGTTGGCTTTGAGAGCGGAAACCTCAAGATTCGGCCAGTATGGCACTCACCCAGCGTGCTGGAATTCACCGTGGGACTACATGTCACGAAGTTAGCGGAGTTGGTTCAGCGATGCCTGAGCAACCCCGAGAGCACCATTGAAGAGTGCCTTCGAGCGACCACATCCGATCTGAATGAGATCTGGCGCTGGAATCACGAGTTACCACCAACCTACAGCTTCTGCACGCACGAGATGGTAACAGAATGGGCGCAAAAGGCTCCGGAGAGCGAGGCCATTGCGTCCTGGGACGGCAACCTGACGTATGCGCAGGTCGACCGTTACTCCACACACGTCGCCTGGAAGCTCAAGGAGATGGGGCTTCAACTGGACGATATCCTGCCCATCTGCTTTGAGAAGTCACGGTGGACCATCGTGGCAGTTCTCGCGGCGATGAAGGCTGGCGCAACCTTTGCGCTCATGGACCCGACGCTTCCGCTGGCCCGTCTCCAGAACATGGCGCAACAGGTTGGGGGCAAGATGATGCTATCGTCGCGCAAGCAGCACGATCTAGCGACCTTGATTTTGCCCGGTGGTCCCGTCCTAGTTGTAGAAGAAGACACTTTCCAGGGTTTCAACCTGAGCCAGGAGCTTGCAGTGCTGCCCACCGTGCCCCCAGCCACTCTGATGTATATCATCTTCACATCGGGCAGTACGGGCACTCCCAAGGGCGTGACCATCTCCCACCAAACCTACACGAGTAGCGCCATTCCACGTGCCAAGGCCGTAGGATATACACCTGAGTCCCGGGTACTGGACTTCGCCTCCTATGCCTTCGACGTCAGTATCGATAGCATGCTGTTGACTCTCAGCAACGGTGGCTGTCTGTGCATTCCCTCGGATGAAGATCGACTGAATGATATCAACGGAGCCTTCCGGCGGATGAGGATCAATTATGCTGGATTGACGCCATCAGTGGCGCGCATTCTGGATGCGGATGTGATCTCATCGCTGACTGGTCTCGGCCTTGGTGGTGAGGCCGTCTCAGCGCGAGATGTGAAGCTGTGGGGACAGGACACCCGCATCATTATTGGCTACGGACCTTGTGAATGTACAATTGGATGCACAGTCAACAGTAGCGCAGCGACCGGCAGAGACTATATCTCAATCGGACCCGGAAACGGTGCCGCTATGTGGATCACCGATCCCAACGACCACGATACCCTCATGCCCGTCGGCGCTGTCGGCGAGTTGCTCGTTGAGGGCCCGATTGTCGGTCAGGGCTACCTGAATGATCCTGAGAAGACTGCCACGGTGTTTATTGAGGATCCCAAATGGCTTGTTGCGGGCCACAACGGCTACGAGGGTCGTCGTGGCCGCCTGTACAAAACGGGTGACTTGGGACGGTACGACCCTGACGGCTCGGGTGGTATTGTCTTTGTTGGACGCAAGGACACTCAGGTCAAACTGCGCGGTCAGCGTGTTGAGCTCGGGGAGATTGAGAGTCAGCTCAAGGACAGGTTGCCTTCTGATGCTAATGTGATCGCTGAGGTGGTTGTGCCGCAGGGAACCGGTGGTCAGGCTACTTTGGTTGCGTTCGTCACGTTCCAGTCCTCCAAGGCTAATGAGCAGGGTGACCTGAGCCTGGTTGAGCTTTCTGAGGAACAGCAGAAGACGCTGTCTGAAGCCAATGCTGACGTGGCCAAGGTCCTGCCGCGATACATGGTACCCACGGTCTATATCCCTGTGAACTATATCCCGGTCTTGATTTCCAGCAAGACGGATCGCAAGAGACTCCGACAATTTGCTACGACGGTCGACATTCGCCAGCTCGACCAAGGCGCTGAGACAAACGGCGCTGGTCGGGAACTGACCGACCTCGAGCAGCGTCTTCGCCAGGCTTGGAGTGTGGTGCTGAAGCAGGATGCTGAAGGCATTCGGGCCGAGGACAACTTCTTTGCTCTTGGAGGTGACTCTGTTATGGCGATGAGGCTGGTGTCGGTGTGCCGCGAACAAGGTCTTGACCTCACCGTCGCCAACACTTTTGGCCACCCTACCCTCTCAGGAATGGCCGGTGTTGTTCAGATTTGCGCCACTGAAGCCCGCACTGAATTGCCCCCTTTCTCGATGATTTCACAAGATGTCGAAAGCGCCTGTCGCGAGGCAGCTGCCGCTTGCGGAGTTGACGCGGCGGCAGTTGTAGACATCTATCCTTGCACACCCACACAGGAGTCGCTCTTCACCTTCTCGCTCAAATCTGTCAAGTTGTACGTGGCACAGAGAGTTGCGCGCATTCCGTCGCACATCGATCTCAATGCTTGGAAGAAAGCCTGGGAGGAAGCCGTGGCCGCCAAACCTATTCTACGCACTCGTCTGGTGCAGCTGCAGGATCCCGGTCTCCAGCAAGTGGTGCTCAAGGAGAACATTACCTGGAAGCATGCAACCGACTTGGCGCAGTACTTAGAGAACGATCGCGAGGAAAGAATGAACTTGGGAGAGAGCCTGGCTCGCTATGCGATTGTGGATGACGCCAAGGAGGGCAAACACATGGTCTGGACGATCCACCATGTTGTGTATGACGGGTGGTCTGAGCCGCTGGTGCTTAAGGATGTCAGTGACGCGCTGAGCGCTAAGCAGATCGAGCCACAGTCACAGATGCGAGACTTTGTGAAGTACGTGCACGATACGGATGCGGCCGCTATGAACGAGTTCTGGAGACGCGAACTACAGGGCGCCGTTGGTCCCCAGTTTCCCCGCCTGCCGTCCAGAGACTTTATGCCCACTCCCGATGCCTTTATCGAACATATGATTCCGCTGAAGCCTGCTGCGAAGTGGCCATTCACCATGGCGACCCTGATTCGCGGTGCCTGGGCACTGGTGGCTTCTCAGTATTCCGGGAGTGACGACGTCGTCTTCGGCGAAACGCTCACTGGTCGTGATATTGCCTTACCGGGCGTCGAGAGCATCATCGGCCCCTTAATTGCTACACTTCCCGTTCGCATTCATGTCAGCCGTACCAGTACGGTTGAGTCCTACCTGCAAGCCGTGCAGCAGACCATCCTGGCTCGTGTCCCCTACCAGCACATGGGCATGCAGAACATCCGCAAAGTCAGCCATGACGCTCAACACGCATGTGAGGCCGGCACCGGTTTGGTCGTCCAGCTGGAACCCGAGTACGTGGGTAGTGACCTGGGCTTCGAGACGGGTGATGTTGTTCGCGAAGCCTTGCATTTCAACCCCTATCCGCTTATGCTGGGATGTGCTGTGCGCAAGGGTGGCTTCCGGATCTGTGCTAGCTTCGACAGCAGCTTGATCGATGTTGCACAGATGAAGCGTATGCTCGTGCAGCTGGAAGTGGCCTGCGTCGAGTTGACTAAGGGTCTGCAGCAGCGCATTGAAGAGATCTCGTGTCTGCCTGAGGTTGAGCTGAACCAGATATGGCAATGGAACCAGACCCCTCCTCTGAGTCGGGATGAATCCTCGGGACGACTTCGTGCCGATGCCACTATCAAGCAGGGAGCGCAGTACCCCGCGGCAGTTGTTCCTTGGGTAGTCAATGCTCGCAACCCAGCTTTGTTGTCTCCCATTGGCTGTGTCGGAGAGCTCTGGCTCGAAGGCGCTTTTGTCTCCGGCGAAAATGTGCAGAACCCGGCCTGGCTGGTCGCAGGAAGTTCGACTAGCCCTGGTCGCAGTGGCACAGTGCAATCGACTGGTGATATGGTCCAGCTGCGCGAGGATGGTAGCCTGGTGTTTGTGGGCCGTAAGGAGAATGTTGTTTCGATCCAGGGACATGCTGTGGATATTGCCGATATCGAATTGCACTTGAGTAGACAGCTGCCCGCTGCAGTTCGCGCCGCTGCGGCTATTCGGCAGTCGCTCAACGAGACTGGACCGGAGTTGGTTGTTCTGGTAGAACGGCCGTCTTCCGATGAGGATAGCCTTTCCATCCTACCAGCCACGCAGGAGATTAGCGGCGAGTCGGCGGCCACCCTCAGTGCCACGGTTCCCGTCAGTGCTGCTGTTGCTCTGAAAAAGCTCGACAAGTTCATTCGCGACTCGCTTCCCTCTTACATGTCTCCGTCTGCATACATTGTGGTTGATAAGCTGCCTGCGCAGGGCGAACAGAGTGACCACACTGTTCTCAACCAGCTGGCCTCCAGGATCCCTCAGGATGTCTTGGAACAGATCCGCAACGGGGTTAAGGAGGTATGGGCAAAGACTGCTATTCATACCAACCTGACAGTCCCCGAGAAGATTCTGCGGTCCGCTTGGGCCAAGATTCTTCGACTGCCCGAGGAAGAGATCGATGTTGACGACAACTTCTTCCGCCTGGGTGGTGACTCCGTCCTAGCAATGAAGCTGGTTTCCAGTCTTCGTAGCCAGGGTCATAACCTGTCCGTAGCCGACATCTTCCAGCATATGCGCTTGGGTGACGCGGCCCGAGTTTTGAGGGTCGATCAAGCCTCTAAGGCCAAGCAAGCTCAGCCCTACCAGCCTTTCTCCACTCTTGGTCGCTCGGATGTTGAGCAATTTTTGTCTCAAGCCATCCGTCCTCAGCTGGCAGAATCTTCCTGGTCAATCAAGGATGTTCTTCCTGTGACCGACTCCCAAGCGCTGGACATCCGCGCAACCGTGCATGCCCCGCGCACCTCGATCCAATACACCATGCTCATCTTCGAGCAGGGGGCGATTGATCGTGGGCAACTGCTTCGCGCGTGCAGCGACCTCGTCAAGACCCACGACATCCTGCGGACCGTTTTTGTCGAGCACGAATCGGCCTTCTATCAGGTTGTGCTGAACGAGCTCGCCACCCCTCTGACGCAGCACACGGCCGACAAAGAAGACCTGCAGCAGTACATCACCGAGCTGTGCAACAACCACGTTGCCTCTGATTTCCCTCTCGGTTCGTCCTTCCTCAAGTTCTTCCACATCGAAGCCCTGGACGGCCGCGAAGCGCTCGTCCTCGGTCTTTCGCACGCGCAATACGACGGCGAGTCTCTGCCCCACCTGCTCCGCGACCTCGAAGCCCTTTACACCGGTTCGCAAGCGACCGATCAGGTTCCCTTCTCCGCGTACATGGCACACATTACCAAGCCGGAGACCCAGACCCCTGCTCTCACCTACTGGAAGAACCTCCTCCACGACTCGACACTCACCGTTCTTCCATCCACGGAACCCAAATCGCCCGCCACCAAATCCATCTTCCAGACTCAATCCCTCGACCTGGATCTCTCAACTTTCCAGGAAACCACCGCCATAACGACCGCAACCCTCCTTACCGCCTCCTGGGCTCTCGCTCTCGCCCGCCTCCTGCAGACACGCGACGTGACCTTCGGCGGTGTCACCACCGGCCGTACCCTCGACCTCATCGGAGTTGAGAGCGTTGTCGGCCCTTGCTACCAGCTCGCGCCGATCCGGATCAACATCCAGCGCGAGTGGACCGCAAAGGATCTTCTAGAGGCTGTGCAGCGCCAGAGCGCCGAGTCGGCGGCGTACGACTTTGTGGGCTTCGACAAGATCGCACGGGAATGTGCGCCCGCGTGGCAGGGAGCCGGGTCTTTCGACTCGATCGTGCATCACCAGGACTTCGAGGACTTTGACACCATGCCTTTCGCTGGACGGGAGTGTGCGGTTGATATTCTGAACCCGCATGGGGACGCGGCGTACCCGGTCAAGGTTGTTTCGTTCGTCAAGGGAGGCCAGTTGCAGTTGGGCGTTGTTGGCAGCGAGGAGGAGGAAGTGAAGCGGTGGTTGGGGTTGGTGTCTGAGACGGTGCGGGAGGTGGTGTCTGGTGTTGAGGGAGGGAAGCTTTTGTTGGAGAGTTATGAGTGATGGTTGAGCTGATATCATTGGCACGTAAGTCACGGAAGCAAAAATATAGACTTAGAGAATAGATCATGTTTGTTTATGACTAGCCTTTTATTCGGAAAGAGCGAGAAATGCACTTTCCTTACACGCAAGAGACCGCAATACTCCTGCTTTGATTTGAGGTACGCCAGACGATCTTGACGTAATTGCCTTGGTCATAAGCGTGGTCCACGAGCAGCCCTAGTAGACTACAGCAGTTTACCATAAACACAATGCAAGATCCCAGACTTCAATCTTCATTCCACATGCAAACAGTTATAGCTAAACACAATCCAAGATCCCAGACTTATACCTTCATCACATGCAGTTCAGTTACAGCCAAAAATAAGGACGCGAGAACGCAACCAGGCAACAATCCAAATATAAAAATCAACGCGCTGCCCCAGAATACATCACAAAAGCAAAGCAAGTCTCCCCAAGCAATCAATCAAAACATAACCCCAAGCAACCGGGGATACCAAACCCCACCCAACAGCACAGGCATCACCGCTCCCACCAGCAAAACCCACAAAACAAGATGAATGGGCACCCGCGTCGGCGCTCCCAGCGACAACCCCGCAAGACACGAGGCCACCAAACTGTCCCCCAGAAACAGAACCCCCAGCCAGCCGCCGATCCACACCCCCCTTGTTTTTGGGTCTGCTCCGTGGTCAGAAGAGCCTGGGCTTTGTTGCAGGTCGTCGCCCAAACCCCATCAACAATAATCCTCGGCCCCAGCCGCATGGTAGACATGCTCCACCCCACAGGCGGAATACCCCCCCGCGTAGAACGTGGTACCTGCCGAACGTTTAGCATTAGCATTAGCATTAGCATACCCTAACCCAACCCCCTATCCCCCCTATCCCCCTATCCCCCTTTCTTCTCAAAAAGTCAGTCTCAAGTAAAGAATTGGAAAACAAACCATCAACAGGTAAATCCCCCCTCGGCCCCCTCACGACACTCTGACTCTCCAGCTCGGGCGTCAGCCTCGCCTCACAACTCAACTGCTCCGCCGCGGCGCCCACGGAGTCCCCGCCCAACCACACGTCCACATGCCACATGTGCGGCCAGTGCCGCGTGCAGCTCTCGCAGTAGTCCTCGTGGATGAGGTACTTCTGCAGGTACGGCGAATAGATGACCTCGCACAGCTCGAATTCGCCCGGTGCGGTCGCAAAGGTCAGTGGGTCGTCGTATGTGCCGGTCCCGCCTGCTGTGGTGCCGCGACCGGGACATTCGTAGGCGATGGCTGCGCCGGGGGGGTCGTTGTCTGGGTAGCCGTAGAAGGTGTAGGTTATTCCGTAGAGGGTCGTGCATTGTTCTTCCGGCGTGGTCATGGGGAGGGGGGTTAGTAGGTTTGTTGTTGCTGTTGTTGTTGCTGGTCGGGGTGGGTTGTTAGGGTTTTCTGGGTTGGGTGCTGGGTTGGTTGGTTGGGGGGTGTTGGGAATGGGGATGTTTGGGATGATTTGGGGGATGGGGAGGATGGTGTAGATTTGGTTTAGGAGGAATTGGAGTGTGGTAGTTGGTGGGTTGGTGGGAATGATAGGACGGACACGTGCCATAGTGTTGACAGGGGCAGGGTTGACAGGCACAACAGGACCACCAGACTGAGGCAGCGAAGAGCCAGACGGAACTCCACGATTTGGCAGTCCCACACGAGGAATCCCATCCCCGGAAGTGTAGTTCTTGTTGTGGTCGTGGTCGTGGTTGTGGTTATCGGCAACCCCAGCCTGGTGCCCTGCGCCCTCAAGATCTGTGGTGGACTCACTGGTTCCATTACCCAGGCGCATAGGCGTCGCCTTCGGGTGCTTTTTCAGCTGAGTGCCCAGACAGGCACCCAGGATGGTGATGGCGATAACCACCACAGCCAGATGCCCCAGCGTAGCCACTTCTTCTTCTTCTTGTTCTTGTCGGCGGTCGGTGGCTTGCTGGCGCTGGTGGAGGTTGCAGGCCAGGGAAGCTGTCCGCCTCCGTGGTGTTGCATCGTCGCGGTGCTGTGGATGGGTCAGTATAAAGTACTGATACGAGAAAATGGGGGCTGGGTGGAAATACTTCATGGTGGATATGGTCCTTGATGGTAGGAAAGGTTCTTGATGGTAGGAAAGTACTTGATAGTAGTGAAGGTGCTTAATAGTAGTGAAGGTACTTGATGTTGAGGATGCTACTTGATGATAGAAAGGTGGTGCAGGAACGGTTCGAAAGAGGTGTTGTGGGTAGATACAGGAGACGGAGAGATTCAAAGAGGAAATCTCTTCAGGTAGTTAGGACAGTGACTCAGATGCATCATAATATCAAGCATCAGGAAATGCAATTCCGGCGGTCTTACCATCATTGCTATGCAATTATGACCGTATGGGTGATTGACTCACTCCTTTAGCCATCCAAATCTCTGATAGCTTCAACCATGGTCTCGTTGGCTGAGACCAGTTCGAGTATCACGGGACAGCAGACACTCGTCTAGAGTATGTCATCTCGCTCGCTGTGGTCCTTGATGGAATCATTTCGAGCATCATGGTACCAGAGTAAGCCTCTGAATAACTTCGTAGAACTCGCTATGACCCTCAATGAAGTCATGGCGTGATGCAACAACGGCGTCAAGTAACGGACAAGTTTTAGCAGGAACAGCAAGGTGAATATGCAAACTAGTATTGTCTAAATACCCTTCACTAAACATATAGTCTATTGACATGAAAGTTAGAGTATATCATTCAATACGACAGTGTCCTCCTGATAAGGTACAGCATCACCGATGTCTAGCTGCGACATGCGAATAGGCGCCCAATCGGCAGCCTTCTGGCTTGATTGAAGAACCTCCACCAGAAACCGATCCCTTTCCTCGGGATACTCAGCAGCAATCCAGCTTTCGTCCTTCCTCATCTTCTGTACCTCCGCCTTCAGCGCCTCAATTGCAATGCTGGCACAGACCTCGGAATTGATCATCCCTTCCATGTGCGGCCAGGCACGCAATGCTTCGATGGCCCGTACACGCAAGCGGAGATCCGGGCATAGAGTGGCCACAATGTGCAAGCCGGGACACACCACCGGCTCCATTGTGAAGGTCGTGCTGCTCGAGATTTGGTCCATGATAGCGAGGCTGCTGGAAAGTACCGCAGCACATTCGGCAGTCACCTGACTGGTGCTGCAATCTCCGGGAAACAATACTTTCAGGGTGACGTATTGAACCAGCAGGAGGTGACGAAGCACCTGCGCTCCACGTTCTTCCTTGGGAGTGAACCTGCAGCCGCGTTCCTGGCAGAAGGAATCAAGGGCCTGCGCAAGATCTGCGTATCGGGCAAGGATTCTCTGTCTTTTGAGCCACAGATCGTCATAGTTTGCCAGAATCTCGGCCTGCGTTGAGCGCATCAGGTACGCGATCAGGAGAATCGAATAATTGAGCGTTGCCGTGAAAGCTTTCTGTGCCTCGCCGACGCTATTTACAACGATAGGACATACGTTCAATACCCACTCAGGCTCATCTACTGCGTCAATGCTCTGAGTAGGTCCATCGGCGGCATACAAGGCGGCGGTAACACTGAGGTGGTCGAACAAGTTGACAAGGACGGGTTCTATTATCTGTCCCTGTGCCTGTGCCTCTTCAATCAGTTGCACCCCATGGTGAAGGTGCATGGCTGCTCTGCCATAGTGACCCCGCAATAGCTCTCCTATCACAAACAGCAGACAGCATGTGATAACGGCCTGATACTTTTGTGGGTCGTTGGACGCGCCTCGTCTTCTCAGCAAGGCGGAGGAACGGGTGGAATGTTCTAGAGCGAAGTTCAAATGGGAGTCATCTGTTCGATTACCCGATAGTCGCATACGATTTGTCTCCGCGTCCTGGTGGATTGCACTAAGCATAATGACCGCATGGCAGACTGCAGGCTCGGCACAGCTCTGCGGAAGAATGTAGCGTTCCCAGAGAGGTGAGTCGAATAAATCCACGAGACCTGAGATCGTGTGGTATTGGAAGTATGAGAAACAGGTTTGCTCATCGGAGGTCAAAGCTGGGCCATGAAAGCGGCTGAGGTAGATGCGTGGGAGACCCATATTGCGCCTGGCAGGAAGCCGATGAAGGTCATACTCGCATTTCCGACCGGTAGAGGTACAGTTGTTACATGCCCCTGGGAACTCATCGCATCGCACCCGGCGCACACTAGAGGGGTTAGCCATAAGTTCGGGTGTTGCCGTGTTATACCTACCGACAGGTACGGCAACCCGTTTTGGATCTCGAATGGCACGCCTTCTGACGCTTGGACGGTATAACCCTCTTCTCAGTCATGATCCCTGCACTGGTTTGCGACCAAGGCACCCCTGAAACTGTCTGGAGTGCGTACGTGAGGTTGGAATGGAGTGCAGCCAGGAGCCAATTTATTAGCCAAGCTAGTGTTGGCACTAAAATAAGGCGCGCTACCAGGCTAACAAGATAACGAGCAGTCACTTTGCCAGCCTTCCACAACACCAGGTTTGACCAACGGTGGTGCGGACTTAACAGGGGCTGATATCGCCGCCATTATGACCCCCAGCAGGCTGGCAGACTGGCACGGTTGTCCGAGTTGTTTTTTGTTGTTCTTCGCCTCTTGCTCGAGTCAACTTGAAAGGCTCGCGGTCGCAGCGGTCGCAGCGGTCGCAGCTGAATAAGCATTGCCTTGACGCCTTAGAAATTCGACAAATCTCTTCCAGTGGTTGCTCAAAACCATTGGATATTTTCGAGTCCAGAGATATCCCAGAAACTGTTGATTGATGGTTCGAACTCAGTGACACCTTCAAGCATTCGAGATCCAGAAGTTTGGAAGTCCTTCGTCCTGGTTCGGATCTTATGGCGCAAGGTTGAAAATCCAGGTGAAACAAAAAAATGCTGCAGCCTTTGACTGGAGTAAACAATCTTTCAACACAAAGAGTTGAAGAGTATAGAGTAACATATCCAGCATATTGCGAAGTTAATGGACGTGATCTTAATCGGGAATGGGGTTGAAAAGGAAGATGGCAGCGGAAATGCAGCAGCTTCCGGTCTGCGGGGGAAAGACGCGGAATGGAATTGCCGGGGATAAGCGGAGACGGAGTAAATTCCGCAGGTGGGCGCTCAACCCCGCGATTCATCTGTCGCATGAAGACATACTTCTTGCTTGCCGTCTTCCTTCCATCTTTTCTCCAGTTACCATCTCCCCTCCTCCTACTTTCATCATCCCCTCGGCTTTTCCTTCTACCACACAACATGGCGTCGTGGCTACAGATCCCCAAGAACTCGCCCTTTTCGTTGGCAAACATTCCCTTCGGAATCATCTCCACAGCCAAAGCGGCCTCGCGGGTTCCTGCCATTGCGATCGGCGACTACGCCTTGAACTTGAACGCCTTCGCCTCGTCGGGCGGTTTCGCCCAGCTGCCCTCTTTCGAGCCTCATCTCAGTGTCTTCGACCAACCCACGCTGAACGCATTCGCAGCATTGGGACGGCCAGTGCATCGCCAGGTTCGCGAGTACATCCAGTCGATCTTCCGCGCCGACACCCCCTTCCCCCAGATCCTCAAAGACAATGCGTCGCTCCAGCAGGAGGTCCTGTTGCCCCTGTCAGAAGTGACCAACCACCTACCGATGCAGATCGGCGACTACACGGACTTCTACGCGGGTCTGAACCACGCCTACACGCTGGGGGTGCTCCTGCGGGGTCCCGACAACGCGCTCCAGCCCAACTACAAGCACCTGCCCGTGGCGTACCACGGCCGCGCCTCCTCCATCGTGCCCTCGGGCACCCCGATCCACCGCCCCAACGGCCAGATCCTGGCCAACCCCACCGCGGTGCCCAAGGTGCCGACGTTCACCACCTGCAAGCGCCTGGACATCGAGCTGGAGCTGGCCGCGTTCGTCAGCCGGCCCAACGAGCTGGGCCAGCCGGTCTCCGTGCAGGAGGCCGAGGACCACATCTTCGGGGTGGTGCTGATGAACGACTGGTCGGCGCGGGACATCCAGGCGTGGGAGTACGTGCCGCTGGGGCCGTTCAACGCCAAGAACTGGGCGACGACCATCTCGCCGTGGGTGGTGCTGCTGGACGCGCTGGAGCCCTTCCGCACCGCCAGCCTGGAGCCCGAGAACAACCAGAACGTGCTGCCGTACCTGCGTGAGAAGCGCGCGGACAACGTCTTCGACATCCCGCTAGAGTTCGAGCTCACCAACGAGGGGGGCAAGCCGACGACGATCTCGCGCAGCAACGCCAAGAACCTCATCTTCTCCTTCCCGCAGATGCTGGCGCACCACACGATCACGGGCTGCAATCTGCGGACGGGCGATCTGCTGGGCAGCGGCACCATCTCCGGCCCGGAGCCCGGCATGGAGGGCAGTCTGATCGAGCAGACGAAGGGGAAGAACCCGATCCAGCTGGCGGATGGCTCGGACCGGATCTTCTTGGAGGATGGCGACACGGTGGTTCTGCGGGGTAAAGCAGGCACGGAGGGGAATTATGTTGGGTTTGGCGATTGCGTAGGCAAGATTCTTGCTGCTCCTCAGTTGAACTTTGACTAGGTAGCTTCTTTACTCGAGTAGCCTAGCAGCCTAGGTAGCTTAAATTGAGTTGATGCAATGTGTCCCTCCCGAGCCAGCAAATTAGACAGTTAATCACATTGCACCTATCATACCCATACGTAGATACACCCCCCCATCCAAATAATCTACTCAACCCTCAACTCAGCCGGCGTATCCTCCTGCCTCGCCCAATGCGCCCTCCTCACCGCATCCAACCCCTCCAACCTTTCCACCACCCCGGCCACCACCGGAAACCCCCCCGCAACATCAACACCCACCCTCTCCGCGCCCCAAACCGCCGGCACCAAACACACATCCGCAACCGTCACCTCATCGCCCACGCTATACAGCCCACTCACCCCCGCCTCCTTGATAATGGTCTCATACGCCCTCAACCCATCCACAATCACCTCCCTCGACCAGTCCGCGCGATCCACGCCCAACGGCGCCACGCGCTTCAGGACCTTCAGGTTGGTAACGGGCTGCACATCGCACGCGATGATCTGGGCTAGGGTGCGGACTAGTGCCCGTTTGGCGGGATCGCGCGGGAGCAGGGGGTAGGTATCTGGGAAGGCTTCGTCGAGGTATTCCAGCGCGGCGAGGGATTGGGTTATCTTTAAGGTGGGTTCTTCCGCCGGGGACGGGGAGATGAGGAGGGTGGGCACGGTGCCGGACGGGTTGCGGGCGAGGTTGTCCGGGGATCGCTGTGCGCCTTCGAGCAGGTTGATGTAGATGGGCGTGTAGGGGAGGGATTTGAGGTGCAGGGCGATGCGCAGGCGGGCGGAGCAGGAGGAGCGGAAGTAGGTGTAGAGGGTTATTTCGGGCATTTTGTTTCTGTGCTGTGGTAATGATGGTACTGATGGGTGGTGTGTGTGGGTTAAGGGGGTTGAGTGAGAGGGTTTGAAGCATATGCAGTGGGTTCTCTGCTTCGTTTGGTGGAACTGAAAGGCAGGTGGCTGCTGTACCTAGTATATGGCTCGTGTATATATATCTACGGTTCCAGGAGAAAACAGTAATGGGTAGTCGCGGAGATGCGGGATTACCTTGACTCAAATCGTCACACGACCGAGTAGGAGAGGGTTGACTGGATCTTGAATAGTGTACAAGGGTTCCAAGTTCATATGGAACAATTTCTTTTGCTATAGATTTACTTGTCTCGCGGCAATCACTCCTTCTCATCCGCAGCATTATTCCTTACTCCAAGCCCAAGGAAGTCATTGCGACGAGGGCCGCACATTTCCAAAGTAAGCCTTATCGCAAATCACTACAAGTAGGATGTAGATGTATGCCTTTCTCCAATCATACTACCCTATGTCATCACAGGCGAATGCTCCCCTGGTAGGAGGGACTGCCGCACACGGACCGCTGGCTATGCGGGGACGGAAGGGTTCCGCGGCGCCACTTCCGAGCTCTCCCCCGCCCGCCAATTTCCGCTGCTTTCCATGCCGGGTAGTAAACCACAAACTACCGATCTGCGCTACTCGTATAGCTTTGGACTTGTCTTTGTCCTACAACGTAACCGATTGACGTGATGGTATACCATTGCTATCAATGGTGAAGATCTCTCAATCGCATCGTTGCTGGTCTCTCGGGATGCCTTAACGGTGATCTCGAAGTAGGCTTTCGTGCAATGGCTATCGCATCAACTCTTTCGGACAAAATGTTGTAAGATAATCTATCTGCATAAAGGCATCGCTAACAGATCAGAGGATGAGGCAAAACAGACACACATATGGAATCTCCTGATCATGTCTAATTTATGGTCATAACGATGCACCCCCGAATGTGTTCCCCTCCGGTGAATCCCACCAAGATTCGATGTCGTTGAGCGAGGGCAGGGCGGTGTCCTCGGCATACAAGTTTGTGTTCCCAAGGGGTGGAAAACCGTCCTCACCAAGGTTGTCAGAAAGCAGCTGCAGGTCCGAATCGCGGATCCAGTCGAAATCTCCCGGTTGGACCGCGATGGATTGCTGGGCAGGATCCACTGGTGGCTGATGCTGGGCTGCTCGAGTCATAACCTGCGGTGGACCGAATGGCAAACCGGCAGCGGTGAGTGAATGCGCTGTCGGCAGCGAGAGAGGCATCGCGGCCTGGTTCCGAGCCGCTGTGGTCCGCGATTTCTTCCTCGACACGTCCGCGTCCCTTGTCCGCCCCATGGGTTTCTGTGACGGTGTTCGGTGACTCATCTGCCGCTTGACGGCAGACCCCGAGCGACGCATATGTGCTTGCCATCGCCGCTGAAGACTGACGAGAAAGTCCCGCGTGCGCTTCGCGTTCTCAAACGACTGGCCGATTTCATCAAGGGCACGGAAGCAAAGATTCAGGTAGGCGACCATTTCGGCATTGTTGCCGTTGTCGCTACCTTGTCGGGAATTCGAGATGGTAACGTAGAGAAGAATCAATGCAGCGCTGAATATCATAGCTACCACCTGGCTGTTCATGCGACGGAAGGTGTAGTATTTCTCATAGATGTGGAGGAGTTGCGCGATGGCCGTAGAAGACTCGATGCACATTCGTCGCGCATGATGGTAGCCGGGCCCCTGGCGGGGGCTACGCGGCTGAATGTAGCTTTTCGACACCCAGGGACGGTGAGTGAAGATGACTATTTGGTGATATTGCATGCTGCGCAAAAAGGTTTAGTATCTGTTCAATTTGAAGCGAGCAAGAAGAAAAGCTCTTACTGTAATACCAGGAGATGGGGCAGTTTGGGAGTAGCATCATTTGAGATGTCGATGTCTAAGTTGGAAGGTAGATTTGCCTTCCAGGCAAATAAATCATCCGTGACACGGTGGCACAGTCTCTGGAGGTCATGGCGGGATATATCTGAGCATCCATATCTAGCCCGAGTCAGTGACTTGTGCAGTAAGTACAGTACCGGCAACTTACAAAATGTGGCCAACTGGGGAGATTATCTCCCACAGCACAGCGAACTGGCGGCTGATCAACTCGTTTGGATTCTTCAGCCCACCCTCAAGTGCTTCTGACTTGTTTGGAAGGCCATAAGGATGCCACATAGCTTCCTTCTCAGCACCCAAGTCGGAGGCGGGCTTGGGAACTGTAATATCTCCTGTACTCATGCGGAACGGTCTTCCGAGGTAAAATCCCCAGAAGCTGCCAGGAATTTCAGACCAGTACCTCGACTCGAGAATCAGAATCACTTACTGGTCTGCAGTGTAGCTTCCCCAGAACGCTACCTTACGTACATCGGCTTCGTGGACACTGATGTCGCCTTTTTCCACGTAGGGTGTCATGTCAAGATGTAATCCAAGGTCAAAGGCAAGCCTCATCGACATTCCTACTTATGTCAGACTGGTGTTCCTTCTTCTCGTGAGGTCAACATACCACTGTAAAGCCAACCTCTAGCATCACGGTTCGATGAGCCCTCGTGGGAACTCAATATAACAAGGGCCTGAACCGTAGCAACGCAGGGAGAATCCAGTTCGATCTCCAGGAGAGCTTTCGCCCTGTCCGCGAAGAACTCCGAGAGCGACTTCGGAAATGTGATGAAGGTGGGGTGGTATCGGGCTTCGAAGGCACTTCCGATCGCGCACCTAGTATCATTAGCAATACGTCGCGGCGGCGACCCAAAGAGCAACCATACATAGCATTGGTGAGAACTTCCGAATAGAACGGTGTATCTATCAAGTCGTTTCTCCATTCCGACCGAGCGTTCAAATACATTTCCTTATCAACCACATAGGTACTGGGATTCTGCCAGGTGAAGTAGAGTTCGACTAGATGATCCTCCAGCGCTTGACTGACGGGCTGGCCCACACGCAGATGGTTTAGGATGTCTTGGCCATCATGACGGACTGTACGAGCATCTGGACGTTGATGCTGTTGTGTAGCCGAAACATCCACCAAGTTGAGATTTGAGGTCGCGCCAAAGAATCGTAGGTGACCATCGCCCGAAAGCTTGAGGGTCCCAATACGGTGCGAGATCTGCTCGATGACATCCTTCTCAGCTTCATCTTCCTCGCCACTGTTCGAATCCACATCCTTATCATTCCAGCCCATATTCAACAACACACCGGGTTGCTGAGCTATGTCTTGCGACAATTGCAAGCTATCTGGACTCAGGCTGGTGTCTTGCGACCCGTTCGATCTACCGTCTATGTTGGCATAGAGCGCATCCAGGCTTTCCGCTGTTGGGAGAGTAAACCCCCAATTCGATGCACTTTTCATGTTACTGGACAGTCCCAAGTTGACATTGGACTGAGCCATGGCCTCTCGAGTGATATCGGTAACGGGTAGAGACGACTGGTGAGGAACTATGCTTTCTGAGGACGGTGAAACTGCAGGGGCACTCTCGATTTCGAGCGGGCGATTTGATGTTGACTGAGGGGAGGTTGTGGATTGAGCAGGGGAATCAGTAGTCGGTAAAGTCGGCGCGCTCTGCGCATTGGCTGCGAGTGAATTGCCACTCTTCGTTGAGGCGCGAGGGATTTGAAGAGTGTCGAGGACTCTGTTCATACCCGACTCATCCTCCTCCTTCATCGGGGGAGGCTCGAGACCGTGATCGTGAATGAACTGGCATAGTTGATCAATCCTGGCGGAGAAAAGCTCTGTCGCAGCACGTAAGGATACTCTGATAGTAGAAATGGTCAGCTCGACCAGGCTACACTATCGGAAGAACGACGATTCTGGATGTTTGTCCCAGCGCTAACAAGTGGCCCATCTTTCCCTCCGCCCCCCAATATGATGAGTGCATGACATGTACCCAAGCTTTGTGAAGTGAAGGAAGTGTGATGAGCGCGAGAGGAGGACATACTTGCGTTTGTCATCTCCATGTTGATATTTGCATTCCTTCCCTTTCCTTTGGCAGTTTTGGCAATGCGGAGTAGAGCCGTCACACTAACCAGCAAATGGTCAGCGCATGTGTAATTGAACCTAGGTGTTTCGTTTTTTGAGGCAGTGTCAGAGAATCACTGACTCTGATTTTACTCTCTCGACAAGCGACACAGGCCGTGGTGACGTGCTTTCGAGGAGCCCTCTTGGGCTTCTCCAGCTGGTGAGGCTGCATGGTGGTTGAATCTGCCGGTCGGGTTCGCGCAGAATTCATGAGGGGAGGAACGGCGGGGTCTCTTTGAATTCTGCGTTCTAGCAGAAGAAAGGCGATCAAAAATGATGCCGGGAGTGAAATATTTGATCACCCAGTGTCTGGTGTAGACTTAATGAGAGCGCGCATGATTCTCTGAGGGCACCGAGTGTGTTGTAATAGAGCAGAAAACGAACGACGAAGGAACAGCAATCAGGAATAGGTGGAGACGATGGATGGCAGTCACACACCGCACTGACTAGCGAGGAGCGATTCACTAGTATCGTTATAGGCTTGTCTGGGCTGGGGGTGTGTTCTGGGGAAGTGATGGAGAATGTCTGATAGGCAGGCTGGATCTCGAGGCGGGGAGAAGCTGTTCCACTCCAAGCCACGGCGGCCAATGAGTGCCTCGGCAATCCTCCAGAGCCGAAAGGGAACGATTTCCCGCTGGGCCACAGCTGAAGGAGGATGCCTCAGGACTCAGATATTAGTAATCCTGTAAAACAATAAGATATGTGGTAAAAGTGGTTGTCGATAGACGTATATTTGTCTGATAACTCCGGGATCCTCATCGATTCATTTGGTTCATTTGGTTCAAGTGGTTCATCTGAACAAAGAAGTGTGTGGAGCAGGTCTCCAGGCTGATACGAGGACTTCCCCGCAAGGGTCGAGGTGCACCTTGCAAGCACGCCATCACATGACCCCAATGCAAACACTGCAAACCCGGCGCTGGTCTTTGCCGGTCGCCGCCCTCGATCATGCCAATCCATGTCTTATCAGTGTCTCTCTATGGTCGATTGTCTGCCAACTAATCGGACAACTGACGCCTCGTATTATCCCCCATATATGGACTCCTCTCGTTTCAAATAGGGCACTGCATCAGTCGGCCCTTACTCGAGCTTTCTAGGTAAGTATCACCAATCCAGCTACTCAACCTGTGTAACGCCGCTCACCCTTGCTTTATCATCAGGGTGGCTCGCAGCAGACTATATACTCGACCCGATCCTTCTCTCCAAGACCTCCTGCTCTCCGTCATATCCTCGGTGTAACATGTACGGATAAGATGTCGGCTACGCTATTCCTTGACAAGCCACTCCTCAAAGTTAGTCGGCCAGTCGCTGCTTGCTCACGATGTCGAACCGCCAAGATCAAGTGCGACGGGAAGCTTCCTGCCTGCTCCGCATGTGAAAGGGTGGGCAAGTCCGACACTTGCTCCGGCGCAAGCGACGAGTTTGCTCGAGGCAAAGAAAGAAGTTATGTTGCCTCCATAGAGGGGTACTGCGAAAGGCTGGAGAAGAAGATCGCGGAGCTCCGCCATCTGAAGACCTCGCTGTCCGTCGACAACAGGGGGATTGCGCACCAGAACTCGATCACCTCGATAACATCATCGGAATCGGCGGTCCAGGGTCCCAACAAAGAAGTCTCGGATATTGATGATCTGGTCGGGGATTTTGGATTCTTGTGAGTTGTCTCTCAATGCAATCCACCCACCCACTGACTAACCACCTCATCATCGCCAGGTCTGTGAACGCCACCTCCAGAGACTTCCACGGTATCACTTCGAGCACCTCCTTTGCCAACCTTCTCTTATCACTTTCCCTCGCCGACCCATTACCCAAACAATCTTTACGACCACCTCCACCGCGCCACGAGATCACCCATCTCCTTCAACATTACTTCGACACTCTCTACATTCAACTACCATTCTTTGCCGAAACAAGCTTCTGGACTTCGGTTGATGCGGTGTATCAGTCCGGCGGTCGGTTTGCCAAACCGTTCGACCACTGGATGTTATACACAGTCCTGGCCACCTCCTCTGCATCCTTATCATACGAGATTGGCGATGAAAGCCACCAGGACGCGCTATCATATGTCACCCAGGCGCTGCAAAGGGCGGAAGATGTCCTGCGTCCAGGATCCATTCAGGGAATCCAGGCGATTATGCTCCTCGCACAATACTCATTGTTCGATCCCAAACATTTTCGGAGTTGGTTTCTGGTCGGAATGGCTGTTCGAGTGATGGTGGATCTCGGGCTGCACCAGGATCCTCCGGTCGAAGTCCAGTCGTCGACCAAACATCTAGACCTGCGTCGTCGCATATTACACTGCCTCTACTCTTTGGACAGGTTCGTATGAGTTCCACGGACACCTCCCGGAGAGGTTACTAACTTCCTCGACAGAGGTGCCAGCACCGTCTTCGAACGGCCATTCTCCTTCTCCGACGAGTCCGTCAATGTCGCCCTTCCCTCCACCACGGCAGGCTCCATGCTCAGCGAGCAGAGCCATCTCTTCCTGCGCAGCTCCGAACCCGCCTGGCATCTGGTCAAGATCCGGCAGATTCTTTCGGAAGCGTACTCAAGGAACTACTTCCATGACCACGACTCCTGCCCCCTGTACGCGAAATCCACCTGGACCCTCGGCGCAGAAGCCTACGAATGGTTCGACGCAACCCCCAACACCACGCCCAGCCACTTCCCCGTCCTCTACAAGCTGGAACTCCTCTACACCGTGGTGATCATTCTATCGCCGAACGACGAACCCCCGGCAGCGATCGGAGAGTACCGCAACGTCGTCCTCTTCGAACGCTGCATGCAGTATCTCGGCCAGATCCAAGAAGCGCTGCGCAACCCGGCCTGGTCCCCCTTCCTGACCTTCTGGGACATGCACCGCGCGCTGCAGGCGATCCGCCGCCTGACGCGGGAACTGACCGAGAACCACGACCTCCCGCTTAGCCCCTCGGTGCCGGTCCTACCGGCGGTGCCCCCGGAGACGCCGTCGGCGCTGGTCCTCGACGGCGAGGACTGCCTCAACTTCTACGCGCGGGCGACGGCCTGCCTGTCAGATATCCACTGCATCCTGCGGTTTGGACTACGCAAGTGGGGCGACGACCCCGTGTTCGAGGAGATGCAGCAGCTGTCGGAGACCATCCAGCGGCGCCTGATTTCGTCGCCGGCGACGTACATGGCGGGGGCGGGGCCGGGGGCGTACATGTCGGGATACTCGACGATAGTCCCGGCGGGGTCGGGGTACCCGGGGTATGACATTGGGTGATTTGCTGCGCGTGTTGTGCGTTATGATGTATGAACGACTTGACGTGGAAGTTGGACCTCTTGTCGCCCAGTAAAGCATAAGCATACGGATGTTCTAATGCCACCTCACTTCCACCTATCTAACTTCAGGTGTTACAGATTGTAGTGAGTAGACTTCATTCAAAAGTATTACATCTCCCTCCAACAAGCAATATCTCTTTTCTCCACAAACATGAGAATACTCATAATCCACGCGCTCATCCAGCAAGCACTGAACCCATAAACATACAACGAACGTGCGAAACCCAAAACCATAACCCCGCTAATCCCAAATCACTCTAACCCAGTCTATCTACATATCTACATATACATGCATCAATCCAGAAATCTATGATCTATCTACTACGTCGCCCGATAAACCCAAAACCCGGCAAACTCCCAATACGCCTGGGTGAAATTATCCGGATGGCTGCGCACGAAATCCACACACCGGCCGGGGCAGCGGTAGAGGTCGGTGTAGAACTGCTTCTGGGCGCCGAGCTCGCCGCAGAGGTCGATGTTGGCGATGATGCTCTGGTTGCGGAAGTGGGCGGCGATGTCGCAGTGGGTGCTGGGGAAATCGGCCAGGGGGGTGCCCCACGTTGACGGGTCGGGGGTGGTGGAGGTGGAAGTGTTGTTGCTGGAGGTACTGGAGGTATTGATACTGGAGGTGATGTCGTCCGGGATGGCGGCGCGGGGGAAGAACCAGGTGCGGATGCCTGCGTCGCGGAGTTCAAGGGCGTAGATCTGTTGTTATTCATTAGTTCATCTTTTCTTTTTCTCTTTGTCTTGGGGGCAAAATGAAAGGGACGGGCAGAAGGAAAGGAAGATGCAACGATGCAACCTACCCCGCCGCCGTTCTCATTCAATTCCTGCCCGTAGGTGCTCGGCGGGCCCTGCACCCCGCACCCGGCGTTACTGTGTGTGCTGTTATCGCAGGTCACGAAATTGGATGTTCCGGTCTGCTTGCGCTTGACGTTCTTCATGTTACAGCCGCCATCCGTGTGCAGGGTGACGGCGTTGCCCTCGGTGGCGAGGTTATTGGTCTCGACGACGTCGATCTCCCCGTTGGCCGGCCAGTTGACCGTGTCGGTCAGCCACAGGGCGGGCCACAGGCCGCAGCCGTAGGGCGCGTGCCGGATATCGAAGACGAAGAGGCCCGTGTCGTAGCTGGTGGTGGACTCGAGGCGCACGGAGCGGCGGCCGTGGCTCGCGTTGCGGTCCGTCGTGTCGACGCGCAGCACCGCCGACGAGGCGTCCGCCGTGACGTACGTCAGGTTGAGGGACTGCGCGGTGGATTTGTTAACGTACTGCACGAAGCCGTCGGTGGGGTCGACGCCCGAGTAGTAGTCGAAGCGGTCGAAGAACGAGGCCCCCGCGTAGGTGTCGACCAGTTCGTAGTTCAGGCGCGAGTAGTCCGGGTAGCTGCTGGATCTTCTCGTGCCCTCGACGGCCCCGACGACTACCGCGATGATGATGACGATGGCGATGCCGGCCGCGACGAGGAGGCGCGTGCGAGTCGACCAGCCCCGAGGGTCGTACCAGCGATGCTCCAGCACGGGCGCATTCTTGCTGCGGCGAGGCCCTTCTCCGGCGCCTGGGGGCGGTGGTGGTCCAGCGTGGTGAAGGGATTCGTCGTAGTCGATTTTGGGAAGTTGCGTGGTTGTGGCTCCGGGGTATCGGCTTAGATCATCTCCTGATAATGAATAGGGATTACCAGTCATTGCGATTTAAATGAGTGTGGATATTTCAGGTACAGTTTCTCATCAGAAAGGTGGAAAGATAGTTGATGGAACGAAATACGAAATACAAAATACGAAAAATCTACAGTGTTGTGACTGAGGAATTCCCCCCCAGTTAAATCGGGGGTAAGTCAGGGAAAGAGCGAGACGAAACCGGATAACTTGTCGTCATGGTAAGACACGGACGGGAGAACCGATCATGCCCTGATCCGCAATCAGGAAGCATTCAGCACGCAATGAATGGATTATTTATCCATCGGACCATCCCTTCCCCGGTCGGACACCGCCTTTGTATGGTTTCGCCGATGGTCAGATTATGTGTGATGATATGATCTTCATTACTATTAACTATTGCGAAAAAGCGGTTAAAAAAAGGAAAGGAAATGGAGGCTGGGTCGAGGCAGCGGAGAAGAAAAACCCTGCCTTACAGCTTAAGACAGAGACGCAATTACCATGGCAGGCATATTATCCCAAGTAGTCCCCGGCAAATTATATCCCGTTCTAGTTGGGGGACAATTGATGAATTCATCCATGGGTTCCGTGTCACCAGATTCTCCTCAAAACCGACCTCACGCTCTTGACCACACCTTAAACCGAAACCTTCCAGCCCTCTTAAATGCAGCAATTGACCAGCACATTCGTTCTCATTTCTGCGCTTCCCGAAGCCGTCGAATGTCCTTCGAAGAGAGCCCGCGTACGTGCTCCTGCAACCATGTTGGAAATGCCCGCACCATACTGGCGACCGAGTAAGCCTCAGGAAGAATGACCTGCCCACTCCTGCCCGACACCACCTGGCGCGTGATCGCCGTTGCCACACGCTCCACCGTCATGACCGGCTGCTTGAACAGATCACCAGCGTCGGTCAGTTGCTGAATCATGGGTGTCCGGACCCAATACGGATGGATGACACTAAACCCAGATTGTCATTAGCCATGCGAGGTAGAGTTGCGACAAACATAAGGAGACATCAAACGAGCAAAGAAAAACTGCATACCTCGTCTTCACACCAGGCCGCTTATACCAGTGTCGAATCTCCTGGCCCAGGCCTTCGTGGAACGCCAGCGCACTGGCCTTGGAGCAACAGTAGTCCACCATCTCGCCGAGCGCGACGAAGCTGGCCATGCTCGCCACCGTGACCACATGCCCGTGGTTGCGCTCCAGCATGGCCGGCAGGAACTCGCGCACCGTCAGAAAGTGCGCCAGCGTGTTGACCTCGAAGGTCTGGCGGATCTTGCTCTCGGGCTCGTCGAGGATGGTCCCGTCGTGGCCCACGCCGGCGTTGTTGACGAGCACCGTCGGGTGGCCGTGGTCGGCGCGCACCTGCTCGGCGGTGGCATGGAGCGCGTCGGTGGACGTGATGTCCGTCTTGTAAAAATGAGCAGATTTGGCTGCAGAAGAATATTAGCTAGAGGGCAGATTCGATGAGGACTAGGGGCTCAGTACGCAGAGTATAGGTAGGTGCTTGGATGTCGAGGATGATGCACTTCACACCCCGCTCGGCGAACTGCAGGACGACCTGCTGGCCGATGCCACTGCTGCCACCGGTGATGAGGACCAGCTCACGATTCGGGTTCCATCTGTTGGCGGAGCAGTTCCCCAGTGACCACGATGTGAGGGCGCGGTTCAGATACCGCAGGACAACAATAGCGAGCAAAGAATTCAGGGCTAGCGGGATGGCTGGATGACGGTCAAGGGCAGTCCGTACAGGCTCGGGCAGCTGGGCGCAATACGAAAGAGACCAGGATTGGACGAGAGAGATCGACTGTTGGAGATTCATGATAACGACGCAGGCTGTAGTGTTTTTTGATTGACGAGATCACATCCAGCGGCTACGCGTGCCCATTAAGAGAGGCATCACCACCAGTTCACATGCCCGCGCAGTCGCCCAAACAGGTAACCATTGCGATTCTGGGGATCACCACCCTCGGTTGTTTGGGTTGGAGTTCCGGGGACGAGAAAGTGGTACGGACGACGATCCTAAGTCAAAATTCTATCCGAGCTTGAGTCTTCAGACCATGGGCTAGAACTAAGCTATCCATAAACTTGGGGTGACATTCAAGGCAAGGCCTCACCAATAGATGCAGCATCTTTTATTGTGCTGATAGGTGCTTGAAGAAATGTTGCACGACACTATGAGATGGCTAAGGAGGCAACCAGTGAACATAGCTCAGGTGAAAATCCAGAACCACCGGTTGAAACGGAGAGCGACCCCGTAAAATTGTTTGACCCGCTTAAGAGAAGGGCTCGAATTTGGTCCTCCTCCACATTGCTTACAGTAGAACTGCTTGCTTCTTTTTTGGGTCGTCGAGTGGCCTGCCGAGGCCCCGATTCAGGGCTCATCACATGACACTTTTCATTTTCGCATTAAGCCAAGCTCGATACCTTCCGTCACAAGCTGGTAAGTGAGATTTATGATTATTGCGGGGTAGGCACGCACTCGCCAACTGAGCGCCGGCTAAAGTCAAATTAAACATCAAAAGTTAAGTTCAATGGATGTCATTATGGCGCAGGCACATAGTGTGCGTTATCGCTGATCCTATCACATAAGACAGTATGGCCGAGCGGTCTAAGGCGATAGACTAGAAATCTATTCTCTTCGGAGGCGTCGGTTCAAATCCGACTGCTGTCGTTTTTTGCTTTTTCCGCGTCAGCCTCACGTTTCAACCTCCCCTTGGTCGCTTGGCCTTTCTTTGACCCTAGAGCTTTGAGCATACTTCTCCTATCTACAACTCCCGTTCACAACTATACTCTGCAACCCTAGTTCCACGTGCCCTCAAACCCGATAGACGATCTTATAACCCGAGATCTTCCCATCTCGATACTCTTGAAAACCCTCCGGTACAGCCTCCAGTCCTCCCAACACCTTCGGCCGACTCGGCTTGATCTTCCCCGATGCCAGTAGATCCGGCACAAGGTCGAAGAACTCACTTGCCAGCTCATGGTCGTCCTGGGATGCCTACCCTCCCCAAAGCGACAAAGTATCAGTCTATCGATCCACAAAGAACAGCCCCCTCAAACTCATTCTCCTCTCCCGTAATCACGCAGGACAAGCACACTCACCGGCCACTTATACGGTCCATAGGAATGGTCCTTCAGAAACGCCGTGAACACCAAGACACTCGTCACCTGGACCCCGGACGCGACATTCTCACTGTAGGTCTTGCCCGGCCGCACCGTGCAGACATTGCCGCCGGCCCCGACCGCCCGCGAGGCCATCACGGACGAGGTTTCGTTGCCGATCGTGTCGAAGACGTACTGCAGGGAGGGCGCCACCGCGCGGATCTTGTCGACGACGTCCGCGTCCCGGTAGTCGAAGACGTGCGCGGCGCCGGACGCGCGGACCAGATCGGCGTGGCGCGGGCTGCATGTGGTCACTACCTCGAGGCCGTAGAGGGAGGCGAGTTGGATGGTGTATAGACCGACGCTCGCTACCCATGGTCATCAGTCCACTCATCAGTAAGCATAAGGTCTCTGTCTCTCTGTCAAGAGTTGCTAGCCATGAAAGAGGGAGTTCACGCACAGCTACCACCCCAGACCAGCACACTCCTCCCCTGGCACCGATCGCGATCAATATCCAGACACCCCTTGGCGAATAGAGCCAGCCATGCCGTCGCGGCGGCCAAGGGCACGGTGCTCGCTTCTTCGCGGGAGATCACATCCCCCGGAGGCAGCTTGAAGGCGATGCGTTCGTCGGCCAGCGTGTAGTGACTGTACCCGCCGAGACCGGGGATTTCGCCTAATTTTTGCGGATCCCCCTCATCAGCCTCCACCGCCAGGTCTTGTGGGTCTTCGAAATGAGAGGGTTTGAGAGAGAAGTTGACTCACCACCCCAGATCAAAGCTGCCACGACATCCCCCTTGGTGAATCGCGTCACGGCACTGCCCAGCGCCACGACCTCGCCGACGAAATCGCAGCCGAGCACGGCTCTATCCCCGAAGGCTTTCCCATCGAGGGCTTGGACTGGATTCGATTTCAGTAAAGATGTCTCTAGGGTCAAGGCATAATAGATACGAAGGTGGGGGAGGGAGGCTACTCACTGTCGGTCGGATTCTGAGCAACGTGAGACAAACGGACGAGGACTTGGTGCGGGGCTGGCGAGGGGATGGCAATCGACTCTTGTCGGAGCTCGGACCCATGCACCACCAGCGCTAGGTTCGACATTTTGGATTGGCGATACTCAGAATGAGGTGAATTTTTCACGATGATGACAAGGCTAGGATATGATCCTATCCGGTTCTATCGGGTGTAAATCTGGAGAATGGGCGACGATGGGGCATTCTACCATACTTATACGTCAACGGGTGCCCGTGCTGTTCAGGTACAGTAACTATATAATGATAAGCAATCCTCGTATTACCCCTCACCGTGGCGTACATACATGTGTAATAAACAGCTTCTGAGAAGGCAGTTCAACAATGACAGAAGATAACGGGCCCACGGACCAGATGCAATACAAGAATGAGCCGGGGGCCCTTTGGCCCCCTACGCGATATATAGTGCTGGATTCGAGGGGATTCGCCGGCCCCAGCCTACGGCATGGGGCTACGGCGACAGATGTGGCCGTGGCAGGTACCCTAGGACTAATCGCAGCCCAGACAGGCTATCTTAGAATTGCAAACCAATGACGATAATTACAACCAATCATAAGTCTCAGGATGATCGGCTGTCGAGTTGTTTATTGGAAGCCCAGGCATTGCCTGCCGTGCCCTGTGAGCGTCCTCGGCTATACCACATGGCGCACCCCCGGCTGCTGACCCCATACCTCAACAAGTATGCGCCAGCCTCATTATGCTTTTTAAGGCATCTCTCAAGCATCTTCCAAGCATATTTAAAGCATCTCTTCAAGCATTTTTTTTGACACTATTTTCTATACAAACATAAGTGTATTGATTCAGATTTACAGTCTGAATCTGCAGCTGGGGGGCCTTGTATTATATAAGATCTTCTCTATAAACCAGCGAAGCGCGATATATAGATACTAAGTCTAGAGTATAGAAGGTTGAACTTGAACTTACTTAAACCTCCGAGATGATTCTTCCTAAACAAACTTAAGAACTACTCGAAGAGAAGCGGAGCTATTAGAATACATACTAGAGGACAAATACGCTGTACGCTAGTACAGATATAAACAATATCATGTAGTTATTACTTAATTTAACTGATAAGAAGCTGTAAAGAAGACATTTGTACAGCTAATCAGCGCTAAGTACTCTTACTCAGACCCTCTTAGAGTTGCAGAGCTAGCGCTTTAAAAATTGTAAAATATATTCTCTTCTGAACTCTAATAGCAATATCTTCGGCCGCTGAAGCCCAATACCTTCCACTATGATGGTCTCGTACCCTAAGCGCCTTCCTGCATCTTAGCTGTAAGCAGGATATAATCCTTTTGGTATAGCCAAGGCTGGCTACACCCCTTCAGGCCCTGGAAAGGTACATGCATGATGGAAAATCACACAGGGTACCTCTGACAGCTTTCATCTTTTATTCTGTCGTATGACACGGATTCGATACACAAGTGTGCATACTATTAGGCATCATCGGGAAGTCTAATTGCATGCATGTCTTTATTGACTAGGAACAAAGGAACTGATGAAGGCGCACAAAGGAATGACGCCGCCCTCTTTACCTACTCTATCTGTGTCTTGAGGGAGGGGGTGAACATCAATGAGGCAATCAAAGAAAACAGGGCAAGCCCACCAACCCCTTATCAATATACGCAAATCATCATCAGCTCGACCGTTGTCATTATACTGCCTACGGCGAGCCACTGTATATGAATAGAGCTGTAGACACCTAAAAGTTCGATGTTCTTCAATTCACATCCGACCGAGCACATCCCGCAAGAAATTAAAACGCAAGAGATCGATAGAGGGCTATCTAACAGAGTGAACATAATGTCCTCGTCATCATCACCCTCTCCCCAGGAGAGAGAATTTCTTCTAGAAGTTCAGCGGGGGGTTCGTGACGGACTGAAAGCCGAGGCTTGGTACGAGACTGATGATGGGTTCCCCTTTGGGAGAAGGCCTCGCCCCGAATGGTTCTTGTTCATAAATCCAATGCTCCACGAGCAAAAGTCGTGCCTACTGGATGCCTACAGCCCATCCCTGATGTCCCTGGAGCACCGCTGGGCTCTGGAGCCGACGCGAAAAGCCTTGGCCAGCTGGCTCAAGTACTCGGATAACGGATTCTTTCACATCTCCGGCAAGCCTCGCTCCGGGAAAACGCACATGATTGATTATATTGCCCTCTCGGAGGTCGCCCGCGAGCACCTACAGACGTGGTGCAAGACCAAGCGCCTGACGCAGATGAAAATTTGCTTCCGGAGGACGGGCGACAGGCGGGAAACATCATGTGAGTGGAACCTGCAAGGAATGCTTCGGGTCATCCTCTGGTCCCTGATTCGCGACAAGCAAGAGTCCTTTTTCCACGGCAGTACGATTCCTATCCGCGCGACTTCAATGAAGAGCCTTGTGTGATTGACGATGAAGAGGTGCTTCTCGCCTGGGATAGGCTTGCGAAGCTAGACGACGTCTACACGGACGAAAGTTCGTGCTATACCTGGATGGTCTGAACCACTTCAAGCAAGGCTTTTCCAGGATGCTGGATCACCTCAAGCAGTGGGTGTCCGCCCGGCCGCTTGACGTCAAGATCTGCATCTCAAGCCGCGGAGAGGCAAAATTTCAGGACAGTCTGAAGTCCTATCCCAGTATTATCATGCATGAGGTGAGCCAGGCGGATATGTTATGGTACATCCGATGGGTGCTGTTGCACGAGGACGAGGATTATGCGGCCCGATTTGTCAGAAATACATCGCCCATGGAAAGGGAAGAACTGGAACAGCATTTCCTGGCCAAGGTCAATGGTTCGTTCTTTCTCCTTTGGAGTCTGATAGGGCGTATTAGGTTTAAGGATATAATTTCTCGAGATGCGATCAAAGATTTCGTTGATGACTGGATGCAACAGTACGAGCAAGGTACTCTTGACGATGTTTTTGACCGGCAGCTGCTACGAGAGAGCTACCAAGACGATCCGCCAAAATTGTCCCGGGTCTGAGGCGAAATCTCACTCTCAAGCGCAAGGCTTCGATACCTTTCAGATATTTTAGTTTGAAATCCAATAATTTGATAAAATAGCGAACCACGGTGACTTGCTTCAGGCCCCGGTCACGGGTCACGGCTGACCAGCCAGTAACTTTGATTGTAAGCGCTAGGCCTTCAAAACGGGGAAATGCTGCAGTAACAACGGAAAGCGTTGAGATCCAATGTAGGGGATAAGGACATATCTGGTCTTCGGGTTACTAGCTATGTTTGATTTCGCCCCTATTTCCTGAACTTGGTGTCTTGTTCGCAACGTAAGGCACGACTTCGAAGAAGAATGACGAGGGTCTTCATCAAAAGTAACTGACTTGGACTACTTAGCAGCAAACTCAATCCACGCTGCCCCCTCCCCTGAAGCTTGAATGTGTTCAGAGCATGGCTTGCAGACTAGCAACCGATGGGGCTCTAGTGCAAGCCACAGATGGTGAAGTCAAAAGCTTGTGCAGATATCATGAAGGGGGTCCTAAGCTCAAGCGGCCGTGTTTTGCATAGTAGGAGTGATCAAAGGCCGATCAGTTGGAGCGCGAATACTAGACCTCGTGGATGGCGACCAAATAGGAAGCTGATAAGCTCATCCATGGTTGGTTCTCTTTCCCGCTTGGTGCCTTGGCTAGTGGTTGGGATCAAATCCACCCTTTGCTGATCTCGATAAAGCTGACTCGCTGCGGCAGTGGTTCCGTGGTACTGGATTGTAGCTCGGAACTCTGGATGCGATCTTGATAGGGCTGAGGAGGACGGCTGATGGTCCATGGAGAAGATCTGGGAAGCATCGTGGAGAGCCATGTGCTCGTATAGAGCCGTGTTTTTTTGGGTCATGATCGTTGACTCCACATACCACCTTTCCGACTGTACATACGTAGGCGGCATTGAGGGATGGGATGTACGGAGCTCATATCCCGGCGAGAGGATCGACAAGTCAATCTTTCCAGGCTCCACTATCTCACTGTGATAAGGGAGAAGGACAGAGCCACCATCGCACGGGGAAGCGCCCATACTAAACCAGCTCCTTTCAGACTTCGTGACGAGGTTTCCCCTTTCTTTCTTGTGCGGGCGGATGTGGGAGATTGCTTTTGGTCCAAGTCAAGTTGGCCATATTCATGCTCACGTTCGCCCAAAGGTCAATGAGATGGACCAATAGAGGGAGGCTGCAATATAATGATGGCCAATGAATAAACCTGTCTAACATCATGAACATTTGAAGTGGCCAAAGATACGTCTTAGAAGGCTGTGTCCATCGACCCAGTCGAGTCATCTGGGGCGGTAATTCTGGGCAGAATACTCGGCAACTGAAACCAATTCAAACAAACGGTGACTAAATTAAACACCAACCAACCTCTTGATCTTCATGCCTCCTTTACTATCAACTTTTCCTGTCTTATCTCGCGCATTCCATGGTACTGAAAACCCAGACCTTTCTACAATCATTGATTAAGATTGAATGAAAGCACGCGGCTTGTGGGTGGTGCCGAAATACCCATGAGTACGGAGTACTCCGTACCTTGGCTGGCGCCCCGCACGTGGAGTAAGCGTAAGTTGGGTCTTCTGGAAAGGAAGGTGAAAATTTGCTACCTAGGCTAGACTAACGTGCTTCTGCTGCCCACGAACTAGACGACGAGGCGTGAAAGTTCGAGTCCTGCTACATGCAGCCTAGCAAGATTCCTCCAATCAGGCTGAGCATGTTGCCCCTGACCGAGTCATGTTTCATAAACACGGGAGCTTCAGTCGAAGAGTTGTTGCCACCAAAGCGCTAGCCTAGACCCTGACCTACGAGGATCAACAAGGGCTTGTCAAGCTTTTCAAAGCAAGCCGCGTGGCGTTGGCTAACATACTAAAGTAGTACTAGTGAAAGACAGAACGTGCTGCCTGCCTGCACACCGTCTGCCCTTTCTGTCGGAATAGCGAATGTCCCAGGGGCTAGAGTCCCAAATTGGCAAGCCCAAAGCTTAGTCCAACTGCTTCCGATCCCCATTCGCTTCATGCCAGAGGCTAATCCAACAGTATGAGCCAAGGTAACATGAAGGCGGACGGGATGGAGATTCCACGCGCAGCACGTCGCGGAAGATAACTTCTTTCGGTCCACGCCCGAGCCCGTATCGGCAATTGCACACCTTGACGTGTGGGTTGGACAAGCCTACTATGGTGCACTATGCCTCCGATCATTGCTCTATGTGAAGCTCCTGCTACCCACCACCCAGCGCCATGACCAATGCTACGTGCCCAGGGGCAAATCCTTGATTATATAGCCCGAACGCTGCCCCAAATGGTACAGCGGGAAAAACCCTGCCTTTTCAAACGTCTCCTGCCATGCTGACCATCGCACTTGAGTCTTTTCTGGGGGCTGGCCCGGCCAGAGACGGCCACTCCCTGCATTCACGTGGGGAAGAAGGCTCCGCAGTGATCAGTCCACTGTCCAATTTGCAACAAAAAGGCCTGATCGTGATTTCTGCACTCGCCTTGCTTTCTATGTTCACGACCTTCTCGCTTCTGAGCTTCATTACATATCGGTTCATCTTCTGGCGCCAGTACTATCGGCGATACATTGGTTACAATCAGTATGTCGTGCTCATGTTCAACTTGATTCTGGCCGATTTCCTGCAGAGTTTCGGGTTCATCATGTCTCTCCGCTGGATTGCGATCGATGCGGTGCGAGCGACAGATGCCGCGTGTTTCCTGCAGGGGGTGGGGCTTCAGATCGGCGACCCAATGAGTGGTCTTTTCGTCCTTGCCATTGCGGTGCACACGTTCCTGCATGTCTGCCTCAACTACCAAATGGAACACCGAGTTTTTGTGAGCATGGTCGTTGGTCTCTGGGTCTTTGGGGTGGTAATGACCATTATTCCTATCGCTGCACATGGACGATACGTGTGGTATCCTGCGGTGGCCTGGGTCAGTTCTTGCGTCTTTGCTTTATGTGGAGATGGCCCGTCGCGACATATTAGCTAACTTAGTTCTCGACAGTGCTGGATGACTCCCGAATACGAAAATATGCGACTGTGGACGCACTATGTCTGGATTTTCGCCTCCGAATTCTTCACGGTTTCACTCTACGCCGTCATGTTCATCCAACTGCGCCAAAAGATGTCTGAAGCGGCCGTCCTTGGCGAGCACAATTCCGAGAGTCTGCGTCGGTTGAAAAGGGTCATCATGCACATGGCTGTCTATCCTGTCGTCTACATTTGCCTGACCCTGCCATTGGCGGCCGGTCGCATGGCGTCCGCGGGGGGTCATTCGCCAAGCGTGCTTTACTTCTGTTTCGCGGGCTCCATCATGGCATGCTCAGGATTCTGCGATTCTTTCATGTACGTCGTGACCCGTCGAAGTGTGGTGGTGGAATCCGAGGCCCGAGGAAGCAGCAACAAGCTCTCCAGTCGGCGAAACAAGTCATCGGCCGCAAATCAATATGCCACGAGCGCGGATCCGAAGGGACCGACGTCAACGACAATTACCCGAGGCCGCAGTGATTCCACCGAGGAGATGATTGGCAAAGGGGGCCTTGAGCTGGCACCCATGGGCGTGGTCATGCAGCATACGACGATCGAAGTCACAACGGAGAGCGCATACGAACCGACTCCCAGCGATATAGGCCCGTCAAAGCGACACAGAAATAGCATCATTCGTCCCTGAGGCATCAATCAACATGGCGCGCATGACTCCCGTGACTTGGGTGGGCGATGCGACCGGGGATGGCAGATTGCCATTGCTGCAGCCATGCCTGCAGTTATACATCACATCCCCTTCCTCTCCTATTCGAAGAATGGCTTTTCACCACCGTCCGCCATTAAGACTTTTCGCACTCGGTTGCAACCACCTACTACGGTCGCAACCGGTCGACCAGGGGGCTCTTGCATAACTGAGGCTCAAATATTCCGACCTGGAACTCTGACTCCAAGTCCGTTCAAAGCATCGTCCGGTCATGACACCACGCTATGCGGTACTTTACTCACGAAGGTCGGACTTTCGGCCAGCCTTCCTATCGCTTGAGCAGTGCATTTATACCGATCCCGATTTCAACAGCGCCACCTATACACCCGGGCCGGAGCAGACCTCAGCGTGAAACAACATGGATGAAACGCGACCGCGGTCAATCCTTGTGCGATCGCCGCAGCGACTGCAGGGTAATAGGTTGCTCCCATCTCCTACGAAGCTACTACCACGGAGAGAATGCAGAGATCAAGACTTGCGACATCCCCGGTCCCCACGGGCATGTCGATTCGCTTGAAGCCTTGCACGACGCGAACCCACGGAGACTCTAGAGCGGGATGTTTTCCATGCATCGAAAAAGCCACATAACGACAGCAATGGTCTTTTTACTTCAATCTGTACTATTATGCTATATACCTTGCCACCCGGCAACATCTCATAATTTCTAATTTCCACATACACGTTCAGAAACGGCGTACTTACCAGAATTATTCTACTTCACTATGTACAAACCAGCACTTCTGATATCCTGTCATTCACATACACCATTCAACCACCAAACACGGATCCTTATGGAATACATCCCGTATTCCAGGATCAGAAGATAGCCACCGAGTTAGGCGGGGTCGCTACGCCTCCAACAACCTGAAAAGAAAAAAGAAGAAGATCCTCGAATTAGCCCAACAAACTCCAGCCGACTTGGAATCCTTCCGACTTCGCCATTCCCGATCAATGCCTTCCTTCCCCTGCACAGCAAAGGAAAATAAATCAAAAAAAAAGAAAACATACCTTCAACGGCACACTGGCCAGGAAGAACTCATACCGCCGCGTCTCGCGACAATGCTCCGCCAAGCGCTCGAGATCAAACAGCTCCCCGATGGGACACCCCCACCCGGCCAGCACCCACTCATGCAGGTTGAAGCGGGGGTCGGCGTGGGCGCCGCGGATGGGGGCGCGCTCGAAACTGGGGGCGTCGCCGGCGACGGCGGCGAACTGGTGGGCCCAGAGCCAGCGCACGGCGGCCTCGGAGGCCTCGAGGCCGATGAAGTCCGGGGTTGGGCGGCGGGCGAGGGCGTGGCGCTCGGCGTCCGAGAGGGCGTGGTAGGCGCGCGTGAACCCGCTGCGGATGAAGAGGATGTCGGCGGGGCGGGGCTGGATGCCGTGGTCGGCGAGGAGGCGGGTGAGGTGGGCGACGGGAATGGCCGAGGAGGTCAGCGGGGCGAGGGGGATGTGGTGCTCCTCCGCCCAGCTGGCGTAGTCCAGCAGGATGCCTCGGCCGGTGATGCCGCCGGCGTCGGTGACCACTATCGACAACCCAGGTTAGTCGTCTCCTCCCCCCCCCCTCCCCCTCTCTCGCCCAAGGCAAATTCTGCACCACAAAAAGATAGGGCAAGAGAACCATGCAACCCCAGAACATCCGTCCCCTCAATCTCCTCCTGCGTATGCCCGTTATAGAACCGTTTACTCTGCTGATGGGCTATCACCCATCCCAAACCACACCCACAAACCCCAGTCAGCTTGACAATGCAATTCACCCTTCACCTCTCACCCATAGCCGCAGCACAGCCCCCGCACCCCAGATAGAAGAATCACGCACCATAATGCCTGAACCCATCCCACTGCGTCGACCCCTGGGTATTAAACGTCAGGATATCATCATTGATGCAATTGGGCCGCCGGTGCACGATCCGCTGCTGGAACGGGTCGCGCTCGAAGCTCGGGTAGGTGGGCATGCTCAGCGGCCAGTCGAGCGAGATGCGCACCCCCGTGCGGATCTCCTTGGCCGCGGCCACGATCACCTCCGGCGTGAGCAGGTTCAGGGTACCGAGTTGGTCGGCGGCGCCGAAGCGGCCCCAGGCGTTGCCGGGGGGGCCTGCGGGGTCGAGGGGCAGGGCTTCGAAGGGGATGATAGGTTCAGGTTTGCTCATTTTGGGTGCGGAAGAAGGTGGTGGTGGCTTTTGTTGGAAGTTGCGAGTGGAAAGTGCGGGGGAAGGGTTTGGGGTAGCTGCATCTGCAGGAAGCTTTTCAATTATTTATATATGGGGCTCCGGATATTGCGGGGTAAGTTCATCCCGAGGAGGGCTTTTCCGGTGCGTCGCGCCCTTTTTCCGACGGTGGGCGGAGATGTCGGGAGGGGAATCCGCGGTTTTTTGTTCGGGGCGAATACCGAGTCGTATCTGTTGGAAGTATACAACTTTATGGTTGATTTACACAATGTAACTGATTAGTATGCGTATGTCTGACAACACCAGCAGATCTGCAATAAACAAGAGAAATATTACCAGAAGAGATTTGCAAAATACTGCCCATTTGAATAGTGTATTAATACGGCTTCGCTTTCTAAATGATGCTATGTGACATGAAAAATAGTTCCCTATCATGAATCAAGGTGCATATGAAGGCATGACCAGCTACCCACATGGCACTGAACGTGTAGATCTTCGACACTCCATGCATATGGTATTCAGTCATCTTTGAAATTTGGATCCACCGTTTCGTTCGGCGGCCACCAGAAATCTTCCTCTAGCGCCTCGCGTAGATCTTCATCGACAGGACTCGACAAGAGAGGACGAACCGGTGCGGACGAGACAGCGGGTACAGTTGAGATAGGAGGCTCAGGGATTGGGGCCTGCACCATATCTGAGGTCAAGTCAATCACATCGACCCCTGCCACGTTCATATGGGATTCCACCAGTCGCCGCTTGGGTTTGTAGGGTGGCTCAGAGATCTCTGACTCCTCGTCGCTGCACAGATCAATGATACCCTTTGCATCCACATGGATCCGTTTCTTGTAACCAGCCCGCTGGTTCCGTGCCTGCGCGATCTTCCGTTGCAACTCCACCTGCTGTCGGTCTTTCTCTTCCAGTGCAAACCGATACCTAGGGTCAAGCCCATCGAGCTGCAGAGCCTGCCACTTGTCTGCCAGCCTCGTATACGCAAGCTCATCGGCCGGCGTGTTCTCTGGTCGCGCCCACGCCGCGAATGGACCATCGTAGTACGGGCCTTTTCCAACCCCATAGACAGGATGCCGCTCAAGCTGGCCAGACCGCAGCAACTCGGCGCCTGCAGCGACTCCAGTGTCCGGCTTATCGGGGGACACGGTCCTTGGTGGTTCACAAGCAGGTTTGTATTCAATAGCATTATCGTCCGTGCGCGAGAAGGGCCCCGAAGATAGCATGTGAATTCCGCCAGCGGCATCCCCAACTAAGAGATTGGTTTTATCGGGTGAGAAGGAGAGACTCATGATCTCCTCGTCAAGCCTTGCAAGGTCTTTCTCGAGGACATCTTCTGAAGCTCGGAGAATATTCCATCTTTTCACCACCCCGTCGGTGGCTCCACTGTAGAATTCGCAAACCGTGTTGCCCCACAGAGCCGTTCTCACGCCAACATCTGCTTGCTCGCGACTCTGATTCTGATCTAGCGGATTCAGCACTTCACCATGCTGAAGTTTGTGCAGAATCTCTGCCGGGTTGCGATAGTCCCAGACGTATGTCGCTCCATCAGTGCAACTAGCAGTGAGGTAGTTCGTGTTCGTAGGACAAAATGTCACATCGTTGATATCCAAAGCAGGGCATTCGAATTCCATGACACTAACTTTCGATCTCAGCGGCTCATAGATACGAACGGATGATCTGCTTTCTTTGAAGGCCTTGTAGGGGGAGTGAGCAATGTAGTTCGCCACGGCAGCAACTGGTAAAGACGGGTGCCACTTGATATCGAATACGTTTTGGGAGCCGGGTAAGAGATTGAGGGGCGTAATTGAAGCCTCGCTCACTTGCCAAGCCACCAACTGGCCATCGGGCGTTAGGCTATCATGACCCTTTTCACACAATCCGGCAAGGAGGATGTTGCCAGTTTCTTGAATCGTGCCCCACGCAAGGGAGGAAGGCACCATCTCAATAGCTTTGTTCGAACGAGATTTGCGGGTTTCGAGGAATGTGTAAGTACGCTCGTCCAGTCTCCAGAGGCCGATCTCACGCGTCCCCGTTGCCAGTAAATTGGGCACGTATTTCGAGCGGGCCATCACTTCAACCCTGGTATCATGCCACAATTGTTCGAAGCACCCTGTACCCTTGCTGGATGAATGCCACAGTCTCACGGTATTGTCATAGCTTGCCGTGAAGAGAGCGTCATCCCACCATTCAATGGCGGTCACACTCATGAAGAGTCGAGAATCGTGAAGGTTCAAATTGTTGGCTGCCCTCGTCCGCGGTCGGGGTACCCAGTGATCCGGTAGCTCTTGCAAAGTATTCGTGGTCAAATCTCCAAACAGCAGATTGTTGTTTCGGTTATATGCCATGTTGTCCTCGTCGCACTGGGCAGCTGCTCCGGCTGCGAACTTGGTACCATCGGGCGACCACCCCAAGACAATCACATCACCGGAAGCGCCTTTCCAAGTCCAAGATTTTTCGAGGTTGTCGGAAGCCTGGATACGGATCTTGCGCGCTGTCGAACGTCCCAACTGACGTTGTTGTAGAAGTGCCGTCAATGTGTTCGATGGATCTTTGGCTGGGCCGGATTGTGTATAGTGCAATGGAGGTGTCGCTAGGCATGAATCGGGGTGTGGTCGTTCGGGCTCATGCTGGACACTGGAACATGGTGATGATGCATAGCTGCGACCTCTTCTGCGCCGAAGGGGATTTGGTACCAGGCTATCACTGCGATCCCTTCGTGGTCGCGAAGATCTCAACAAATTATCTCCACGACTTCGGCTAGCTCCGCCGTCCAACCCGAAGCCTTCGTAGTTCGAACGATCATAGTAGTTAGCGGGACCTTTTCGTGGTCGCGAAGACCTCACCACAGTCTCTTCACGACCTCGGCTAACTCCACGATCCAGCCCAGATCCTTCATCGTTCGACCCATCATAGCTTTCAGCAGGACCTTTCCGTGGTCGCGAAGACCTCACCAAGGCCTCTTCGTGGTCTTGGCTAACTTCACTGCTCGACCCGAAGCCTTGGTAGTTGGAGCGATCGTAATAGTTAGCGGGGCCTTTCCGCGAACGACCCGAACGTCGCGCTCGTGCTGCCTTGGTCGAGTCCGCCTTGGTCGAGTCCGATACTTGCGAGTGATCGGTGATGGGCAGCTTATCCTGAGATCTCGGTCTCAGAGACTCTGGCGTGCGGGGTAGGGTCAACGAGCGAGTGCCTCCGGTGGCGGGGGATCGGTCGTGGATCGTCGGGGTTTCGGTTCGATCGACGGACTGTGTGGCTTCGCGTTTCACAGGCTTGGAAGACCCCAAGAACTGCGCCAGAAGGTTCTCGGCTTCTTCAACCACGCTCTCATCGTCGTCAGACTCCTGAAGCGTGAACCAGTGTGACATCATGCGATCTTGCCGGGTCTTCGACTTCGGCCTGTCATAGCGCCTGGCTTTTTCGGATTGAGGACTGGCGCAGGTTGGGGTCCAATGAGGGAGTTGAGTTCAAGATCAAGTCATTTTCGTGTCACGGACGCGGCGAGGAACACGGGTTGTTGGCGATAAGGGAAACGCGGAGGGCGCGGACAGGACACGGACAAATGTTACAAACACAATGCAAAAGGGACAAACACCTGCAAGCTTGTCGGTCACGTGTAAATTGGCCGAGGTCCTGCTTTGTTTCATCTCCACCCCATGTAAACACGGGAGACTCTTTCATATCCGTGGCTTACAATTCTTCTCTGGGATTTCAAAATCAGTGAAGTTGATAGGCCCAATGCAAGGGAATCTAGCATCTGAAATTGATGGAATGAATCTCAGTATAAAGTTGCTTCGAACATTGACTTTCAGAAGGTCTTCTGAAACCACAGACTCAACATTAGACAGCCACATTTAGTATTTTTGTTTCGATCATATCCACTGCATTGAAAATTATACTACTATACATAAAGCCTTTTTACCTATTCCCGTACGCCATTACTATTTCAGTTGAGCATCATTTCTGATGCTTGAGAATTATTTTCATATACCTGATCACAACATTAGTCCTTGATCTTCGAATGAATGGGTGCTGCGAACTCACAAACTCATGCCCGTCAAGGCCATCAGGATTCCTGCCACGCTCTGATGTGACACCACATGATCCGACAGAATCCAACCTAGTCCTACGATTATGCAGGTCTTCAATTGGCCGATGACAGTACTGGTAACTGGCCCTGCTGCGTCGATGATGTAGAACTGAGAGAGGTTGACCAGACATGCCATAATGCCGCTCTGCAAAGGGGTGAATTAGCTGAATGTATAGAGCCAAGGGAAGGATGGAATGCATACCGCCAAGATAGACAACCACAGGGACTCCGGCACAGATGAGACGGTTGGGAAAGTCTCCATCCAAGGGGCAATGCAAAGTAGAACAGCTGCGCTGACAGGCGCCTGGTTAAGCAGAAGCTGCATGCTGCTCATCTGCAGCTTCTTATGATAGCGGCCCACCAGCACAGTGTACATGGCACTGGCACAGACACCGGAGAGGGCGAAGAAAATGCCCTGCGCTGAGGTCGATTCAGTGCTCTTTGAGGTTGGTACAGAATCGTAGTACGAGACAACCCCCACGCCAGTGCAGAGTACAATGAGTGGCAGGAATGCGGCGCGAGGGATACTGGATTGATAGAGGATGTAGTTCAGCAGCGCAGTTGCAGGCGTAAGGAGTAATCGCGCCAGCTGGTGAAAGATAACAGAAGAGTGTGCAAGTGCAAGATTCTGGAATATCACTTGGATGCACATGGCTGCAACAAGATGAAGGATGCGATATGCAGAGACATGTTTAGGCTCGAACCAGCCACACCAGGGTCGAGAGGTGATCCAGAGGGTCACTCCAGTGATCGTGAAGTGATATGCAGCAAATGACACCTGGGAGTTTCGAAGCATGGCATGCGAGAGGACAGACTTGTTGGTGAAAACCTGTGGTATCCAAGTGAGCCTCACATTGCTTCAGATAAGGGGTTTCTGGTGCCTTACGATGGCTACAGTAGACACAATGTTGATTATCATCCAGACTAGAAGACGAAGGCTTGATCCAGATTGTTCCTCCGAATGTGTCTTGTCTGGTGTCTTTTCGTCGTCAATTGTGTAGACTACCTCTGACTCTGCATTGTCAGGCGATAAAGGAGTGGTAGAGGAACAAGATAGCTCGTGAATCGAGCTCTCTTCTTGGTTCTTCTCCTCATTCTTTCGCTCATCTAATTTTGGTGCTGTGGAAGCCATTGTGGAAGATTGGGGCGCGATTGTTGCGTAGCTGAAGCTGTCCTGGTGTTTAGGACATCACTGAAAGGCCGGCAGACTGACACAGGCGACCGAAGATTTTCAATGCTACACGATTATGTCCACCGGGCCACTTTGTCCGCATGTAGAGTCTCACTAGCGAGGAGCATGACGCCGGCGACCAGTCGATACGACCGCGGACCCAACTCAAGACGTGACACGGATGAAAACATTCAGACCCTGAGATACCCTCGCTGAGAGAGGATCCAGAGGCCTGATCCAGGGAACATTCTTCCCGGTTGCACTCTGATGTTACTTCAGCCCTCCAGGGGCGTGCTTCAGGATTTCCGTTTTCGGATGATAAGAAGGGATGGGCCCGAGAGCAGGAATGTCGCCCTCCCCCGGATCGACGTATCGCAATGCAGGTACAAGTCTGGAGCGAAGTAGGGTCGCCTGGAGCGAGCCCTGCTTGAAGACATTGTCAAAAAGGGGAAAGGGGGGGGGGGAATAATACCTATTAGGTCAGTCCGTCCTACTCCTTCTGCGTCAAGCCAGTGCAGCATAGATGATGATAGCTTGATAAGGTGCTAGCTTGAAATCTGTGGGGGAAGCGGGGACCCAGACCCATTTTCAGCAAACACCACAAACACCCGCGATCCTCCGCATGTCACGTGCAGGACCGGCACGACTCTGGGCGATTTGCTCCGGAGCGAATTCGAACCTCCGGTAAATGGCTTTCCCCCCGTCCATCGGCTGTGTGTTCGGCAGTCGAAAGTCGGAGGCGGCAAGTGAACAATAAAATCATGGCCGCGCTACGCCCCTCCATCCTGTCGAATGCCCCTCCTTCACTTATCTATTGCAGGGTCTCCTACTCGGTGTCTTTCTCATTAACTCATCGCTCATCGACTCAACAGCTGCAATTGATCCCTGTGTCGTCGCACCTTGCAATCCCTCCAAAATGGCGACTCCCGGCTTGCTTTACGTGACGATGCACCCGCGTCCCTCGCTCCCCGCCGCTCAATTCCACGACTGGTACAACTCGGAACATGGACCCTTGCGTCTACGCTTGCCTTTCGTCACCAACGGTTTCCGGTATCGTGCTGTTGATGGCGAGGAGCCTGAGTGGGTAGCTTGGTATGACATTACGGAGATGGAGGAGTTGACGCGCGAGACCTACCTGGCTCTCCGGGGAGATGGTATCAAGACTCCGCGCGAGAAAGCGACTATGGCTCAAATTGCCGTCGATCGCCGCCTCTACGACTTCCTGGGTGAACAAAAAGCCGCCGATTACACTCCGCTCGAGGATCAACCTGATACCACTGTGGCCGGCTCGGTGCTTGTCGCTGTCTCCACCACTCTTGTCGATGACGCCGACAAGGAGGCCGACTACAACCGCTGGTATACCGAAGAACACATCCCTATGCTCTCCCGCGTGCCTGGCTGGCGCTGCTCCCGTCGCTTCGTTACAGCCGCCATCGACCCCAAGGCCCCCCGCGAATACCTGACCCTCCACGAGTACAAAGCCACCAATGGCCTGGGAGGTTCGGAACACAAGGCTGCCATGGATACCCCTTGGCGCACTCGGATTGTCAACGACACGATCACCAGCCAGCGCCGTCGTGTTTTTGAGTGGGCCTACACCTTCGGACCTGCTCCCCGCGAGCTCTCTTCCCTGGCCTCCAAGGATGTTGCTGGGCCGTGGTCGTCCAACGACGGCCGCACCCGTACTCTCCCCTCGCCTACCCGCCCGGCCGTCGAGTCATTTGTCACCACCGCGGACGGTGTCGACCTCCCCTACCGGTTGGAGGGCAGCACTGACCCTCACAGCCCCGTCATTGTTCTGAGTAACTCGATTCTGGTGGATTACGCCATCTGGGATGACTTTGTCAGCGCCTTCCTCGCGGATCCCCGCAACCAGGGCTTCCGTATCCTGCGTTACTCCACCCGTGGCCGTCTGCAGGCCTGTGGCAAGCAGCCGATCAACATCGATGTGCTCGCTTCCGACATCATCGCCCTGCTAGATGCCCTGCGCATTCCTCAAGCCACCCTGATTGGTGTTAGCATGGGAGGTGTTACGGTTCTCAACACCGCACTGCGCTACCCTACTCGCGTGACGCGCTTCATCGCCTGCGATACTAACAGCTCCAGCCCCGAGTCTAACCGCAAGGCCTGGAATGATCGCGTAGCAGTGGCCGAGCGCGAGGGTGCTGTCTCTGCTACCACCCAGGAGACGATTGTTGGTGAGGAGCTTGCCGAGGTCACTGTTCGTCGGTGGTTTACGCCGGAGTCCTATGAGACCCAGCCTCATCTGCCCGCTCAGGTGAAGGAGTTGGTGCGCACCAACAGCCTTGAAGGCTTCCGCCAGAGCGTCCAGGCTCTCTGCGCATACGATGTCCGGGAACAGATGGCGCAGGCGCAGGTTCCAGGTCTCTTTGTCGCCGGCGAGGGCGATGGTGTGCTTCCTAAGACCATGCAGCAGATGGCGGCCGATCTTAAGGGCGATGCGGAGCTCAAGCTCATTCCCAAGGCCGGACATCTTCCCATGGTCGAGAACGCTCCTGCCTTCACTCAAGTAGTTAACGAATTCCTCCACAAGTAGTTGTACAGAAAACTCAATTCAATTCCAATGTTCCAATGACTCACACCACTGCAGCTACGTGGACATTCTGTAATTCTGTAAGCATAATGAGAACAAGCAGAGGTGTAGCCTAAGCAAGTGACGACTTTTCAAGATGCGGCATGACGAGCGGTACCTGCAGGATGCAGCAGCCGCGCTGGCATGAAACATGAGTAGGTATTCTGGGGAACGCGGCCGGAGCCGCCTTTTGCATTGTTTCGCTCGTTATCTTCTGGAAACCTAATCTTTGTGCCAGTCCGTCGCCAATTGAGGACCACATCAAAACTATCTATCTTTCTTCGATCCTATAAATTTCCAGGGACGTCGGTGGGCACTATACTGATGCTGAGCCGAAAGGCTTGATCGACTTGAAGAGATATGCATCCTCGGTAAATGCTGTTCTGCGATCTGGGTCCCCCATTCCCATGGCCGGATATCCCTGCTCACCTCCCCGCAGTCGGATTTTCCGGACGGACCCGCACCCAGATTTATCTTGCATCTAGAAGCCAATTTCACAGAACCCCCCTCCCAACTTCATCTAACCTTGTACACCATACATACTTTAGACAGCTAGCTCTGTTACTCACTTCGTGGAGTATACGATCTATTGCAAATTCTCGACTTACAAGATCGACCCCGTTGTACGAGAAAATCGCAAAGAGAGCCGACAACATGCCCCCGACGCCCCTCACAGTCCAATACAAGGAGATCGACGGTAGCAAGGTCGATACAGATGTCTATCTCCCACCCCTAGCAGCCTCCGAAAACGGACAACCGAAAGACTATCCTGTCTGTATGTGATATTCTAAACACATGAATGACAACTACGCATCTGAATAGATCGCTAATATATGAACGAGGACCATAGTAATCGACATCCATGGCGGCTCGTTCATGCTGGGCCATTCCAAGATGGTCTGTATGCCTCAGGTGGACGATTGTCTGGCCCGCAGCTGGATCGTGGTCAGTCCCAACCACCGACTCTGCCCGCAGGTGAACATCCTGGAGGGTCCGATGGCCGATTGCCGAGACCTACTAGCCTGGATCTACGACGGCCACCTCGATGCATTTCTTGCCGGGCAGTCAGCTGCGCACTTGCATGGATCGCAGTACCGCGTCGATAAGGACCGAGTCATGGCCTTCGGGACATCGTCCGGAGGCACATTGGCTTTGTCACTGGTAAGCGCCCACCTGATCCCTTTCCCAATCAGCAGCCAACAAACTTTACCCGATGATGCTTATCCTCCTGGACCGTAGGGATGGGACGTCCCGCGCCGAGTAGCAGCGATCCTCGACTTCTACGCCCCGGCCTACCTCACCCACCCGTTCTGGACGCAACCGCTTCCCGAGGTAGCCAGCAAGCTGCCGCCTCTCGACTCCGCGTTCCTCAACCGGATCTACGATGAGAAGCCCGTGCCTACGAACAGCTCGATCTCCCTCGAAGGGCAGACCGAGGTTGGCGTCGTGCCGGGCCCGGACTTCAGCCGCCCGCGCGACGGGTTCGCGCTCACACAGGTCGCCAACGGGACGGTCATCCAGGCGTGCTATCCCGGTCGAGATGTCAAAGAGATCGACCCAGTCCACCACGTCGATGCGCAGTTCCCGCCAACGTGTATTGTGCACGGTGGGGCGGATACGAAGGTCACCATCGAGGTGAGTCGGGAGTTGTTCCGGGCGCTGAAGGAGCAGGGGGTGCGGTGTGAGATGATTGAGGTGCCCGGGGAGGATCACACCTTTGCGATGAGTATGAAGGTGGGGTCTCCGACGTGGGAGTTGCAGAGACGCGGGTTTGATTTCTTAGAGAGTGTGATCGCTTCTCGGTGATTGTCTTTTGTGTGTTTATAGGAATAAGTGAACGCGTCATATCTCATATACCTCTAATTGTGATCGAACATGAGAAAACTAGACGCTGGGTTCAATTTATCGACTATACTTGATGGAAGTGAGAATAATGGAGGATTACAGTGTAAGCTCGGATAACGATAAACATTCAGTCATCATCGTGCCTGAGGACTCACATAGCCCGACGCCAAGACGAGTTTCCGGAATAGGAAACAAGCTTACCAGCCCGGCCTGGCTCCAGGCTAACTGCCAGGCTGGTGGTGGCATCCTCCGCGGGCGGGGTATCGGTGCTCTCCGATAGAGCAATCAATGCGGGACCGGAGATATGATCATTTAAACTCCACTCCCCCCTTCACTGACAAAACACATCACACTAACTACACCTTATCGCTCACCATTCCCCTCAACTTTACAGCCATACTCCTCAGTCACTCTGCACCTAAATATTGAGTCGAAGACAGTTCATGGACAACACCCCACAACCTCACCAGCCGTCAACAGGCCCAATCCCAACCCATCAAGCCCAAATCACCGAGCGTCTAATCCTCGTCCGCAACCAATTCAACCACACCCCTTCCTCCTCCTCCCAAACCAGAGCAATAACACTCCCAACGCCCAGTCCACCTGCAGCAACAATGTCCCGCGACCCAATCACCTGCCACGTCCTCAACACCCTCACCGGCACCCCCGCCGCCAACCTCCCCGTGACCCTGACGCTCCTCTCCAGCAGCACGGGCAGTGCAGCCACAGAAGAAAACCCCCCATTCCGCGCGACCACCAACGCTGACGGCCGCGTTGCGAATTGGGAACCCCTACCCACCACCACCGGCTCGTCGCAACAAGCACAATCCGTCCCGGCGATCTTGGCCGCGCTCCCCGCGCCCGACAGCAAGACCAACTGGGCGGTGCGGTTCGAGGTGGGCCCCTGGTATGAGGCCCAGGGGGTGGAGAGCTTCTGGCCCGAGGTCGAGGTCAAGTTCACGGTCAAGGGGCGGGGCAAGGAGGGCGAGGAAGGGTGGCGCCATTACCATGTGCCCGTGTTGTTGGGGCCGTGGAATTACTCGACGTACCGGGGGTCTTGAGGGATGTGCACTACAGTACCTGCATTTGGAAGGCTGATGTGACAAGACAGGACTTCGGTAGCAGTTTAAGAGGCTAAAATATGACTCGAATGATGATATTGATACGGTAGTGTGCCTGTCGGATATAGAATTGGTTTTGGGTGCTGTGAGACATGATGAGCAGTATGCTGTTAGAGATTGTGTTGTGATATGGCTGGCATCGTTGAATTCTCATGCTTGTGATGATGCACTTGTTTCCAGTAAACGTACGACTGCTTCCGCTATCAGAAGTGGATCTTGTAGGCCAGCAAGTTGCATTGTGGTAGCCTACGCAATTTGTATCCTGGGGTTCAGCATCATGCGGGGAACCGATGAGATAAGCTCCGGCTGCGACCGTTTGACCAAGAATGCCCTGGAACGGTTTCATTTTCGCAATGCACTAGGTATTACACCGGGTCAGATAGAAGTCCTCGTCACAATGACAACAAGCAAGCCAGCCAGAAGCAGAGGTCGACCATGTGCATCACACTTCGAGTTCATCTCCGTCGCGGGTGACAATGTAGCCGGAGACGCAGCCACGCGGCGACGCGTTCGCAGCCACGCGATGGTCGACTATCGACGACGAACCGCTAAACCCAAGCGAAAGGAAACCACGTCTATTGAGATTGATACGAGCCCGCTGCTGCAGGGCTCTGCTTCGTTACCTCTGCTTTGTTCTCCGTCATTGCATGGAAAACAGCAGTCTTGCACAGATGGCTCTATTGCATTAGCTCCGCTCTCAATTCTGGATGCAAGCCGATCGGACCCATTCGGGACATTCCCGATCGATCGCGATCGACGAACTCGTCGGCTCTGGGACCATAGTACGATCTACCTTTCTGTATGAGAGTCCCACTAGTCTACGCAGCAGTTAACTCTGGCTATAGTGTACGATGGAACTTGCTCTATGTTCCGAACCATGCTCGACATCGGCTTTCTCGATGTCGTCCGTGAGACCATCGCTCTATCGCAACTGTTATCAGCCTCGTCAAAACACTTGGGACATCTATACGCCGACGACAGCAGCACGGATCACTACAGATACACCGTTCATGCGACAATTCTCCTGCAGCAGCGTCTAGGAGACCCCGCAACTTGTGTTTCCGACGAGGTGGTCGTAGCTGTGCTGGCCTTCTGTTGTTATGCTGTGAGATTACTGCAGTCACCCTCGACCAATGCTCAATTGACTAACTCGTCCCATCAAGAATATGACGCGGGATCCAAAGCTTTTGAACGTGCACATGGATGGTCTATCCCGTATTCTTGACTGCAGAGGTGGCTTCGAATGTCTCAACTCTAATCCGCTACTGAGGACCATGCTGTATTGGTGAGCAAATAGCGCTCTGCAGCTGTTTTCTTGACTAATGTACTGGATGTGCAGGGTGGATGTAAACGGTGCATATATCCAGGACAGTATGCCTCGATACCAACAGCCTCTCGCGATCCTGGCCGGTCGCAGTAAGCTCACCATGGCCTCGTATCGGTTCGACTTACCGCTTGAGGGCGGAACGAACCGCCACGCCTTCGTCTCATATATCCGCCAGAGCCTTGCCGAGTTGCATATGATCATGCTGTCTGAGTTATTGAAACGGAATCTCTGGTCTGACGTTCTGTTTCCGGGGTTTCACATTTCACCGATTCTACACATCCTGCTAGCACAACCACGTGCCACAATCCACGATACCATCGACGCGCGAGTGATGGAATGCTTCCGTCTAACTACGGTCGTGTATCTGACAGAGCTTCGTGGGAGATTTGGTTTAGACACCATCCCTGGCCTGTTATACGGATCTAAGTTACATTTACTCTTGCGTGATATGAAGCTCTCCCTTCTTTCGACGAGTCATCAGATCTACCTTGTTTGGGCATTGACAGTCGGTGCTTGTGCTTCGTGCCTAAGTGAAGAACTGCGAGGCTGGTTTTTAGGCTCGCTTGAGAAAATGGTGGCATTCATGGGAGTGGTTAAATTTACTGATTATAAACATCTTATTGGCCAATTCCTCCGGATTCCGGACGCTTTGTTTTGTTCACTGGATGCGCTGGAGGACCAGCTATTCTTTCCGTGACCAAGACAACTCTAGTTGTCAACAACCACGACCATCTTTCCATTGGCTTGATTAGCTTCCATCACTTGATGTGCCTCCCTGATATCATCAAATTGGAAAACACGCGACGGCTCTGCTGTGAATTTTCGATCGGCAACCATCTTCACGATAGACTGGAGGGGGACATCAGATAGGGGAAACTCCGGGGTTCCGAATACGAAGCTTCCAAAGAAGCTGAAATGTACACCACTGGCCATCTGCAGGAGCGGGCTGAAATCCTGGATCGGAGCCAAACCCCCCAGAAACCCAGCCAGACACACCCTTCCGTCTCGTCGCGCCATTCTCAGCGAATCCAGTATCGTGCTGTTGCCAACCAAGTCCAAGACAGCGTCGAATCTCTCCGCCAGCCGCTCCGACAGATCGGGCCCTTCCACCACGGCACGCTCGGCGCCCAGAGCCTTTACGTGCGCGAAGCGACTCTCCTGGCGACTTGTCGCAACAACACGCGCACCCTTTTCCACGGCCAAGTTCAATGCTGCCTGACCGAACGCTGAAGTCGCGCCACGGATCAGCAACGTCTGCCCGCTCCTCAGATCGAGGTTCCGGAACAGACACGTCCAGGCTGTGGCGTAGGACTCTGGGATCGCAGCCAGCTGATGCCACCCTAGCGTCGATGCCCCTGGGCCGAGCTCGACAACGTTGGAAGCCTGTACGCGGGTGTACTCGGCATAGCTGCCGTTGATGGTGCGCCCGAGGCCGCCCATCAGACTGGCCACGGCGGTCCCTTCTGCGAACTCGCCCCCGGGACAATCCACGACTGTGCCAACGCATTCGATCCCGCTCACGGGCATCCACTCGGCCCACTCCCCTTTGCGCATGTGCATTTCCGCGTGGTTGATGCCGAAGGCTTTGACTTTGATGTTCGCCGGTCCTGGGTTCGGGTCGGGGGATCTCCTTGATTACCAGGGAGTCTGGGCCTCCGAACTTTTCGATAAGGATTGCCTTCATCCTGCTGGAGGTGTGTGGGACTGGGACCTTTTTAGGTGCAGTATGCAATGAGAATTCTGCTTGAGATCAGGGTACGATCAATGGATTATTCTTTGGGCGGACAAGACTCGATATAGATCTGTAATGACAACGGCAGATGAGAATTGGTGAAAGGGAAGTGAAAGGCGACACTCAAGCGATATTTATGACTCGTAGAGAGCGCCATGGACAAGTCCAAATCCCGTCATCACTCTCGTGTTTGTAATCAGCAGCCCTGGCTAGATATTCTTCACGAATCTCCAATCTGAACCATAGACTGGGGACCGGCCGGGGCCCGGGGATCTCAGCGCATTCCATTTTGGGGCTAGTGTGCTTTCGTCCCCGCGGTACCCACGGCCCGCTCGCACCCACCTTACCCGAATAAGAAAACGCTGGCTCGGTGGTTGCAGCTGACCGACTGACTGACTCTTAACATGAGACTCTTCGATCTTGTACTTTATCATCAGAAACGATCTTAGAATTTGTAAGCCTTGAAGTCTCCGACCAGCTTTTCCCGCTGGTTGTCCACTGTATTCTGCACATGCGAACTGGTTGGCAACATGATACCTGGCGGGCCGACCGAGGAACTGTCAGCAACGCCAAATAAATATAGAGCAGAGGATCAGGAGAACCGAAAGGAAGCTCGCTTTACGTATGGCGAACATCCAGGTTATCCCTCTTTCAATCGATACCTTTCCTCAGAAGCAATTTGATGATGTCCCTTATTACGATGCGATAGAAATCCCCATCCCATTCAGACTGTCGCATTCAATCTCCATCGTCTACCGGGTAACAACGACTCGAGGACCCCCCAAATCCTTTACATATCGGAAACAAAGAACCTTACAGCAGGTATAACAATTTCATTACTACAGTATACGTATACTTACAGAATTATACTTATATTCTGTAAGTATACTGATTATGATCCGTATATCCATATTTGAGCTTTTGTAAAAACCGTCGGATTTATACCCAAGATACTGAACATCTTGTTTTACAGCGGAATCTCTTTGCAAGACGCGAGGATTACCACTACCATGCTCAACCTCCTGCACTCTGACACTCATTCTCATGCTCTACAACCCTTCGTCACCTTGCGGAAAGTAAGCCCTTGCGGTTTACCGATACGCGTGGGCGAGGTGGGGTTGTAGATTGTTTCTAAGGCGGGCGCCCGGGGGGGGGGGGTTTATAAGCGATGTAGAAACTTACGCTTTGGAAGTTATATGACGCAAGTACTGTCTCTGTCAAAAGACAGAAACAAAGATGCTGCATCATTATTGTACTGCCATTGTAGTACACAGGGCCCGCTGAGGTTAGTAATTTTGCTACTGTTGCCTAAACCCATCGAAAACCTGCAAGCTATTGTAGAGCAAGAAACACAGGGTCCCTGTTCGCAACTTGGAAAGAAAACTGCCCTACAACGTGCCACGCGCTTGTTGGTTGGGTTCCTGCGCGGGCAATCCCTTGCTCTCAACCTTGGTTGGTATGTGCCTTGCGGAATGCAAGCTCGCTGCTGCGAAAGACGTCAGAGCTGCATGGCTCGGACAATTGTTTTTGGGGTTAAACTCCACCGACGATACCTACGACACTTGGGGTCCGAGGACGGACGGATTCAAGGATGGTATTTCCCATTTGAGGGTTGTGGCTTCTATCACGAGGGTCTCGAAACTGGGTTTTCTGCATGGTTTGGCAGCGGTGGCGGCGCGGGGGTGGTGAAAAGGGATAATGCAGCCAGGCAGAAGAGTTCCAACGATTGAGAAAATGGTCTGGATGAGCAAGATGACTCTTGCAACATGTAAATGAGGTCACAGCAAGATAGACTTACAGATACTGGTCTGTTGGTGGCTCAGGAGTGGTGGACTGGTCAAGTCGAGTTCAAGTGGTTGTTGTCAAACCCCTGATCGACCGCCCTTTCTACGGAAGATCAACAAATACATGGATGGCCCTAACCTTAACTATGGGCTTGACTTCCATACTCTAACTTTTGCCCTAAGGCATGCCAGTATGCAAGTCTCCGCCGCGCGGGATTCCTCCCAAACCTGGACAATCCTGGTCTGGACTCAGTCCAGGTATGCACTAATGAATATCCACATAAATAGAGGAGCCTCCCAGAATCATGCTTCCACTCGTTGCGCGCCCCCCCACTGACACTTTCCGACCGTGCGATACGCCATCCCTGGGCGAAATCCCAATGTCCGACTAGGCCTTTTCTCGAAGCAACAGGTATCGAGGTTTGTATTTCCGAATCGAGGGGAACTTTCACTCTTTGTTTTCCCCTGATCGGTCCCTTCTTTTTTTTTTTCTTCGGTCTTTTTCTTTGATGCTTGTATAATTGCATTCGCTTCGACCAGACGTGTGCCGCCATGATGGCAAACTCAACATTCGCTTTACTTTGCATATCGTGGCTATCACTCTTTTCACTGGTGCTCTCGAGACCGCAAGATGGATGGCGCAACACCTCGATGCCGCAAATGAGGAACTCGGGCTCCGCTCAGAAACTTACGCCTAATCCGATTTCAAGCGCTGTATCCATCCCCCAACGAAGTTACATCCCTGATCCGACGTGAGTCCCACCCGCACAAAACCCCAAGATCCAAGAAAAGTGTTCACTGACAAGCCCCAGTGGCATCCCGTTCGTGATCCAAAACCGCACCGCCCAGCCATGGGTGAGCCTCAACGGGCCTCCGGCGCACCAGACCATGGCGGCGGCCTCGCCCTCCCTCTGCGCCAGCTCGAGCAACTCTGGCGGATACTGGTACGAGAACATCGAACACAACGGCCAATCGTCCTTCCTCGACTCCGGCCACAAGGAGGCGTACAAGGTCTTCCGGAATGTGGTCGAAGATTACGGCGCCGATAATACGGGCAGCCGGGACGCGGCGCTGGCGATTCAGGCCGCCATCCACGGTAGGCAGAAGCCCTAAGTCTGGAATATTGTGAGATTTGTGGAGCCTGACAGTCTGTTTTCTTTTCGCGGTATATAGCCGGACCCTCCAACGGACCCGATCGCGCCTCCCACTCAATGGGCACGACCGGCCAGCCGGCCATCGTCTATCTCCCCGGCGGGACTTACCTTCTTGAGAGTTCTCTGCAGCTGTTTGTGGGAACGGTTCTGATCGGAGACCCGACCAACCCGCCCGTATTGAAGGCCGCCGCCAACTTCCCGGATGACCACATCATCTACGCCAAGGACCCGAATTTCGGGGGCACTATCAATTTCTACATTGGCATGAAGAATGTGGTTCTGGACTCGACGGGCGTGGGGTATAGTAAGAATATTGCCTTGCTCGACTGGACCGTCAGTCAGGCGACGCAGTTGACGAATGTGGGATTTAACATGCCTACTGGTTCTGCGACACATGTTGGTCTAACGACTCAGTATGATTACAACAGTAACCTGATCATGGTACGTTTCCAACTGAGTTCTGTAGAATTCAAACAAAAGGAATCTGACCTTTGCAGAACGATTTGTGGTTCAAAGGCGGCGCGGTGGGGATGAAGCTCAACGGCCAGCAGTGGGTGTTCAAGAACCTCAGTTTCCTTGGGACCACGACCGGCGTCGTCGCGGGGGGCACCGACCTCACATTCATGGGATGCCGCTTCGAGCAATGCCAGACCGGGATTGACGCGCACGGGACATCTGGGTCGTTGACGGTGATCGATACCAGCGCGACGAGTGTGGGGACTTTCATCACGTCCGGCACGTCCGACACGGCTGGCAACTCGATCATCCTAGAGAATATCAGCAACTACGGCAACACGGTGAAGATCGGCGATACAATTGTCCTAAGCGGGGGTGTCTCGGACACCTGGGTACATGGACACATGGTAGGTATTCCTGCTTCTACCATCACGGCAACCGACTAACCCTCCATACGAACAGTATACCTCCGGCTCGAGCCAAATGCAAAGCACCAACGGACAGCTCGTCAAGACCCCCCGTGCGTCCGCACTATTATCCGGGAACAAGTACTTCACCAAGGCACCCCCAACCTACCAAGAGTATACGGCCAACCAGGTCCTGAACATCAAGAACGTCGCCGGAAAGCCGGTGTACGGCGATGGGGAGACGGACGACACGCGCAACATCAACGCCATTCTCTCGAGCAACAAGGACTGCAAGCTTATCTACTTCCCCGCGGGCACCTACATCGTGACCGACACCATCTTCGTCCCCAGCGGCAGCCGCATCATCGGAGATTCGTTCGCCTCGATCATCAGCGCCGTGGGCGACAACTTCGAGAATGAGGCCTCCCCGCGGGCGATGATCCGGGTGGGATACCCTGGGGATACGGCAGTTGCTCAAATCAGCGATATGGTGTTCACCGTGGCGGACATTCTGCCTGGTTGCCAATTGGTCAGTCTCCAACTTTCACCCCCTTTTATTACGCCCAACAAGTAAGACCCTAACGAAGGAACAGCTCGAAGTCAACATCGCCGGCACAAACCCGGGGGACGTGGGATTCTGGAACACGCACTTCCGGATCGGCGGGGCGGTGGGCAGCCTCGTGGAGAGCCAGTGCACGGGCGGCGCGGACAGCTGCAAGGCGGCGTACGGGCTGATTCATCTGACGAGCACCTCGTCGGCGTACATCGAGAACATGTGGGGGTGGACGGCGGACCACGACCTGGACGGGGAGAACGCGCAGACGATCTCGACGGGGCGGGGAATGCTGGTGGAGGCGACGGCGGCAACCTGGCTGATCGGCACGGGCATGGAGCACAACACCCTGTACCAGTACAACTTCAACCACGCGCGCAACGTCTTCTCGGCCCTGCAGCAGAGCGAGTCCCCCTACTGGCAAGGGGTCGGGAGCACCCTGGCCCCGGCCCCCTGGGACGAGCACCTGACGAGCAGCGACCCGAACTTCGCGGAGTGCGCGGCCGATGACGCGCTCTGCCGAATGGCGCTGTTCGAGCGCATCAGCGGGTCTTCTAACCTGTTCCTGTACGGAGGGTGCAATTGGGTCTTCTTCAATGATAACGGCGACTGTCCCAAGGGCGACTGTCAGCAGACGGCGGTGAAGGTGGAAAGTTCGTCGGCGATCTATCTGTATGGGACGAATACGAAGAGCACGACGAATATGGTAGTGGAGGGGGGCACGGTTGTTGCGCGGCAGAGCGAGAATGCTGGGGGGTGGGGCGGAGTGATTGCTGCTTATCTGTATGATTCGTGAAGTCCCGGTGATAAGTTGCAGGGTATATAGCGTTGACATTCTTGGAGCAGAGTTTGACACTCGATATATGTTGATAGTACAGTACAATCATAATGAAGTTCAGCATCCCGTTCGTTATAGACCATTCACTACATGTACCTAACTTGAGCTACCACCACAATGTGCAAAGTCCAACCACCTAGTATTCATAAATCTATTTCTAATCATACATATGAATTGTCGAAAATGACGACACAGCCTAAACAGGCTCATACTTATACACCTCCCCGCGCCGCCAGCCCTTCACCTTCGTGACGGCCGCCTCACAAAGCGGCTGAATCGTCCTCCACCCAAGCGAATAATACAACAGCCCCAGCAACGCAATCCCATATCCGACCACCTGCAGCGAACTCACCGGCGAGCCCCAGATGACGATCGAGCAGACAATCAAGAGGATATTCTTGGGCACGCTGACCAGCGTCATCGTCAGCCCGGACGTTTTCCCGATCTAGAAACGTTAGCATGAGCCCATATCCCCCTTTACCCCCTCCCCCTGATAAGAAACTGGACAGGCGAGAGAAAAACCTACCAGCACGAAAATCGACACATTCAACATAAACCCCACCCCAGCATTAGCAAGCAACACCCCCCACCCGGTCCTCCGCACCACCCCCCACTCAAACCCGGCCACCTCCCCACTCCCCAGGGCGATCAAGGCGTTGGTCAGCGCACACACCGGCGCCGAATAATACAGCGTGACAAGGGGATCCATCTTCTTCCCCTGCCCCTGCCCCTGGGCTTCCGCCTGCCCGTGCCCCTTCTCCCCCCTCCTCCCCCCTCCCTCCCCCCTCTCCTCCTCCCCCCCCATGCCCGCGATTCCCATTCTCACTCAGAAGAATCTGAATCATAACCAACCGATTGGCATCAAACACCAGACTCGCCACCTGAAAGACCACCCCCGTCCAGACAAACTGCACCTCCCCAGCAACAGCCAGCCCGACGCTGAACGCGATGACCAAGATATTCAGAAACGATTCGAGCGAGGGCCGCGCCACGCGCCAGCCCCAGCTGGTCAGGAGGGTGATGATGGGCCCGCCGGCCTTGAGCATCTGGATGAAGGAGACATTTAGGTATAAATAAGTCAGGTTGCTGGTGACCAGGCTGCCGCTATACAGTAGCCCGATGGGGACGATCTGGCGCAGGTAGGTGCGGGGCGTCATGTGGTGGGTGTGGCGGCTGTTCAACAGAGACGTCGTCCGCGCGAGGAGTTGCGTGGCGAGGGTCGCGAAGAGGAGGTGCCAGGTTGTGAGGATTATTGCTTTTTTTTCTGTTAATGTTGGGGATTGTGGTTGGGGGCTTCTTGGGGGAAAAAGTGCTCACGGTAATCTGGGAATGTTAGTGGTGATGATTTCCGTAGCGTATGCAACTGCATACGGGAGATTGGGAAAGGAAAGGAAGAACATACGGAACTCGGTCGACTCTATCAACCACTTATTGAAGAGGATGGTCAGGTTCGACCAGAATACCCATGCTCTATGCACCAGGAAAAATGTCAATTGGCTGATGTTCTAACCACCGAGAAGTAATCGTGGCTCAGAGAAAGAAAATCTACATACAGCACCCCTAATACCACCGGCCATATCGGCTTCTTTGCCGGGTCTGCAGCGGCAGCGGCAGCGGTTAATGCCTCCGAGTAGGTCATCTTTGAATCGGCGATGCTGCTCGGGGAGGCGGGTGACGTGAATGAAGGAGACGGCGAAGATACGGAGAGCGATGGCGATAGCGATAGTGACCCCTGGTGCAAGGAATCAGACCCAAAACTCTCCTTCTCCTCGAAGGGACCCGTCATACTACATGGCTGCTGCGAGAGGATATATACCAGCCAGTCTCTGTCTTCCGCTGAGTCTACACGCCAGGAGCCGCGGGCGGCTTGTTGATTGCTGGTGCTGGTGCTGCTGCTGGTCGTGGGTACAGGCCCCGTTGGGCTGCGGCCGTGGGTTGGAGTCATCGGGTTTTTCGGCGGGCGATGCGACTGCAACCTTGACCGCAAACGGGGTCCCCCGCTTCTTATAAGTCTTTACGAGAAAGAAAAGAAAAAAAATGACACGGAATACGGATGAGCGACCGGATGGAGTAGCGGTCACTCACTGGCGGGTAGGCGGGTGGTGAATGGTAACAGACATTGTGGGGTCCAGAACCAGGCACCAGCGTTTCTGCACCCTATTTTCAGGGCCCAAAGCTTGTTTGCGGCTTTGAGCGGCCACTACCCATACGAACTGCCAACAGGATATGACGCATTGCATTCAGGGATGTCTCGGTTCGCGCGGATACCGTGGACGGGTCTGGGACTCGGAATCCCCTTCCGTTTGCGTGCATCTCCCGCAGCCCTAGTTTGTGGTTTGGATCCGGCAGAACACCAAGGCGTTCATTCTATTTGACACTGTACCAAACTGAAAAAAAAGCGCATTACAAAGACTATTGACATAACGATGATGAGCATAATCACACAACCCCCCCCACCGCCCACCGCTCCACCCTCACCACGAATGCGTACAATACGTGATGAAGTAACTCGGCCACGCCTCCACGTCGATTGCCCGCTTGCACGCCTCGGGATCGAACTGCGGGTTCTCGAACGCCGCCAAGCACGCGGAGAGCTGCTTGTCATCCTCCCAGCTGTACGGGTAGATCTGCTGCCGCGGCAGGATCACCATCTTATCCTGCACCACGACAGGCGCGCCGCTGCCCTTCCTCTGCAACTCGGGCACATCGTCCTCGTGGCCCTCCGGCCCACAGTACATCTCCCACCCGGGGGACCAGCGCCGCACCTTCCGGCACACATGCTTGCGGACGGTCTTCTCGTCGCCCTCAAAGTCCTCGTAATAGCGGTGCAGAAGGAACGACAAGGCCGTGGGGCCGGTCAGACTTTCCACCGAGCCATCCTCACTGCCGTTGGGGTTCTCGATGACGTGAATCACCGGCAGCAGCCAGAACGGGTGGCCGGGCGGCGACGCCATCCACCCGTTAGGCACGGCCGCAGGACCGTCCAGTCCCGCCTGGTGCGCCATGTGGCCCAGGAACGCCCGTTGCGTGAGCGTAGACGCGGCGTGCGGTGATGCCACCTTGACTTTCCCCGTCCACGAGCCGAGGAGGCTGCTGTGCGCCGCCCGGAGGGGGGTGTCGTGGCCGGCGAAGAGTGAGTCCACCGGTCGGAGGGCTTCGGTGTCGACGTCGGCGTACATTCTATTCATATATCAAACATCAGTAATCTGGCTCAGGAACACCCCGATAAAAAGTCAAGTCTCACCCTCCGAACAAGAACATGTACAGATTCCTCACGACGTCCGCCCGAAGAATCTCCTTGGGCAGACGCAGGTAGTCCTGCAGGAACCACGGGAAATGCGTCTCCACGAGCAGCCGGTTCGTCTCGTCATCCCAGAGGACATACTCCCAGTCCGAGTTCTGGGCCCGCATGGTCTGGACCCAGAACTGGGCGTTGTCGCTCATGTTGCTCCCGGCCGGGAACCAGGTCTGGTGGATGAGCTTGGGGATGGAGACGAGGTCCGACGAGCGCGGCAGCGAGATAAGCTCTCTCGCGGACAGGGAGCGGGCGTAGGAGGGAGAGGTGAAGGGGAGTTTGTGGTGTTGCGGGGGCTCATTGTTGGTGTTCGCATAGCCGTCCTGCCGGCTGGACGCTGGGATAATGGTGTAGATGCAGGCTATGACAACCGCGAAGGCGAGGGAGAGTTGCAGACGCCGCCGCGTGAACCATTGGCAGCCGGACCCTGATCGGATCATGGCTGCTGCATATGTCGATTGCTCGTGGTGCTTGGGGAGTTGGTGAAGCTAAAGTGCTTAGCTTGAGCCATTGCTCCTCTACGACGGGTTGGAGGGGGCCTTGTTGGTTTTGTTGTAGACTGGGTGCGAATCCCGATCGCGCGCAACCCATCGTCTTCGTCCGTCCACGTTGCTCTTCCGGTTTGGTCGCAATATGTCCATGGTTCTATTGCAGCCACCCGTCTTCTCTGGTCTGGGTCAGGGCTCTGCGGTAGGATTGGCTCGTAGGCCGGAAACGGCTACATGAAGCGCTACACATTCCTCGGCGACAGAACGGAGCGCAGATTCGCCTGGTAGCGTGCTATTGTTGGTCATAAAAGTTGGGGCACCTAGCTGTCAGAGCATGATACTTCGAAGTCATGACCTCTCACAGTGGGTAGAGATGATTAAGCTCTGATGATGGTGGTGTTCCATCATGTTCATAGCTCGGTATGTTGTTCACTTCTTTGTTGCCTTCTTCCGCCGTTGCCGCTTTGGGAAGGTGAGCCGGACGAGTCAGCCTCGGATGTTGCGCTCACCTTCTGAAAGTAACCTGACAGTAACAGTTCTTTGTCCTGCTTACTCGTGAATTCTATGCTTTTGAGTAGCAGTCAAGAATTTGGACTCTGAGAACTTAGTTACCAGGAACTCACACGTGCAACAGTGACACGTAGCACCTCCTCCATCAGCTTTACTAAGCAAAGTGTCCACTGGAATGTGTGTACCAACCATCAATCGTTACTAACAAAGGAATTGAAGTTTGCCACTTCGCTGGTGACATCGAACCCTTTTAGTTTCAAACGAAACATAAACCAAAAGACAAGCCAAACTGCCCGTCATTTCTCTTGAGGCTTGCAATTCTCCCTGGTGTCGGCCTGGACCAACACGCAACGGCAAGATATGAGTTTCAGAGTATAGTACTTGGCCCCAGCTGAGTATCACAACCACGAGAAAGAGTGCGAGCACATTGGAAGTTAGGAATGTGCTAGTGCAGCGAAGCCAGAATCTTGACAGGTCTCACAGGATAAGGCATATTACAATATTGTTAGGTAGTGGTCTTCCAAAATCCCCTGTCATCTCGACCTCAGTCGTGTACCGCGCAGGTCACGACTACATTTCCACTTCACAGCCGCCAGTCAGACATATCAGAAAGGTTATGTGACGGTCCATCTTGTGGCAGATTCCAGCGGATGGAGAGGCGATCCCAGCGAGTTGTTTCTTGGAGAAACGCCAATATCCTCAATCAACCAAGTAGCTAGACTTAGAGTTAGAGGTGAAGTGGCGAAGAAAGTCACAAACCTGCCCAGTGGGAGGGCTTACCATCTTTCATTTTCTCCTTCATCCCAGGCAGGTTATCTATCGATCCATCTCCATGGATAAATCCACAACGGACCGTCTCTTTAGACTAACCGTTAGCTTTTCCGCATAACCTGGGCAGTAGGGATTGCTGGGGCACTAGTTCTTTGGATTTCTAATAAGAAGCCACAACTTACAACCACGCTTCCTCGAAGGCTCCCCTCAAAAGAGTCTCGCTCATCACGGGGCATTCGACCTGAAAAAAAGCGTATCCCCCTGATTAGACCTCGATAGCCTCTCCGTCAAGATACTTAGCTTGTACCCTCCCGGGACCCATTCGTCAACTGTCTGTTGGTCTTTCTTCCAGGACAGTAAAGAAGGAGTGCTGGAGCGGCCAGCGCTTGTTAGAAAGGCTAATGCTTCAATTTCTGAACTGAAAGCTATAGGAGTTTCCGACGTGGCTTGCTTGGCACGAACTGCAGGCTTCTTCGTCGCGGTTCTCCACCACGGAATCCTGCCATCAATATCAACATGTATGGTTCTCTCTTGCAGCACTATCTGCAGGGAATACTGACTGTAGACTAATTTTGACGACTGCAGTCGGTGGTCCCTTTCATATACCTTCGAGCAAGAGAACGCCCCACATGGCTCGGATTGAATACCCAAAGCCTCACAGTCCTCCTGAGACTCATGATAACTATGTTCGCTAACTTTGCTTTCCAACCTCCAACCTCCAAACTGAACCAATGGGGAAGGATGTTTCCGTGCCGAGGAAATCATCCTCATCGAACCAGGTGATGTCGTCTGATTCGATAGCCATGCTGACATAGTGTTCCGGAAAAAGCGAACTGAGATTCCTGTAGTCTATGTTTGGCAAAGATACTGAGAGCTCATACAGAGAGGGGTAAGAACAGTAATGGCGCTATTAATCGAAGGAAACCTTTGAACAGTTGGCATCTTATGTACGGAGTACAGCACTTACCTCGAAGGTGAGGTAAACTTAATCCGTCTGCCGGCGCTTCGTCAGCCAATTATGTTCTGCAAACTCCCAGAGCCTTGCATTGAAGCAGGCAATCCATTGGATGCCTGGGCAAGTGGTCGAACGGGGCTGGAACCTACTAGGCAGTACAGCGAGCTGTCATATTGGGTCTAGTCACCTTAGTAAGATCAACAGCAGTTCTTAGTTTATTCGATTCTTTATCTCTATTCCCTATTTGGCTTGCCGAATTACCATTCAACGTCTTCACAGAGAATCTCAAGGTATGGTCTCGTGACCGAGCATGCAAAAATATCCTTTGCGAACAATCTCAGCCGGCTTCTAGGCCTTATCTTCTCAAGGCAAGGCCATATCCTTCGTGACATACAGCGTCGTTGTCTCCACGTATCTCCACGTGTCTCCATGTGGCTGCCGATGCCTCAATCGGAGAGGCGGCTTGTCCGTCTCCGCAATGGCACCATTTCTACAAGGTTCTGGACCCAAGGGTGTTTAGATCTGTAGAAAGGAAGAAAGTTCTGGATGTCTTATTTTCGTTGAGCCAAGTCTCAGCTCAACATCTCGGCAACGGAGTGCCTATGCGGTCTTGTGAGTCAACAGCCCCCATTGGCCCATGATTAGAGTTCGAGCCTCATAACCACTTGGCTTGAACCTTCTCATGCACTTCATTGTCGTCTCATCTCATGATGCCTGAGCGCTTCGGAGTAGCGGACTTTTCGAGCACATCCTCTCGGAGTTTTGCGATCCTGTTCGTGTTAGGGGGCGCACTAATGCACGTGCTCCCGAACCGACTCTCAGCAACCCTAAGCGGCTGCCATGGCCCCCAATGTTCCCAGGTACAACCTCAATCTTGGCTTATAGAAGCTGCGATTGCTCATACTCTTGTCGCTAGTATATAAACTGGAGGATGCATCCACGATTATGGCTCAATATCCTTCACAAACCTCATGAATCAACGACTTGTCTTCTCATTCCAGCGTCTGTCCTGTTAGCACTATTGCCGTCTATAGAATTATACCCACTGCTTTTGTCCAATCATTTTTCGATCAAGAACATAGATTTCCATTGAACCAACCCGAATCACATATACCCAAAGTCCGCAATGTTCGACCTCTCCAAATTCCAAGACGACATCGGCCAACTGGCCGGCCTCAAAACCTACACCCACCTCTTACTATCATTCCCCATCCCAGACCGACACGCCCAAAGGGCAGCCATCACCGCCCTATACACAGCCACCGGAACTCTCATCTCCGAATTCCCTTGGCTAGCAGCCGAGGTCGTGCACGAGGGCCGGACCCCCGGCAACTCAGGCACCTTCCGACTACAGTCGTGTCCCGAGTTCAGCCAGCCGGAAGACCTCGTCATCGTGCGCGATGCCTCGAGCATCTGCCCGTCCTACCAAGAGATTTGCGCCGCGCGAGGGCCATGCTCAATGCTGCCCGTCAGCGCGCTGGGACCCGTGGTCTCATTCCCGGAGCGATACGAAGACTCGAGCATCGAGCCGGCGCGCATCTTCATCATGCAAGCCAACTTCATCGAGGGCGGGCTCCTCCTCGACCTGGCCGCGCAGCACAACTTCATCGACGGCGGAGGTCTCTTCCAATGCGCGCGGCTGCTGGCCAAAGCCTTGCGCCACGAGCCCTTCACGGCCACCGAACTGAGCCAGGGCAACCGCGATCGCCGCACGATCATCCCGCTGCTCCACCCCTCCGAGCCCATGCTCGACCACTCCCACCTCCGCCGCCCCACCATCCCCCAGATCCCTGCCAGCTCCCCGCGCCCCAGCCAGCTGGCACTTCTTCCAAGTCCCCGCCAAACAAATGACGCAGATCAAGCAGCGCGCCAACACGGAACTAGCTTCCTCCTCCCTCCACAAGCTCATCCCCCTCGTCTCCACCAACGACTCCCTCTGCGCCTTCCTCTGGAAACGCATCGCCGCGGCCCGCCGCCGCCAGAGGCCGCAGCCGGCGCACAGGCGCACCAAATTCTCGCGCGCCGTCGACAGCCGCCGCGCCATGGACGTCTCCCCGGAGTACATGGGCCAGATGGGGTACAACGCGTCGACGCGGGTCAGCTACGGGGACCTCGACGCGATGACCCTGGGCGAGACGGCGGGCGTGCTGCGGGCGCAGGTGCGCGAGGTCAACCACGCGTACGCCGTGCGCAGCTGGGCCACCTTCATCGCGCAGGAGCCCGACAAGTCGACCATCATGTTCGGCGGCGACTTCGACCCCGAGACGGACGTTGGGGTGTCCTCGTTGGCGCATACGGAGCTGTACAGTTGTGGGTTTGGGGATGTATTGGGCCACCCCTCGCTGGTGCGGCGGCCGACCTCGGCGCCGTTCGAGGGGTGCGTGTATTTCTGGTCGCGCACGGAGAATGGTGATCTGGGCGTCATGGCGTGTTTAAATGAGGGGGATGTCCGGGCGTTGAGGCGAGATCGGGACTGGGGGCGGCATGTGGAGTATATTGGATAGAGATGAATCAAAAAACTTTTATATCATGAACATTGATGCGTGTTGCCCGATATGTATGCTATCTCACTAGTCGATAGCAAGCTGATTGCGAGGGATTGGCCGAATTCTGTATGTATAATAATTCGAGGATATCGTGACGTTGATTATGCAGCTGAGATCGTTCATGATGGGTCCGATGATACAAGACTCGCGGCAGATACTCGCTTGCTATACTCTTGTGGAGAGTCTCGTGGGCACGCCATGCGGATACCAGCAAAGTGATGGAAGAGACCGTTATTCACCTGTACGCCAGTATTCTCCGACATCATCGAGATGGATCGTGCTTGACGGCTTAGCCTTGGGAAGAGGATATGGACCAGTGTTCCGGTTCCCGACCTTGCCACCGGCTGTTGCTGCTTCGAACGAGCATTGAAAAAGAAGATCAGGCTATCAAGATTCGGGTCAATCTTGACCAGAGTCTTCGTCTGAGCGAACAGGCGGAGGCATTGCTTGCTGGCATTGAAAGCAATGCAGCACTAAGCTATGTGATGACCGAGCGAGGGGCCTTCAGCTTCAGGCCAGGACGGTTCTTCGGCGCCAGCCACAGTCGAGTGCCCCGCCTTCCTGGCCGTGCGTGATAACTGGATGGTGACTGGTGCACGGAGACGTCTAGGCTGCCGCCGGAGTACCAGGGGGTCTGGGCTTCGCATGGAAGGGTACTTTACATTGGGAGCAAGTTAGGTCGGGTGCTTAGGTTTGTGCTCCCGGAATGATCCTGGGTTGTCTTCGAGATCTTGCTTGATTGACGCGGACAATTTGGTTTCACAAGTCACACATTCGTCCTTGGGCACATTATTTTCTGTTGTTTTTTTTTTCCCCGGACATTCCGCCTTGGGTGCTGGGTCATATATATGCCTTTCCAGGATCAAATTCTACTCCCGTTGTAGGGTAAACCTCGAGACAACTAGTTGAGGAAGTCAAGCGGTACATCCAAGGATAAGCTGCTGAAACTCGAGCCTTGTACATCGTTACTTCTGCTGGAAGCCGTGGTTACCATCTGTTTGCCCTTGACCTTTTCCTAAAACAACGACAGCTGGCATTTCGCCCGGGCCGCAAATGCCCGCACTTCTATGAACAAACCACCCCGCTGAGTCGAACAATCAGATAACACAAGATAATCAAAGGCCATGTGCAGTCCCAAGCAACACGTCCAGCGTCCTGCAGCCCTGCAAGTGGATTTTCGCGATTGCTTTGACATCTCGACGCAGGCAGCGATGTGATTGGACCCCTCCCGGCAGACCCATGTCGTCAGGTACCAAATAACACGCTCAGGAGCCTCAGCCTTGAAAGTGGATTTTCGTGATCAGTTGACATGTCGACGGAGGCAGTGATGTGATTGGATAGATCCAGGTGAATCCCTGTCGTCGCGTACCAAGCAACACGTCCACTGGCGGTTTCAGCCTTAAATGTGGATTTTCGTGATGCTTTCAACATCTCGACGGGGACAGGCTAGGTGCCTCAGGTGATGAGAAGCGTGGTAGGTAAGCTGCTCTCAGTGAGGATACAGGGCCAGACTATATTCTTACCAAGTGTGTAGCCCAGTAACTTTATACTTCAGCCTAAGCTTAATGACGATACAACTCCCTCATCCCTTTTCATCCCACCATGTATATATCCAGGTGGATCTCCTGAACTAAAAAGCCGGATCAAACCGCAACAGCCGCTCCCAGGTCTCCTCCGAAGCGGCCTTCCACTCCGCCGCCCGGAAATCATACGGCCAGCCGTACTGTTCCTGCAGTGTTCTCTTAATCCGAGGATACTGCCCTGCAAATTAGTATCGCGATTGCAGGAAGAAGCAAGAAGCGAGAAAGGGGAGGGGGGGCAACACACCACCTCGCCCGAATCCAGAACCCAGTAGCCCCGCGCCCCGCTGTGGCCACAGGGAATCATCTGCAGAGCCCGCAGCTTCTCCAGATGCTCCGACAAAAAGGTCGGGGCGTGGTGGGCGTGATACGCGCGCAAGTCAGTGGCGTCGTCGCCGCTGGGCGGGAGCCCATCCCACTCCCAGACTCGGATGGTATCTACGTATCATATCCGAATCAACCACTCGACTCTCCCCAAACAGCCTCTACCAAGGAATAAAGACATGAGAAAGTGGGAGGGGGGAAGGGGAGGAGGGGGACTTACTCTCCTCCACATCCAAAACCAAACACTCCCCTTCATCCGCGAAACAGCTCAGCGCGATCTCATGCGGGCGCAAGACATCCCCTCGCAGCTCGTCGACATGCCCGTACCGCTTGGGATCCCGGCCGCCGCGGATCTCCTCGTCCTCGAGGTAGACGAAGGCGCGCGAGAGCGGGGTGATCGGGACTGTTTCGGCGAGCCGCGAGGTCAGGGGGTAGGGCAGGCGCTTCATCAGCGAGATCACGGCGGGGTCGAGATGCAGGGCCGCGCAGAGGGGCTCGTTGATCGCGTGGCCGGCTCCTTCGGCCGGGGGCCAGATGAGTTCATCCGGGGTGATGTAGTTGAGTTTCTGGTAGGTGCGGTAGATTTCGGTGATGAGTGCGACGAGGGTGGTTTCGTTGTAGGGGAGGCGGGGGCCGGGGATGTCTATCGCGAGGTCTGCTTGGTCTTGCTTTGAGGGGTCTGGTCCTGGGGGGTGGGGGATGGGAGCTGCTCGAAGGCGGTTTTGGGGACGTCTTTGGCGCCAATGGGATAGGATTATGAAGATGGCGTAGGTTAGGATGAGAAGGTGGAGCCATCCGAGGAGGGAGTCGGGGAGATGCAGTTTACAGGATGGCATTCTTGGGGGTATGTTTGGTTGGGCGGAATCGGAGAACTGTCACATCCTTCAAAGTAAGCAGATTGAGGGGCAAGACTAGAGATTGGCGTGTGTGTGGCGACCTTCATGGCTAGTTCGGCTATATTCGAGAGAGATGAATGTACTAGAGCAGCGCAGGACGGTAGATAAGGGTTTGTCGGGGACGTGGATAAGTGAATAGTCAATTCAGGAACGTCAGGCTACCCAGAGGAAATAGCGAAGAACCACCGGGGTGGGCGGTGAGCAGCAGCCTGACCAGCAGACCGCTGACAGGTATAATTGAGTACATTATAGTACAGTACAGTACCGCGGCGGTAACATCCATTATCCGTAATTGGTAACTTATGGGCTAATAGGGGACTTATTAGGGTAAGTTATAGTCTCCCGCTCCTTGCAGGTTCAGTGTTCCAACGAGCATTTCATGTTTCTCTTCTGACGAGAACATAAGTCGGATGCACCAACGTCAATGTGTGAAAGCTCTGAGCAACCGAATCAAGAGCCAGATTACCTTCGCCGCACGTTCCACAGCTCAGGATAAATCTCTGCACCCCTCACCATTTTAGCCTCCAGGCCTCGGTTTGGATTGGTCTGTTCGGATCCGCTAAGATATAGTTTGGATAAACTAGTGTATGGGGGCCAAAACAATTCGGTTCCGATGCAGGATGCAGGAGTCGTGCAGGAACGTCAAACTTAAGATTGAGCCACGAGGGGCGGCTGGATACGAGGTGCTAGTTAATCTAATCTCCGACAAAGAGGGGTTAGTAGGGACCATGGATTTTCAATAGTGCAGTTGCCGGATGACCTTCGGGAGGCTTAGATTGGATTGTACTGTCCGAATCTGGTATGTGATTGCGAAAGATTAAAAGAGTTGCAACGCTAAATCTAAGATATCTAGGTGGCTGATAATTGAAGGGAAAAATAAAAAAAATAAAAACAAAACAAGCTCTGATGTTGCCGGGTCCTGTGTTGGTGCAGATATTCTACATGAAGTATCAATTGAGCAAAAAGTCCCTTTTGACAACCTAAACGTGTTCAGAAACCGACTTCGAAGATATATATAGAGTAAGATGTGAGAATGCATGAGCCGCATACCCGAATGACCTGTTCGCAGTTTCAAGGTTAAAATACATTGGGGGCCAAAACCTAGAACGGTTGTGGGTACAATAACTTCAGGATCGAACTACAAGATTCCTACGCAAATATAGGTTTCGGTCCACAAATCCGTGCAATCCGTCCCAATGGCCGGGTTCCACTCCTCCAATTCAGCCACGGTGACCCCCTCCGCGCTCGCGATGCTCGAGCAGCCGTCCCCAGTGACCACGTAGTAGAAGGAATCGCAGTCCGACACCATGCCCGTCTGGATCGGTGTGGGGGTCGTGACTCCGTTACCGGTTGTCGTCGCCGTCGTCGTCGTCGCAGTGGCAGTGGCAGTGTCTCCCTCTATTCCGACGCACACATAATCGCCCACGTCCAGGTCCGCGCAGCTGCTACTGACAGCAGGGTTCCAGGCGTAGAAATCAGTCAGTGCGATTCCCGCGTCGGACGCAATGACCGAGCAGGTATCTCCGGTGACCACGAGATGAAACGCATCGCAGGTCGCGGTCATACCCGTCTGAATCGGGGCGGGCGTGACGATGCCAGTGCCGCTGCTGGTGGCGGTGGCCGAGGTTACAATCCCAGTCGCCCCGATGCACACATAATCACCAACATCGAGGTCAGCGCAACTGCTACCAACCGCAGGGTTCCAGGCGTAGAAGTCAGACAGTGCGATTCCCGCATCGGACGCAATGGCTGCGCACGTGTCTCCGGAGATGACGAGGTGAAACGCGTCGCAGGTGGCGGTCATGCCCGTCTGAATTGGCGCAGGCGTAACAATGCCAGTACCGCTGCTGGTGACCGTGGCTGTTGCTGCTGTAGAGGAGATTGCACTCCCCGTTGCCCCGATGCACACATAATCACCGATATCGAGGTCCGCGCAGCTGCTACCAACCGCAGGGTTCCAGGCGTAGAAGTCAGACAGTGCGATGCCCGCATCGGACGCAATGGCCGCGCACGTGTCTCCGGAGACCACGAGGTAGAACTCATCGCATGTGGCGGTCATGCCCGTTTGGATGGGCGAGGGCGTGGTGATTCCCGCGCTCGCCACGGTCGCAGATCCGGTCGTGGAAGCAGAGATGGTGCTTGTGATCAAAGTACTCGCGACAGATGAAGTGGATGCCTGCGATGTTGTGGACGAGGTCGACGAGGTTGATGAGGACGAAGTGGTCCCGAAGGTCTCAAAGTTGATGTCCACGCAGTAGTCATAACCCGCAACCAGGTTGCAGTCGGTGTACAGTAGCGAGAGGTAGGGATTCTATTTTCATGTGTCAGACCATGCACGTCGCGGGATGCAAGAGTTGACCTACCCATGCAAGAAAATCCTCTTCGGTGATCGAGTATGTGGCCTCGATGTCGGCACAGGTCAAGCCGGTCGTGTAGGTAACCCATTCACTGCAGTCTGAGTTCGCCCCGGGGAATGCGGTGCCAGAGGGGGCGATCAAGTATCCAGCAGTGAGACGGCTCGCCACCAGAACTGATGCGATAAGTGTGATAAAAGCCATTTTGGTTGAGAAAGCGACCAGCAAGGGTGCAGGAGACTTGATCGACGACTGCCGAGCGAAAAGATGAACAGGCGTATCGTTTATATAGAGCCTAAGAAGGAGGGTGGCTCAGTCAAACACACACTGCACCTCCTGGTATTGTTCAATATGCAAACCTTTCCACTATGCCACTACTAAACGATGGCTCGAGTAGTGGGTAAATTACTAGGTCAGTTGCAAGGAACAGTACTAGGAACAGTACTAGGAACAGTACTAGGAACAGTACTAGGAACAGTACTAGGAACAGTACTAGGAACAGTACTAGGAACAGTACTAGGAACAGTACTAGGAACAGTACTAGGAACAGTACTAGGAACAGTACTAGGAACAGTACTAGGAACAGTACTAGGAACAGTACTAGGAACAGTCCTAGTAACTTCTTGGCACTCAGGGCCGGCATTGACTGCCTGACTCGGCATAGTCTCCCCCTGCCAAGCTGCAATACAATAAGCGAAGCTCTGCTAAGCTCGCTAAGCGCGGAGCCCCAACGGCAGCCAAGAGCCAACCATAGTCTATGCTAGAATGACAAGGAGGCAAAAGCATCCTGGGCATCCTGGGCATCCTGCAGGACGGAGCTAGCCTCAATGTTAGTCCCAGAGCTAGCGATATATGGAATACATGGTTGATCGATTGTCTGATCTCTCAATTTTTCACGGCACGTGGAATAGGCAATTTGGGGGCCAAAGACTAAATTTCTTTCGGTCTAACTTCATTTCTAACTCGGCGAATGCCTCGTGGTTTGCCGAAGTCGCGTGAAGGCGGGGCAGATATATGCATGCCGCTGGCTCAAGTCTGCTCCTGCAATAGTAGCCAAAGCATAGGTTCCACCCGGAAAATGAAAAGAGAGGATAGCCTTGCGTTGGTCCAGTATGGATTGATTGTGTTGCGTAAGTCAACTTACAGACGATGGCGTCTGGTGTGGTTATGTGGTGCTTTAGCGTTGCGTCGAGTAATGTCCTCTGAGGCGGTGTTAGTATCTACAGCCTTGACGGCGGAGGGGTGTGCGCGAGATGAGGCGACTTTGAGGATGGTATAAAGCGAGAGCATTGCCCGCTGCAC